AGGTTTGCTCAGACTAGGTATCTAGAATGTATAGACGGATTTCACGACAGGAATAATTTCCTGGCAATAAATGAGAAGGTTCTTAATCTACAGAAATATTGCTGGGTAACTTTACATTAACTATCAACGTTGAAACAACTTTTGCCATATATTCAAACTGTAAACCATTATTAAATGGGGGAAGCTGTATTGCTGAAAATTCCTTTAAAATGAATTTTTATAAAAAATTGCCAATTTTCAAATTTATTTTTTATCAAAAAAACGCTCAGCAGAAAATTGGAGTAAAAGCCAAAACCTAAATCGTTTGTGGTTATTACCATCCAGAAAAAAATGTTAAATAGATTTATGATTTATGATTGCTACTAAATTTTTGAGATTAATAGTCATTTCTTACGAGCTGTCGTCTAGTAACGTAGCCTCTACAGTACAGATTAGGTATCATTTTAAATGACTTTTCGTATACTAATAACTTGTCTGTAAACCACTTCGACCAATACTTCATAGTTTTTTTAATATTCGCAAAAGTGGTTTCCCCAAAACCATTCAAGGTATAATTCCGAATTGGTTGGTCATCAGTCAGCTTTAGGTGTTTAGCGTTCGAGTCGACCCTCACTGAACGAGACAGGCATCAGTCAGGTGCAAGAGTTTATTTCAGGATCTAGTACTTACGGTGTGCGTGTTGGCCTATCTCTAGGTAGAAACAACGTAAAGCTAAGTTCTTACGTGGCTAAAAGCCGACAGTTTGGCACGCTTTCGATCTATTTTTCGTGACTCTTTTCTCGAGTGGGGAGTGAAAATTGCATCAGCGAGGGTCTTGGACTGTTCACACGGTCAGGATTCAGTTCATTCCTTGAATCGACCATGAAGGAACTTTTGGTTGAAAGTTTGGCAGTTTTGAGTTCGGTTTTTAGTGCCATTGGTATGATCTGAGGTACTATGGGCAGAAGATAGTAGGCCTGAACACTTTGCAGTGACAGGATATTGAGCAGACGGTGCCCTCTTAACGTAGAGGGGCGTGATACAAGTCCCTCCTGCATCAATGTACTATATCCACTGTTTGTGTCTTCAACCTTCTTTTCTGATATCATCGCAGTTACATTTTTAGTTTCTTCTTTTGGGGAGTATAGAGTATGTAGTTAACAGTAGTATGCGATTTGTTGTCTCATGGTCTTTGATTTTAATTTGATAACTCATCTACAGTGTGAGAACATTATACTGTATATATTAAAGTTAAGCACTTCGGAGAAGTTACTATTAAAGTAAAGGAGAGTGGAAAAATCATGAATTCTGGTAAAAAATCAATGCATAATGTTTTAAAATATATGTATGCGAAGTTATACCAAGGTATGGGTGTATATTGCTTTTAGTAATCACAAAAAATATATAACATTATATTCATATAAATTATTACGTGCGTTGCAGTTTGTACCTACTACGTGATTTCATTCCACTCTTTGTTTGTTATGAGTATGTAGTAAGACTTTCAACCATGTTAAATAAAGAATATATGTTGGAATCTTGATAAAACATTTTGGATTCTACACAAGACGAACTACGTGTACTGTATCAGTTAGCTGAATAATCATTTTTTGTAATTTTTGAGGTTTTTAAGACTGAAATACATATGTAGAAAATCGATATCTGTACATTTCTCATCATCACAGTAACTCCACGAAGATGAAATCCTGAAATATCTCATTTTATGAAATCGTTTTTGTCGAGTCTCCATTGGTCCAATTTTAAATTTCCTGGCGTAATTTATCTTTTACGATAGGCTCCTTTGTAGTTAATATTTTTACTTCCAACGCCACTGGGCGAGGAAGTATTGTAAAAGCGAAAAAATCGAAAATCGAATATTGTGTTTTTGGATGTTATACCTGTACACCACGAAAAAACATGTCGCATTTCCGTCGGTCTGTCTCTCCGCTACTCCTTGGCCCATCTATAAGTTGAGAAGTGCCGCTCGGATTTTGATTAAATTTTTGAAAATCGGCCCAGTGACGGCGGAGAAAAATGCCAAAAACGAAACAAAAAATCGTTCGTTTTTTTTGCGTTTCCGAGGATTCTGATCGTAGTTGAAACACTTTCTAGGGTAAATCATTTGCGGGGTGGAGGATTGTAGGGGATTGAGGAGGCTGTATCGCAATTTTTTATGTTTGATGATGATTTCCCCGTACATTTACGCTTCAAACCTCGAGGAATATTTACAGACGCTTTTCGCGTGTCCGTCGCGGGTCTCCTTCTTTCGTGCATCAAGCCCTGCGGATAACTGCATCGCTGGCGCTCTCGATCTCGAGTCAGAGCACCATTTCTAGATTCGTTTCAATAAAAAGTAGGTCGCTGGTGATGGGATATGCCTATACGAGGTGGGCGCGATATTAGCTATATATACGAGCATTATGCTTGGAGTGTAAGAGCGGACTAACTTATGCCAAACAGAACATTTTACGCTGATAGCAGCGCTGCGTAAAAAGTACAGGGTCAACCAACTCAATGCCATTTTTATTCTTAAAACTTGTGGATTTTAGGTTTTCTGGCTATAAAGTAATGCGAACGTCTGTAATAACGCAGGTTACCTTATTTTTACTATAGTCGATAAAGAAGTAAATGTGCAATCAAAGCTACCTAGAAGTGTGATCCGACGAATGTAATGAAGAAACTTGAAAACTGAAAATTACACTTTTGCACCTACCAGTATTGTATCACTTTGTGAAAGTAGTGCCTGTCAACCAATTGAGATACTATTTTGATATGTACGCCAATTCCATGTCTAACAATATGGTACTTTTTTTCGTTTTTAACTGAAATGTTGATAGAGAGTATTATGTATGTCAGGTTCACTGTATAGATTATTGACACATTAGTGCATCAATTGAGCTACAGTGTACCTTTAAGCTGACCGTTTTTCATATATGTTTATCTTGGAGAGCGTGTTTGTATCGGCTACAAGATCGACACATTTTTTTATTATAACGTAACATCAATTTTTGAAGATTTACGTACATACAGCTTTGTATTATTTTTATGCTTTTTGTTGTTGTGGAGTGAGGTTTTGTACCAAAGCGTGTGGCTTCAGTGAATTTTTCTTAACTGCCGCTCGAAAGTTATGTGGATATCACCAAAACTGTACGTAGACAATTTTTGAAATATTCTCTAGCACAGAATTCCAATCGTTGATAGATACTATTTGTCGAAAGGGGAGTGGTGTGCCTGCGTTGACGCGTTAAAAATGAATGTTCAAAATTTGAAATGAGACATATTACACATCTCTTGCTCTCATGACCGCTATCAACGGTTTGAATAGCTATACTGCGAGATTGATTGCTTTGCAATTTTGAGAATAAAGAATGGGAGATTTGTGCAAAAATTTCTAACGAAACCGTGCTATTGATTTGATATGATATTAAAAAACTGTATCCTAACTTTTATAACTATTACACATGTTTTAAATGATCATGTGTACTCTGGTCCACCGCGTGTTTGGAACAAGAGACATTATTGACATTTCGGATACCTTTTTAAAAGTATTCTCAAGTTGTGTATTGGAATATACTGCTGGGGCAGTCGAAGGGTCAGCAAGGTCCTTGGTCTACGGAAACATTTTCAATCACTATTTATCGATGAGGTAAAACGCGATAAACGCTCTAAATTGTGAAGATTCATTATGCTCATCTTGAACTTTTTATTATAGTCCAGTTTTCTCACCACGGGATGATAATTGCACAAATCGCTCATTCTTTTTACCACTCTGGATTAACATGCACGGATTGCTTCTACTGCAGCTTAGCATGTTCGATGTCTTCTAGTTGCTTCTTCTGGACTAACACTTACACTGACTATAGCACTTGAGTTGATACCATTTTTTCTTTTAAAACAATAAAAACGGATTTACACACGGAATGAGACCAACATATCAGTTTATGATAAGTTGTCAATGTTAGAATAGAATAGAATAGAACTTATATTATGTTGGAGACATTGTCTCGATTTATCTGTCATCATTTATCTGTTAAATACACGCAGTTTTGTTGGAATATTTTTTATGAAATCTAGGTGTCGCTTCGATCAGGCTACTATCTAGGGATGGCTTCCACCTGCCACATTTTACACCTATACAGTGTACTCCTAACTATTCGATAGTAAATTTTGTATACAGCGCCGTTAGAATATCCCAAAAAGGATAAAATTTTACTGTTACAACATCTAGATGTGGCTGACCAGACTTTAGTACGGAAAAGAAACTCCTGCAAAGTTTACATCAGCTGAATCAACCAGTCAGTAATGAATGGCTCTGGATAAATTTCTACCCGCAAATGTTATCAAGCGATTATGTTTGTATACTAGTTTTTGAAGATTGGTTGTAGCAGTTTTTCGCCACACCATCGGATTTTCTTACCATCTCTATAATTTAGAATACACCATAAAAATGTTGAAGTTTTGATACGATCTATCTGCTTTATCAGCCACACTTATTGCCTAGATCTAATGACTCTATATATAAATATAGTACCTCCATTTTAAAACCGACTGTTATAAATTACCAATACTCGTATAATGTAACGCGGTATATCAAACACTTTTTTGACTGACTGTACCATATATAATAACTAGCGTGATGCGACGATAATTATACCATTTCAACTTTTCATAATAGTATTACATTTCTGATTCAGGTCACTGCCAATACCACGAATGCAATGAAAATCCGTTGTGCATCGTTTTCACATACCGTCATATAAAGTGACATTCCCCTTTTGCGATAAAAATAAATGCGTATTGTTTGTGACTAGAAAACAAAATAAAGCATATTGTGTGCGAGTGCGGTAGGTAACATTGGTTTGGTTAAATGTTTTCTATAATTATTTATTATCTCACTCACTCTCTGTCTGTCTCTCTCTCTCTGTCAATTTGTAGAACACTTTTAATTCAAATTCAAAACATTTACACAGATGTTTTTAGTCCCTATAATCTTGTTTATCAAATAACACCGTTTTGTTATACTTTTGTATCGACGAAGTAGTGAAGCTGCATTTATCAAATGTTTTGGAGATATACAGGGGAGATCTAAATAATACAAGTTCCTCTATGCCTAGAATATTTGGCGAGTTAAAATAATTGGTTATTTAGTGCAAGTGAAGCAATAGTTGTTGACTGGTTTCACATGCCAGTACATAAGTATTTAATTAATGACTTACGTTGAAATTGTGACGGGTGGCTATATTTTTTCTTAAGATACTACCTTTCTAATACTAATCTTCAAACACAAAACACTGTCACTAACCAAAAACTACATCTATGGTTGATGGATTTTTATATAGAGCGTCATCTACTGGTATTACTTCGGTGGAATCAATTTCGATGCCTCAGAGCATTAACCATGCAGATAGCAACACTCTTTTTACTTCCTTCGACTAGTACTGGAAATATCAGCGAAACCAAACTACGTGGATGACGCTCTACATTATGAGTAGGTTAGTCATCAACTATATGTCTGCATTTCATTTATAAGAATGATGTATGTATTGATTTGTCGTCATAAGGAATTCTTTATTGTACTTGAACTTTTGGGAATTAAAGTTAGTCCTATCTCCTTTCCTGGAAGGAAAGGTGATTAATACTACCCTAATTTCTAATTGATTAATTGTAGCTCCTTATATAAATATCAGTTGGTTTGTAGTCCATTGACGACAAATCATTTTTTTTTTGTAATTACTTTACGTAACCTGCGAAGGTGCATTTGGTTTGATTGGAAACACTATCTAATTTTACTCCATTTCCACAGGTGAGGACCCGATCGTCCCCATGCAGAAAACTGCAATCAGCAGTGGCCTGATCATAGGCATCGTGGTGGCTGCTATCATCTTGGTGTTAATCCTATTAGACATCACGTGCTTCTTCGTCAACCGACTTGGAGTGATCGCTCTGTGTTGCGGAAATTCGGCCAAACAGAGCACCGAAGATGATGCTAAACTTAGCAGGTAATAATTAAACAACAAAAAAGATGTGCATCTTCACTCAGAACTCAAAAATAGGATCTTTCGAGGTCGAGCCATATTGCTTGCTTTGTAATATTTTCTTAGCAAAAAAAAATAAATCAGAAACAAGAAAAACCCTCTCTAGATTGTTTATAGCTTCAAGCTGTTTTATTGCAATAAGTTCTTACCCAACGCGTATGACAAGAATTTACATGCAACCCAAAATACAGGTACAGCGGTAATCACAAAACTATCAATACACATACCATGAGTTGAATTAGGAAATGCCAAAATATCCCGAGTATTTTGAGAGAAGCTGCATTTTAGTTTCCGGGTATAAAGTACTGAATAAAAGATCGATTCAACTTGAAATTCATGGCCATGGTATTTTTGTCGTTAAATGCATCTATTTGATATCAAACTTGAGAACAAACTTGTTCACTTATACATGATTGTAAATTTGTCCGTATTACTATCACGCATGGAGAACTTCGAGATGAGAAAACAACATCATAATCTGAGGTTATAGTACCAGATCCGGCCCCTTGAATCTGCAGGTATCTTTTTTTGGATAAAACTTTTATGAATGTTAAAAGAAATAAATTTTGTAAAAAAAGATACTTGCAGATTAAAGTAGTTAGATCTAGGATCTTAGACTATCACGAACATCTTCATATAGCAAATCTCTCAAAGCACAGCGTTTCTAGACGGGTCAAATTTCCCCAGAACAAGCACAAAAGTCCCTCAGAATTGCTACTTTAAAAAAAATCACAGTTAATTAATGGAGCAGGGGAATGCTTACTATCCGCGAAACGTGCAAATTCCCCCAGAAGTGTATATCACCAAAAAATTCCCCAAGTATAAATCCCCCAAATTTGAAGGAAAATCCCCCAACATGAGAACCCTGTCAAAGCCCGCTAGACGTCAAGTTTCGGGGTCGGTTTAACTGCACGAACTGGTAGTTTCTCCTTGTATATAAGCTCCATGTTATCGCTTATCAAATGAGATACACAGGTCAGGTAGTTTTAAATATGTAAATGTAAAGAAGAGTTCGTTATGCCTCATGGAGATGGAATTTTCGCCGTGCTATGGGAGTATATTTTGAAAATCATATTTTTCAAAGCGCGTGCCAACCTGATAGCATATCGTGAGCATAAAAACATCTGCTATAAATACTTTTTCTACCGATTTTGTATAGATTTTAATTCTAGCAACTATTTTTGAGTTCTGAGATAAATGGAAATATTTTGAATACTGCTTTCAAAATATACTTTTGATTCCAATTAATGTTAGCTAGAAATTAAGGATATAGGAGAATAATCTTCAGTAGCATTTATTTCTAATGATTATTAGAAGACGGGTTTGGTAACATATTATGGTTAGCTTATAATGATTATTTTCTCTTGACATTTCTAATAAATCTATCGTTATCGCGACTTTGACTATATTACTAATAAAATGTTGAGAACTTCGAAAATTCTCCTATATGTAAATGTCACTTAGGCATCACGCAATCAATACTTAAGCCTCACTGTCTTCCCACAACAAAAAACATGTACCATTTACACTCACTTCTGTAGTATATAATATATTTTCACGCACACACATGCTTGACCATGACACACGTTCTCCTCTACCTACTCTTTTTGGGAATTTTAGTTTATACAGTTGGCGATTTCCGCTGCCTTATTGCAGTTACAAAGCTGCGCCTGCGCACCCGAGCAGCCTCAACTTGCCGCAACCCATCAAACTGGCGCCCTCTTTGACGTAAGAGCTGCCCCTTTATTCTGTTCTGTACACATTTGCTGTTGATTCAAGTAAAAGGAGACACAATAAAATTATATATAGCACATCGTTATCATAACTTAAAATTCTTAGTCATTTGTTCCATCCAAAATTTGCACTTGGCTCAAAAAACATCAATCACTTTTGAGTAGGCTTATTGCGTTCAAGCTCCATTATGTAATAGATTCCAAATTTTACAAAACTTAATACTCCATTTTTGATCATTTTTTCTCATTTAGTGCGCTGGCAGGGAGATGATTCTCCTCCATGTTTCTGATGCGCACTAGTCAATCATCCGGTATTTGTCTATTTTTTTTTTAATAACACTAATAGTCTACAAGATTCATAAAATGGAATGATCAATTCTTTTGCTATAGGCAAGTATCGAAATAGAAGAGAGTTCGTACGCCACTGTTAACGCGCTGTATATCCGAGCACAAGTTCACACGTAACTTTACGGTTTTTGGCGGGTGAAAGTAAAACTACTAAGAATTATTTTATATATCAATCTCCCTCACACTTTTACATGGACGTTTGTTTAAACCCAAAAGGCATGCGTTTTTGTTTTGTTTCACCATGAAACTTTTTTTTCAACGTATGAGTCTTCCACATGTATGTATGTAGATATGACTAAAAACGCGATTTGGATGCCGATCAACAGAAGAAGGAAGTGAGGCTTGCACATGAAGATTGTCTAGTCAAGTGTCACCATAAAAAAATGCAGAAATGTGTTTAATTGAAGACATGACAGAAGTGTAACAACAGCTCCAACTGGAGTACTTATTAAAAGAGGAAATGGCAAAGTTTCTACAAAAACTGCATGATAGAGCAACATAGGCTTGTGAATCCCTTTGCTTCTGTCTTGTAAAAAAAGTATGGGCTGAAGCATGAAGAAGATGTATTAAGTGATTTTGTGAAATCTGAAAAGGTAACCATGTTGACTTCAAAGTTAGAAATGCAGGAATATATATATATATATATATATATATATATATATATATATATGTATTGCATATAAGTGAAATGTCCGGTTATGTTAAACGAAACCAGAATTTTTGAGAATAGCAGGAATTCGGAAAACATGTCTCATTGAACAATTCATCACCGCACAAAGAAATACATTTCTATAGTTCTTACAAATAACCAAATAACACTAGCAATTTTCAATAACTTCCCGAATATTTACAGCAAAGATTTATAAGAAGCAAAAATAGTACAACTTATTAACACTAACCTAAATGACAATCAGTTTGTTGTTGGCCTTCATATGAAAATGATCTAGTTCCACGTTAGCAGTGGCGTACGATGAGTTATGCTACTCTCTTTCTTTTTGGTATTTGACTGTGAATGAGAATGTAACCATGAAACTGGAGAATTCGCATACATTTATATAAAAATAAGTTTAAAAAAGGGGTACATATCAATAACAAATGTGTACATGTACATAGAATCATAGATCTATTTATATGCATGTACCATGTCAGCATGCTTTCTGCAGAACAACGTTTAGTTAGAGCGAATTACATCATCTGTTGCGGTTATAAAGGATGAGGTAGAATGAAACAGCGCTCTTGAAACAGATAGTACAAGTGTTATAAAATCGCCACAGATATATAGCCACTTCAAAAACGCCATTCTGCCTCACTCTCTATATACATACTTATGTATGTATTTGAAAAACGTGTTATTGGTGCAAATACAATTAGTTTTTTACCAAGGTTTTTGTCTAGCTTAAACAGATGTCGATTGCCTTTTTTCCACACTTTCAAACATATGAAGGGTACAGAGTAAAAAAGATGAATGTCACAAATTTGATGTTTTGAAGTTAGAACCAGTAGTCTTAATGCAGTATAATCCCATGAGGTATCGGAAACACGCAAAACAATGACAGTCCGTAGTTATACCCAATTCTGTTGTTTTGTTCTAGGCCCTGTGTAATAAATTTCCCGTTAAGGAAGTTTTCATATTAGAACAGATCATAAAACATAACATAGGCATTTTGCTGGTTAATGAACTCTTAGATTCTACAGAGTGTCGCATATGACGAAAGGCCCATTTCTAACCTCAATATCTGAAAAAGAGTTGAATTCCAGCATGGACGCTAACAAAAATGTTAAAAATCATAAGGATAATCTCATAATACAAAAATAAACAGGATTTTCCACTAAAAAAAATGTTTGGTCTGCTTTCACTTTTTATCTACCCTGTATATCATTTTTTCATTTATAATTTAACTTTTTCCAATTCCTTATAATAAGGAATCTATGCTACTCGGTCATATCTTTGACCCACCCTGAACAACTAGTCTAAGAGTCTTCAAATTTTTAAATTCACTTTTCTCGAAACTTACTTTTTGTGACATTCATTTTTTCCCTGTATCCTTCATATATTTAAAAAATGTGCATGTGTGTAATCCTCATGGCAAATATTCGTTCCATAAATGCGTTATAAGTTACATTATTGAATGTGTTAGCATGAAAATCTGTTTAGCTTTGTGCTCCAGAAGATCTCGATAGAGGTTTTTTAAAAGCCTCACCCTTTTGAGAGAGCTGCTTGAAAGAATAGAAATGAATAGGTTGCAAAATTCGCCTTGTCTAAATGTCTTTATAGAAGTACTCTTTGGTTTGACTATAGACAGAACGAAAATCGAACTTCCACACAGCAATGTTGCTTCCTTCTGGCGGAAACATTATTTTTATGGATACGTTTTTTTTTTATTATATTACTATTACGATGCAAGTTGTTAGACTATTACCTGAAATTGGAAAACCTTTCTGTTTCATATAAACAGGTCATACGTGCTGCATGTGATAAAAAAGCTTTATATCCACAGTGTAGCAAATCTGAATTAATTAAAAAAATCCGTAGCTAGTAGATAAACATCTGCAACAAACATTTTTACTTTACAGAGAAGAGCACGAACCGCTGAAACCAGATGAAAAACAAATCTCTGTAGAATTTGACGGAAGGCACGTATACTCGTCGACTGGACAACAAATCATCGGAAAGCATTCTGCTGTTTAGTAAATCTTGAAGAAATTTCCGTGTATCTGCAGCTTAAGTGACAACCGAATAATGCTCAGAAAACTGTGTTACAAGCACTTGCTGCATTAGAAAGGTAACAACTACACTCACTGTCTTTATATGTCACAAACATATTCAGAGCAACTTGATGTTGACGTGATTGTACTTTTCTGAGGTCACTAAGTTCATTGGATTCATTATATTGCGTACCTTTGGCAGTTTCTGGTTTATTTTAAGACAAACTTCTTCTCCATGTTTGAAAGTAAAGTTTTTTCAAACTTCAACGATTTGTAAATTCGAACCCTTCGCTTAATTAATAATGCCGTATCACATCACACCATTTTAGATGTACTTTCAATCCTTGTGTTAAGCAGTTGCAGTAACCACAATAGCCTTCATAACTACATGGTATTGTTACTTTTGTAAATGTAACAACTATGAATTGACTGATCATTTTATTGGGCTCATTGGTTGGTTAAGTCGAAAGAAATATATTTTGTATGGACCTTGAAATATGTGCAAAACCATTCATTAACGTTTTCTACCTGAATATACACAACCTGCCCGCGTCCAAAAAAATTTCCGAGATAAAAATGAGATATATACTTTGTAAAGATTAGTGTCTCATAGATGGCGCTGTAGCAAACTATATGAGGATAAACGAGCATATGCATATATAGGGAGCGCCGTCTATGAAACACTTACGTTTTCAAAGTATATATAGTAAATAGAGGTATAGCTGTGGCAAATTCTTATAAATGACGTTACGATATCTCATTTTATCTCGGATAATTTTTTGGACGCGGGGATATATCTATAGCATTAGGCTATCTCCTAGTAGAATGCATCAGTCAATGGTAAAACCCATACGTCGTATAATGAATTCAAACAGTAAATATATGTTTTTGAACATAAAAATTCCCGTATGATAATGTATATGTTCAAATATTAAGCTCCGCAGAATTGTGCCAAATATCTATGTGTTATATATTATGATTTAGTTGTATCAATATTACATGTTCCGGCATGCACGATTGGAAATAATTAAATTCTATTTGACGTATAAAGATGCGCAGCATTCTTTCTTTTAAACATTCACCTGGTCACTTGAGTTTAATGGTTGCGAATCGTTTGCTTGAACATGCCTATTATGAATCTGTTAATATGGTGTGCATCATACCCGTTTCTGACAATTAAAAATTATACATTCTGCACCAAAAACTGATAGAGTGCAGAAAAGGATCTGTTTAATTTTTGCATCAATCGTTAAACCACTGTGCCCTAGTTACCTATAGCGGAAGTTATGGAGTTATTTCTTCAACGTGATGAAATAATTATGTATACTACACCTACTGATATAGTAGCATCACATCATAGCAAATGCTCAGCATCTCCGTATAAAATTAAGTTTTACCAAATTTTACCTTAATGGCGCCGTTATGGATTAAAAGTCAGATGCTAAATACTCCCTACACAGTTTCGTAATATAAACTTTTAAAGTAACTCTAAAAATGTATCATGTAGTTCTCTGTTGACTTTACAAGTCAAATTTTACTAATAATATGACTTCGTAGGGTAGTTGACAGCGCAGTTGTTAATACGTTTACTGCCGTGAGACACAAATGTGGCGTCTCAGGTTGTTTTCGATAACAGCCGCATGACACACCTTAGTTGTCTCGTCAGAAATTCTGCAATATAGCCAAGTGAGCCAGGGTCGTTGTCTCAGTCCTATATAAGTTATATGGAGCTGAAAAATCACGGCTGTAAATTTCTAAAACTGTTTTTGGTTTTTGGATCCGTGACCCATAAGTGGGTACGCATGGCCTGATATATACGTAGATAATTAAAACGACAAATACTGAAAAGAACGTCTTTATGAAGTGGAATACAACAAAATATATATATATATATATATATATATTTCTCTTAAATATAAAACAAAAACATGAAAAACTCAACAATTATTTGGTACACTTATGTACCTGGAAAAAACACTCAAGGCAAAAATATTTTTCACATGACGTGCACTTTAGTTTTGTTCGCGGAGTTTTTCTTTGAGCTTGAGCTCACCCAGATTTTCTTTGAAGCTTTTCATAGCAAAAAACGCATCGACGTCGGTTGTTGGTACCAACATCTTCCAAAGAATGTTGATGATCTTCAAAAACACTATGCGTATGCTAATCAACGTCAAAACCTAAGAGTCTGTTTACTACGAATAAGAAGCTCAGGCCAGCTTGCAGTACCACTTCACTCCTCTGCGTAATGAGCTGGTATAAGACTTCATTTGATCCGACAAGTCAATATAGTCAACCACAGCAGTAGGTTTTTGCAATTCTCTATTATTACCAGCTCTGATGATTAGTAACCCATCGGTGTGTTTTGTGGTTAAGGTACGCACATCTCTTTTGTCCTTATACTTCTGGATAATTATACCTGAGTTGCTTTCAGCTGCCTCAGTTTCTCCTTTTTTAAGCTTTTCATCAAGAGAACTTGTTTAAGATTCATTTCTCGATTCGATCGGAGAGTTCCAACCAAGTGAGTGTTCTTGGCAAGTAAAGCATGTGCCAACTTGACAGTTGTATAATAGTGGTCAGTAAAAATTGTCCGCCCTGTGTCAAGCAAGTCCTTTGAAAGAGTAAGTACTATTTTTTGGGATGAAGATTGACCCTCTACCCGGTCTTGTACACAATAAATCAACATATTGCAAGTATATCCCTTTTCAATGCACAGTTTGTACAGTTTTATTCCAAACTTTTGCTTTTTATTTTTGATATATTGTCGAAAAGATAACCGACCTCGGAAAAGAACAAGGTTTTCATCAATACAAAGAGCTTCGGTCGGTGTAAAATAACGTTGAAAATTTTGATGAGTTTTTCTGTGAGAGGCGACATTTTCTACAATCTGTCTGTGGACACAGATTTTATCGCATTCTGGTATATGTTCATTTTTGACCAATATGATTCAATACTTGGATATTGAACAAGACCCATCCAGATCAGTATACCAATGAATTTTTTCATTTCATCAACACTTGTATCCTACCACTGACGCACTCTAGCCCCTCGTGTAACTTCTTTAGCTAGTCACTGAGCTGCGTACCTGTTTGTTTCCGTGACTATCAGTTTCTAATACGCCAGGGGCGATTTATTATAATAGTTTGCTTCAAATGTCGATCCAGTTACGGGACTCCAAATAAGCTGGTCACCATCGACAGATTCTTCATCACTACTACTTGAACCAATATTGTTCTGTATGTTCAAATGTATCCATGGCCAAATCTTGATTATCTGGTATATCGGAGCAGCTTGGCTGTGGTGGATTTGCATGTACTTTGGTGCGTTTTGGTAACAGTGGTTGTTCTATAGAATCGTCGGATTCATCATCGCTACTTGGAACGTATTCGTCGGACGATTCACCAAACGGCTGATTGTCATTTTCGTCAGATAATACCTCCTGCAATAAAACTGGCAGAATAAGTTTTGAGTTATAAGTTTACAGATAGACAGATAAACAGAACTTTATATATTTTTTACTTTCACATTGGCATATACAAAAAAAATGACAGGGCATCGTCACTAGTGACTTAAAATTACATATTTCAATATATAGAAAACATTTACCTGCCACAATTGCTGCAACCGCCTTTGTTCTTTCTCGTAAGACATTTATTTGAACACAAATTTCATAGGTCTTATCACAACTCAAGCTTCTTAGCAAGACTGGAACAAATCCGATGAATACCGCATAAACTAGACTGAGACAGACTAAGAGCATTTGCTTCTGATACATTGTTCGGCTTGCACCGGCCGACAGGACGGTACAAGTCGGTGAGACGCAACATTTGTTGCACGCGGCCATTGGGTAAAATTTCATATGTTGAGGCCGCGTGACCATGTGGTGGGTCTCATCAAGAAACATGAAAAAAAATATGAAAACAATTTTTTTTAAACAAAACACTCACGGGTGTTCTAGGATACTAAAACTGGTATTTGGAAGAAAAAAAAAGTTGGCCCAAGGGACCGATTTTTTTTTCTTAGTATTATGGCAGTGAACGTGTTTTAACAACACGATTTTTATATCCATAAGTAAATAGACGTATTACCCATACATGACAAATTTCCCTAAACATGGTTTGCATTTAATCACAAAGATTGTCTGTAAAATTCAGAACACGTCATATATACATACATCATATGTAGATAATGGGATCACAAAAGTACAGGTATATATTGTGTCATGAACCTTTTGAATATAAGCAACCAATTTCGTCAATGTATGAGGTTACCTAACTGGATTACTAGGGAACCTAAAAAATACTTGGCTTTTATCTATATTTACTTTTGCAATTCTTCACTAGACACACACACACACACACACTTCCTCCTCCTCAGTATCCATTTTAATTAGTTAACTGCCATTGAACAAAATGCTCTCAAATTAACTACGCCTATGGCTCTTGTATAAGAAACTGGGCTGTTGATGGATACTTATCCAAAATGGAAGGATTTTTCCCTATGCTGTGGAAGCATTGCTTACATTAACATGATCACTCCAGTAACATTAGTTTCTGATTTGACGTTCCCTATATACCTCAAAATTACTTCAATACGGGTCCCAGAAAAAGGGTTTATTCCACTTCTCTATCTGGACACTCATTTGTCAAAAGTATTTTATAACAATATTTCATGTTGAACTGTACTTAAAAATAGTTTATATTTTAAAAACAAGCATGAGTAATAACTCCATAACTACTAAATATCCACATTTATACAAAAGCATTTCAATCTCTCTTTAGCAGAATAAAATTAGTATAAGAGGAACACAAGAAAATACGTATTATATATAATTATTAGGTATAAAATGAAGTTATATGTACAGCTTAAATTATTTAATGTGTTACCTTTATGAATTTATTTGTAGGCTTAACTATTGGTAGCTCAATGGTACTTAATTTATTTTTTTTCCATTTGTACTCCATTACGTTTATTTTTTAATCGATGTTCTTATTAATAACATTCCCTCTAATATACAGCATCATTTTCCACCCAAAAGAGGATTTGAATGAATATATTATCTACACGCATCGTTTGATAGTGACCATACGCAAAAGTATTTTTTAAGAAGATTGTAAATGAAAATCATGTCAGGCAAACAGGACGAGTGAATCTAGGAATTCACCCTCTTATACAATGATTATTTAATATATTCAAAACCATCTTTTTATTACTCATTCAATCATTTATGTGATCGGTCAAAGGAAAGTACAGTTTATTTTTAGTGTTATTGTGTTGCACGACCTTGTCACTCAACAGCATTTGATATACACTACAGCAGTAGTTCCCAAACTTTTTTCTTAGACCATTCTAAAAATGTTGCTGGTTTCGGTTGAGCCACTCTTCTGATACATACCAAATTCTAAAAGCTCGTCAAGAAATGTGAAGATTAGATCTAACGATGCAAATTTTCACAGTGATAAACGAAAAAAATATTTTCTCATATCCTATTTATTAAAATAATATAATATCAAATTTAATAGGAATAAATCTGATCATTATTTCTGATAATAGATTTGTCACAACACTAAAATCTTTTTTTTATAATAGGTACGAGGACGGAAAGGTATGAAAATTTTTCTGGCCTTTTCCCAGGGACCATAATATTTTTCGGTTATTCCTGACTGCTGCCAACATGGTTGATAGCATTTTTTAAATTTCACCTTCCGCTCCTCATTCTTTCCAAGCTTGAGCAGCTCGTCTTGTAATGCCACATTTGCCACTTCCATTTCGTCAAATGTACTTATGATCGGTGATGATATGTCCATCGTCAGAAAATCGTCATCGTGAAGGACATTTAAATTTTGAACATATGTTAAAACATCCTCATCAAGACATTCTGGCTGTAACAAGTCTGGGAATTGGTACCGAATATCGAATTTTTGTTCTGTACTAATCGAAACGAGGTAAATGTCGAACATTCTACGCGTATACCGAGTAGTGTAACACAAAGACAAAAAATCGGTTGCTGTTACTACGAAGTTGTCAAACTTACAGAAGCATGTAATGCAGTAAGTAGATTTGCTCGTTATGTCTCTTTTTATAAATTTTCAGATTTAAATTAGAAAATTTGACAGCGATAATGACAGATTTTCTATTCTGGGCGAAACTGCAACTTGGCATTATCCATTATTTGAGAGCCTTCTTTGTTATGATGAAATACTTAATGTTTGTTCTCTTAGGGGCCGTATCGTCAGTCGTTCCTGCAATTTTAGGACGCCCTTTTAGCCTCCATGATTGTTATAGTATTTTCTCTCATTCAGAAAGGCTGGAGTATTTCTTGATTTCTGCGGTTCCGCGTCAGTGCTCTCCTATTGTGAAGTTATATTTTCTTTTTGAATCTTAAGAAATCTCATACAAATTTCAAACACCCTGAAATGTCTCACAGTTCAAAAAAAATATAACCTCAAAATGGAGCGCGGACACGAAACAGTAGAAATCTAGAAATACCCGTGCCTTTCTGAACGACAGAAAAAACTACGAAAATCGAGGAGGCTATAAAGGCATCATACAGTTGTAGGAACGACTGACTGACGATACGGCCCTTAGTGTTTTTTTGTTCAACTAGCTAAGGATAGTTTAAATTCTATACTATTAATGACCTATAAAACTATGAACGTAGATTATATATTCTTAATAATTTTGTTTAATTGTTAAATTGTGCAATATTCGTATATGCTTCTTCCATTTTTGAAAAGCAAATCTTCATTAACAGTTTTCTTACCTATATTCTGGTATTAATAAACAGTATTCGAATGAGTTTTACTTTATTTCACAAGTTGATCTTAGTTTTGTAATTTAACATGTACAAATTTTATCTTTAGTTGGCACCTAGTTTTTGCGTATTCACCAAAGTTATTTTCTATGGATGTAGATATATTGTAGCTTTTGATATCGAATAAATAAATGATATTGATGTATACTGTCTCCATTTTTCATTTCACTACCAGAAAGCGCATGCTTCGCGTCATGTACACACGTTACTCTGCTCCGTATTTATCATTTATGGCAAAAAAGGATCAGACCACGGGCTTACAGATACTGCATTGTACCTAGGTGTACAGGCATGCCGGCTCTAGAAAACCATTTTTATCTGTGTCAGAATATGGAATAATTAGAAAGAACTGGTGCAGAGTAGTGAACAGGGACGATAAAATTTACCTCTTTCGGAAATATCATTGACTGCTGCAAATCTCATTTTACGTTAATACGAACATTTAGGCCCGTATCGTCAGTCGTCCCTACAATTGTAGAGCGCTTTTATGGCCTCCTTGATTGTCATACTCCTTTCTCTCCTTCAAAAATTTCTAGATTACACTTGTCCCGTATCAGCGTCAGCGCTCTCCTATTGTTAAGATATGTTTTCTTTTTAAATTGAAGGAAATTTCAGGCTGACAAAACTATATAAACTCAAAAGCAAGCACAATTTGATGCAAATAGATGTTTGTTACATAACCTCAAAATAGAGCGCTGACACTATGACAATCAAGGAGGCCATAAAGGCGCCCTATAATTGTAGGGACGACTGACGATACGGGCTTTAGTTATTATCGTAAAAAGGTTCAAAATAAATAATAGTTTATGTGCTTATTATAATAAATAACATAGTTGGTGTAAACGAGAACGGAGATAGATTTGGTTGCTTTTATTTCGAGATAATATGAATATTGTTATAGTGATCATGTTGTGGCTGAAGTGAAAATACCCATTGGACCTTATCTATGTTGACATGGAGATGCATAGGGCTGGTTCAATAACCAAACAACTTGACCAAAAGCCAGATAAAAAAAGGTAGCACTTTTTAAAATAATCAGCTGAAGTGAGATGTAGCAAAATAGATTTTGGAGTTGAAGGCATTATGATATGGCTTTGTATTTCTTGCCAATCGACGCATGACACTATACGTCAGCAGCCCTAGCTCCGCCATCACTGGATAGATTTTCAAAAACTAAAAGGTTTTTGGTCCTTGGCTAAGTAGTGTACCCTTGTGCAAAAATTTCATCAAAATCCGACCGGTATTTTCCAATATATAGAGGGGTCAAGGATTTGCGGCAGCCAGGCAGACAGGCCATCAGTCAACATCAATCTCATTATCGTAGTTTTCCGCGTTTACAATTCTTCCACACCAGTAGCACAGGAAGTAAAAATCTTAGTTTTCAACTTTGAGATTTTATTACAGTTTTTTAGGTTGTACTTTGGAAAAGGTTGAGATCGCCAAGACGTTAAAATAATTTATTGACCATATGTGTTCTGATTTATTGACGGGTGTTCGGAGAAGAGGTCAACATCAAAGAAAAAAGTATTTCCAAGCAAACTCCCACTTTGTCATCTAATTTTGTCGAACCGCGAAAAAATCTCTAACGTGTCACTTGGTCACGCATGATCGCGAAATTTTGTCGAATGAACAATGTATATTGCGAGATTCGGCACAAATATACTGGCTACTAGAATGTCAGCGCGCACCTTGGTCTGACGAGGATCTCGTTCATATTCGGCAGAACTAAATTTCGTCAGAATTTGCTATAATGCGAATAATATTCCTTGGTTCATGGAATGCATGCACGCGATGTAAGAGTGGTTCACCCTGTAAATCTAAATGCATCGCAACTGCAATGCTCACAACGCGACTCAATTAAAAATAGAAATGGCATTATAAAACGTGAATTGTTTTTAGTCAGTGGGTTGCCCTTTTCGTGAAGTACAGTATAAGATCCTCTTTGACTGGTACCTGTGATTACACCATAGAACGATATGATGTCCAAAATGTTAGCATTGCACGCCATTTCAAAGCAGGTAAGTCTTAGAAAGTAATATTTTCATTCAATTAATTATTATATAACATCCAGAATTAGTTTAGACGAGTTCAACATTCATACAAAAAATTCAGAGTTATGTTTCACTTTCGCATTTCCAATGCATTAGTTTGTGGTTTTCTCTACAAGTTTATTGAACTGTTCGATTTTGTGACACTGGCATCATGTCTAAAAAATCTTGGCAACCAAGTGAAAATGAAATGTCTAAAGTAGCAAAACATTCTGTAACTTCATCCCCCAACCACCGCGCTTCAGTTGGGTGGCAATTTAGTAAAATCTCATTATGTTCTAGCTGCGCGTTTTCCCAGTTACATGTTGCATCCGGAATCAGTAATAGTAATAAGTAATATTACTGTATTCAGTAAACTTCAATTATTATAGCCATATTAACAAAGATTTTTTTGTTTTATTCATTCTTAAACTTCCATTGCTGAAGAACGTTGAATTTGCAATATTGAAAAAATACTTGAGACTCAATTTTAAACAAACTATATTTCACTTACTTATTTTCTCGATTTTTAGGCCACTAAACCAGTTTTCCAGCAAACAATCATAAAACGTTTTTTGAAAAAGGAAGTGCAGCAAAGATATGCTCAGGATGAAAATATTCCAGTTCATTTAAAAAGAGGATTTAGCGACAAAGCTTTATTATTTCTGACTGCTGCTCTGACAGCAGTTGGAGTAGTTAGTGGTATGTACACCTTGATAGGGATGGCCTTTAGCAGCAAAAAGTAAATTTCACTACGTTACAAAACATTCTCAGCGTTTTTAAAATTACGACTGAGCAGCTTTACAATATTGTATGTTCTATTAAATGAATAATAAATCATTTACTCTAAGTGACTTTTATTTACCCTGAGGTTCCTGTTATTGACGTTTTTTAGGTAAACAGTGTTAGGTATTATTATTCGATACTTCATCACATTCTGACATCTATTAAAATATGCATTAAAATTTATTTATACCCTAATAAATTTCATTTCGCCGCGGTAAAGCGAACAGCTTACCTAGGCATTCATGGTCCAATGGTCAATAGGAGCGCTGGGATTGGTCCGTCGAACGCTAGTATTTTTTTGGGGTAGAAAGAATATTTGAGATTCCGTCAGAGTTTAGTTCTCAGCTATATCGATTGGTTCGATCTGACTGTACAAGTCATTTTACTTCCCACGCCTACTGGCGAGGAACTATTGACATCGCGAAAAATATCGTAAATGTATTTTTTGGATCTTATATGACATGTACTTCAAGAAAAACGTCACTCATTTCCGTCGGTATGTCTGTCTGTCCGCTAATCTCTGGACCGCCTATAACTTGGAAAGTACTGCAGATATTTGGATGAAATTTGCACACAAGGTTAGTACTATGCCAAGGAGTCAAAAGCTTCGCAGTTTTTGAAATTTGGTCCAGTGGCCGGCGGAGTTAGGGACAATAAGACGATAAAAAGAAAACCCGCTCAAACTTGGCTCCTGATCATTTTCAGAAAACTTTTGGTAGGGGTTGAAAATCGGGGGTTGGGATGGGGGACGGTATTTTGCACCAGTGCTTTTACGCACTTTTAAGTGATTATTTCACATAACATACATTACCTCATATATTTATAGGCGCGGTCGCAGTCGGCCGGGATGAACCTTCATATGCTGAGCATTGTCTGCGTCTGCGACTGATTGACTCTGACTGCATCGCCGCTTCTCTAGAGTTATATAACTAGAGTGGTAGCAGGGAAGAAGCTAGCGTTAGCGAAATCAAATGGGTGGGGATTATGGACTAATTATATGGGGCTGTTTGGCCGACTTAATCCATTTCAATTTTTTGTTACACGTTTGTCACTAGTTCAGAGGAACTAGCTTGTGCCGAACATAATCGTTTATGTACTGATGACAACCTTGCGAAAGAAGTGCAGAGTCAAGCTACTTGACACGTTTTTTTTTGTAATTTAGTCGGAGAAACTTTATTTATGAACGTAAATTGTATCACAAACTAAAATATCATGATAAACAATTACACGTTTGTCAATTCGTGGCACCAGTTTTTGTATACCGTCGTCAAAAAACGCTGCCTCCTGATCGTTAAACCGGTTAGTAACTGCTCCTTTCAATATAATTTCATGGTATGGTGGATCATCCAGTAATCCACAACGAAACTGGTCCAGTAGTGTCTCTGTTCTTGCAGCAACCTAAAGGTGGGATTTCACTTTGGCAACAGTGAACGACATGTGGCATGCTACTTGTTTAGTAGTGTTGCCTCTTGTTGACGTTACCCAAAATTCTAAAGCTGGCTACAGACAATGCATGTATTCGCGATTCGTGATGCGCGATGCATGACTCGTCTAGTTTGTAGTAATTCGCCACAGAGTATACAGACTATGCGTTTGTTTACGATTCGTATGCGCGATGTTGATTCATCCATGTTCGGCCGCATTTTCAAGTTGATTCATGGAAATTGGTATAAACTTATGCTCTGAGAAAATATGGAAGAAGACGATGATCTAGCAATAGCTAGCGCTTTTTTATAATCATGGCACAAAAGAAGAATTTTTCAAAAAACGGAAAAAACGCAGATGGTGGAGCTTATCACTGTTCAAAAATAGAGAAAGGTAATTATTGTTATTCGTTGTTTTTTCAGTTGAGAAGATATTCGTTATTACACCCTTCCTTATTTACAGATATAATGGCAACGATCTGCTAAATTATTTATCCCTGGAACTATCTAATTCTCCTGCAATTAATAGGCCCAGCTATAACTAAACAGACCACCCACTCTGCCAAAGAAAGACTTGCTGTAACTTTAAGATATCTCGCCTCAGGTGACAGCTACCAGAGTTTGAGCTATTTATTCAAAATGTCGCCACAACTTATATCCTCCATTGTGGTGGAAGTATGTGAAGCGTTAAAAAAGGCACTTCATGACCAAGTAAAGGTAAGCAATATACTCGCGAATCGCGAATACATGCATAGTGTGTAGCCAGCTTAATAATGCCGCATGCGGATTTTGTTTCCTCATGTGGCATGTGCTTTGTCGTACATGAGTGTAGCATCCGTCTTGACGATTCAATCCAGGCAACTTCAGTTTAGTACTTCATGTCGTTACAAACAGTCGCTGCGGCTGCTTATTTAGTAATTTCTTTGGATCGGAAAAGGAAAAAAACGCCAGAATATTGGGGAAGAAATATATACGCCCTTCTTGTAGGGCGACGATCCACTTTTTTTCACGTAATTTTTTTCGTTCCCGATGGAACGCCGAACGCAAATTCTTATTTTTTTTTAATTTCCAATACCGAACAGTCGTATTTTCCTATTTATAGAAATTAGCCATTAATAAATAAGCCAACTATTTTTGCTTCACCATCATACAAGGCCTGCCGTAATCATATTTACCTGACAATTCCCATAATTTATCCGGCTTTAGTCGCGCATCTTTATATCTTTCTGATTTGTTGTACCATAATTCACCGGAATTATGGTAATCTTCAATTAAAAATAAGTTTTTCTCATTGATCCATTCCATTTTGTCGCCTGCTCCAAGCTGCATATCGTGGAATGTATGTCGACATTTTGCACAATAACTTGAACAGCAGTACAGAAAAAAATGGGAATTGGGGATACATTTATCATTCAGCAGGATAACGCTCCTGAGCACACCGCTACTTTAAAACAAAGGAATAGTTACCTAACAATGTTTCTGCACAACTCAATACTGTACATAAGCCCCATTAAACATTTGTGGTACTTGCTGGACCTGAAGGGCTGAACAAGTAAAATGTCTGCCAAATGACAGCTACAAGATGTTCTTATGCAGGGATGAGACCAGAAATAACTCGGAACCTTCATGCCACGATGGCTTCAGGCCATGATTGATGCAAATGGTATTATCATACCATTATCATTTATTATCTAAGATTTTGCTGTGATGTGCTAATTTTTTAAAGGACTCTTGAATTTTACAATTAATATTATTAATCTTATATTATTTTCAATTTGCTCAATATGGCTGCCATCAAAATTTACTATTGCTGTTAGTTTTCAAAGAAATTTAGTACTAGAAAATTCATGTTTTCGTTACTGAGATTCAAGAAAAAATAGGGTGCGACCATACTATTTTGACCCACCATGTACGACCATGTGACGACCTATCTTGCACCTTGCACAGCTTTCATGAAAATGCCCCATGAAATTTCAGAAATAAAAATGATCAAAAAATGAATAAAAGTTACGTTTTTGAGGGAGGCTGGGACAAGTAAAGAACGTAATTATTAAATGGACGTTTATATATATATATATACATATACAGGGTGACTTCGAAGTTGAGTCATTTATTTTAACAGTGAGTAGATCTGATCAAAAGAAATGTTTTTTTCCTTTAACATTTATCTGGTAAAATTAAAGTAACAAAGTTATAGCCCTTTAGAAGTTTGAGTACCGCCCTGTCTCAATAATAATATGTGCTCGTGTTTGGCAACAACGGATATATCGGTTCATCGCATCGGAAACAAAAAGCGAAAGAATTTGAAACATTTATCACGATGTTTTTCGTCATTCGGTAACGCGTGAGTGAATAGTGGTGTTTGTTGCGTGGCTCAAACGAAATAAAAAATGGCACATGTTTACGAAAATGCTGAACTTGTGGACATGATTCTTATTTACGGGGGGGCAGTCTTTACAAAATGCTGCCGGATGCATCACGGATTTATGCGAATCGGTTTCCCAGTCGAGTGCAACCAACCTCTCGTGCCTTTGTTAATGTAGTACAAAGGGCTCGTGAATCAGGTAACTTAAGACCTCACAGTGGAAGGCATGCCGGTGCTCCAAGACCGCACGATCAAATACAGGTCCGCACTGAAATACTTGTCGGGAGGATACTTTATGAAACAAGGTAACATTTTTTTTTATTTTTTTTTTATTTTTACACATATTTTGGTTTATCTTCCTTCTACAATCATTATCTGAAAATTAGTGACTCTGTATACAGGGTGACTTTGAAGTTGAGTCATTAATTTTCAGATAATGATTGTAGAAGGAAGATAAACCAAAATATGTGTGTAAAAATAAAAAAAAATAAAAAAAATGTTACCTTGTTTAATAAAGTATCCTCCCGACAAGTATTTCAGTGCGGACCTGTATTTGATCGTGCGGTCTTGGAGCAGCATGCCCTCACCTGTGAGGTCTTAAGTCACCTGATTCACGAGCCCTTTGCACTACATTAACAAAGGCACGAGGGGTTGGTTGCACTCGATTGGGAAACCGATTCGCATAAATCCGTGATGCATCCGGGAGCATTTTGTAAAGACTGCCCCCCCGTAAATAAGAATCATGTCCACAAGTTCAGCATTTTCGTAAACATGTGCCATTTTTGATTTCGTTTGAGCCACGCAACACACTACTATTCACTCAGGATTTATCGACTGACGAAAAACATCGTGATAAACGTTTCAAATTCTTTCGCTTTTTTGTTTCCGATGCCATGAACCGGTCAGGCGGATTATATCCGTTGTCGCCAAACACGAGCATATAATAGGCAGGGCGGTACTCAAACTTCCAAAGGGCTATAACTTTGTTACTTTAATTTTACCAGAAAAATGGTAAAGGAAAAAAACATTTCTTTTGATCAGATCTACTCACTGTTAAAATAAATGACTCAACTTCGAAGTCACCCTGTATATGTATATACAGGGTATCCGCAAAGTTGGGGTTTTCCTTTTCAGAAACAACTACCCTTGAAATAACAAAGGTAATGTGTAGTGAAACGAGGGCGACCAAGTAAAAAAAATAAAGGAAAAAGTACTCACTCTCCAGTTGACGAGAAGGGCTAAGTACGTCTCTGCCCGAAATCATACCGCTCCAACAGAAAATGAAATCAGCTGATGCGCTACCGAGCAGACGCACCATGCCAGCCCAAACATTCACCGAAAACGTTTGTTGAAAATGTGCCCGACGGACAGCGTGCGGGTTTTCTACTGACCAAACATGAGTGTTGCGAAAGTTATTCACCCCATTACACGTGAACGTAGATTCGTCTGTCACCAATATGCACTTCTAAAAGTCCGGATTATTGTCATGTTGACGCATCAACCACTCACAAAACCGCACTCTTGCTGGAGAATCGTCCGGTTGAAGGGCTTGTACACGTTGGACGTGAAACGGATACAGCCCCTCTTCACGCAGCGTTTGCCACACTTTGGTTTTTGATACTTGCACTTCTCTAGCCACATCTCTAGTGCTTGTTGAGGGATTCTCGTCTACGCGATTACCTCTACACGCGTGACCGTAACCGTCGGTTGAAGGTTGCATACTGACCTGACACACTGACCCCGACCCAGTTCTGTCGTCGGGTTGAGCCAGTGACCTTGTACCACTGGGTGATGTCGAGGGTCGCGGCTACAGGACGGTATTCAGATATTTTTGATGTTGCAGAGCCCTTTATCTCGGTTCCCTTAAGACATTGGTGTATATGGTACTAAGAAAAATTGCTTAAGTTTTCAAGATCTACACGTCGTGTAAAGGAAAACCCCAACTTTGCGGACACCCTGTATATGTCCATGTACGACGAGCTATCTTGCACCTTGCCCAGCTTTCATAAAAATGCCCCATGAAATTTCTGAAATAAAAATGAGCAAAAAATGAATAAAAGTTACGTTTTTGAGGGAGGCTGAGACAAGTAAAGAATGTAATTATTAAATGGACGTTTACAACTATTTTATAAGAGTCGTTGAAATTAACAAAAAGTAGAGTAAGGGTCGGTTGAGCCTAGAAAAATATCAACGATTGTGGAAAAAAGCGGTATTGCTGGATGCGTGTTTTAAGGCGAAATGTATAGGGAATCAATGATATGTGAAATATGTTATGTCTTAAAGGTGCGTAGAATTAATGGGGTTGGAAACGTGGAACTAACGCCAAAAAATTGTGTTATACACTCCTCCCACCCCCTACAACCTCTAACCCATTTTTTACCCCTAAAAACAGTTTTCCATAAATGATGAGGAGTCACTGAAACATCAAAAAACGTGAGTATGGGATTTTTATTGTTTCGCCTTTTGTCCATAGCTCCTCCGCAACTGGACCGATTTTCAAAACTACAAAACTCTTTCATTCTACAGTAGTAACCTTGTGTGGCGGGTTCATCAAAATCTAACTGGTATTTTCCATGTTATAGAAGGGCCAAAAATTAGCGGACAGAACGACCGATAGACAGACCAACGGAAACAAGTGACATGGTTTTTCGTCATGTGCATTTCATATAACATCCGAAAGCACAATATCTCATTTTTTAAGTTGGCAATTATAATGATTTCCTGTCCGTAGGTGGGGGAGGCAAAAATGTCACTCTAGTCAGTGGTTTGGGTAAAGTGTCTGGATTTCTTTTTGAGTTTTTTGAGATCATTTACCCTGGTGAATCGGTACCTCCCCCACTCTAATGGTTTTACTATGAAAACAACATTTGGCGGTTTCATGTTATATGCGGCAAAAAAATGTTGTCCAGTAGACTGACTCAATAGTCTACTGAATGGTTTAACTATAATTTGGAATGCTAGGCACACAAAAATTATACGGGTCATTAAGGCCAAAGAAAAAAATGTGCGGAATGCCTGGTTCCACATTTTTGAGAGCTTAAAACACCCTGAACTAAGCAGAAAGCTCAGAAATGTCGAAAATAAGAGTACGGAGACTGGAGATATTCTGCAATTTTTCGTTTTTCGCTCTGCAACCGATGGACATATTTTCGCAATCTACAAAGTACTATGACGACATGCTAATACTCATACTTCACGAAAATCCGAACAAGATACCTCCCGAGAAAGAAGTACAGAGAATGTCTTCAAATGAGTGACATAAGACATGATGCTTCGTAATTTACATACATCTCATTCCGTCCGAAAAAACAGCATTGCTGTATTCATAACGTTTCAGGATTAAAATATTTTCTCGCCAACTGACGTGAGAAGCTACATTAAGTTTTAGTTTAATGCATTATGCAGATCTTTATCTTTAATTTTCGATTTACGGAGAATTTAATACGTATTTGTAGAAACGTCCCAAAAAATGATAAGAGTAATTTATGGAACAAAAGACCAAAAATAATGAGTAATAATGGGAAAAATGAGTCCGTGGCCAACCTGAAGTGGTGAAATTCGCTAAACGCACCCAATGAAAAAATTATACCTCTAGAATATATCATATAATAATCAATAAAAAAGAAATCTAGATTTATTAGTTTCTGTTCAGGCTGAATGATGTTTCAACAAATAACTACACATTTTCAATTCAAAATAACATAAATTCTTTATGTGAAAGACCTTATTTTAACTGCCTTTCTCTGGGCGGTAAAGTATTCCTGTGTGGTACGCGCGACTTGAACAATATGCCATCATCTCCTAGATCTGTATTATAACCATTCTCATATTTCATCCCAGGAGCCTATAAACATGAAAAATATGTATTACAAATCTAATAAGTGAGTCGTCTCAAAAGTGAGTTACACTAATTATTTAATTCATCTCGGGGACGGCAAAGCACGTTAATTAATTTTTTTTCTTGTATCACAAAAGTCGCGAACTTCGCGATTGGCGGTAGAAGCGAATGAGTCTCCATGAAGGATGGAACCCCACTGCTAGATCGATCAACACGCATGCGCTTTTGAGACAACCTTTGTGTTAAATGTATCATAAATCAAGGAGACACTCAAACCAAAGATAATGTATAATAATGTATAATAATGCATGATTATTACCTCGTTTATTGTCCTGAAATAGAAGTCAGCATCCTCTGCCTCAACAAGAAGCTCAGGAACATCCCAGCATGGTATGTTTGTCAAGTTCATAATTAGGTACTTTTGATCTGCATACCTGTAGAAGAATATATTAACCATGTAACATCTGAAATTTATCCTGTGGTTTTGACGTCGATAATCCCTCATATTTCTCTGGCCAATGGCAACCACATGTGTTGAAAAAATCTCGTCCATTGCGGCAAAACCCGCCCAGATCTGTTGTCGTTAACTTTTGCGCAATCTTTGACTAAAATGTTGCAAAATAGGGCACTTCGGGGCGAAGAATGAGGGTGACGTATCTGGTACATTTAAAAAAAAACCTCTTGCTCTTATCATTTTGACGGGCTGGACGATCTTTTTTGGGAGCGGCAATGCCTACCACCAGGAGACCCTTAAAATTTGGAATGAGGACTTCGCGCAATCTCAGCATGTTAAGGAAACGTTTTACACTATTGTACTAGCACATTGTATAGGAATATGAAAATGAAAAGAAAAAAAACAAACGAATTGTCACCTGGAAAACAGATAGATCAAAGTCATTGTACTGAAGAAGGTCACCGTTGTGACAGAAATATTTACAATAAAGAAGACTCGATTGGTCAGAGAAACATGGGATTAAAAAACTACGGTAGGAATTAATGAATGTGTACCGAGTCTTCGTCGGTCTGGCGTCGATCGACATAATCCCTCGGGGTAAGATTTGATGAGTGATGATTGTAAAGCAGTATGCTTTTGATTTGGTAATAAAATATTTTAAGAATGACTCATAATAAATATACCCAACCATGCTCCTAAACAAAAACTATTCAAAAATATCTATTTATGGATTATTCTATATGGTATCTAGAGGCATGTTTCTAAAATATTCCCAGAAATATAGAGTGTCCTGATTTTGACCCACATATCGACAAGATTAATATAACATACTTATGGATTTTAGTTATTAGTTGTTGAATTAATGGGTATTTTATATAAAAAAAACATCTAATTTTGACAGCTTGCATATCTGCTATGTCGAGAATTTTGTATGAAAATGTTTCTGCTTTACTCAGTTTTAGCATAATTCATCCATTTCTCGAATTTTTCAAATGATCAATACAGGATCATCAAAGATGCGAAATGTACTACGAGTATGTAGCAAAAAAAATCAATGGAACATCCTGTTGATTTTTTAACTATTTCATAAGCTTCTTTTTCAATACAAGGTTATTACAGGTTTGTTCAAATGGTGTCTGTGTTATAGCTATTTGTTTAAAAAAATTGGATATTTCTCTATTTAAATAAGTCACATCATCCATCAAACCAGAAAAAAAGCGATTATTGAAAATTTGTCTATAAAATCAGACTTTTATTAAGAAACCTAGGAATTCAATGGTTTGTATTGTAATCCATTATTACATATTGATATAATATAAAATTCAAACAATTTGTACTACTATAGAAAATAATCTCCTCTTGATGTTGAACAAAGATTCGAAGATACCGAATATAGAGGATATGAAGCAGAGAATTGAAGAAGCAAAGTGACCCTGAATTGATCATTAAAAGAATTCGATAAATTGATGAATCGGTCTAAAATTGTCAAAATAGCAGAAATGCACGCCGTAAAACTATGATGTTCTTTTCATATGAAATACCCAACAACTAATAACCAAAACCCATAAGTATGTTATATCGATCTTGTAAGTATAATAAAAAGTAGGATATTCCTTATAAGAAAAATCAACTTAGGTATGAGGGTCAAAAATGGGACACCCTGGATAATTGTGAATATTTCAGAAATGTGTACCTTATATAATAATCTATAAATAGTTCTATTTGAATAGCTTTTTGTTTAGGACCAATATTCCGTTCTCGTTGGGACACCCCATACATACCCCCATCACTAATAACCTGTTGGAGATCTGCATGTCTATATTCAACTGATGCGTTAATAATACATGTGTTATGGATGCGCTACGAGTATGGGTCTTTAAAATTGAGAAAAACACTGAGAAGAAATAGGGCAGAAAGACTTTTAAATAAATATAGATATTGAATCAGTTAGAGCATAGGGATATATAATAGACATCTTCCGCATACGTATTAATTGCCTACCTTCAAGCTATACAGTTACTTGCATATTTTAATGAAAAGAGGTCTGAATAAAAAAGTCAGATTTTATATCAAAGATTCAACAATAAAGAGAAACGTTCCATAAGATTTTTACTTCTCTGCAAATTATTTGTCACTCTGCCAGAAAATAGGTCGTGGCAGACAAATCCTAGTCAAAGTATTGCTACAGGACGAAAGAAGTAAACCTAGAAAAAAGAACAGAAATGAAGATAAAGATCAAGCTGCTGGAAGCGGTCCAGTGTTCACAATGTAAATAATGAAGATACAACTGCCAAATTACAAAGAGAAATTGAATATCTAAAGAAAATAATTGAAGAGAAGGATATTTTACTAGTTGGTAAAAATAGATTAATAGAACCACTAGTAAATGGAAATTACACGGTAAAAGAAAAACATGACTTAATTGTTCAACACATGAAGGAAAAAGAAAGAGTTATGGAAAGTCCAAACAGGTTAGAGAAAAATTAAAGATAGCAAGACATTTATTAAATTAATAGAATTAGTGGAAAGTAAAAATCTCTGAGTGATAATCTGCTGTGGTCAGACTTTCTAAGAAAAAAAAAGCTGAGGAGTTAGTAGTTAACCCAAAAGGTAAGATCAAAAGTAGCATTTAAAATGTTCTAATGCAAAAATTAAATTCTACAGTCATAGGAATATCTGTTAATAAAATAACACACGCAAAACAAGGATGTTTAGTCATTGACGTAGATGAAAAAGTACTGGTAAAATTTTCTTTAGGAGAATTGGCAGGACAATTAAACCAAAAATAAAAGTAACTAAGGTTTGCGAATCTGAATTGAATGATGAAGAAGAATTTGTGTCTAAATTTTAAAAGCAAAATATTCCTGAAAAATTAAAAAGCAGTGAAGTGAAAGTAGTTCATAAATAGAAGAGTAGTAAAAGTAGAAAAAAGCAGGTAGCATACAGAAAATGAGTCTTGCTGGATGAAAAACAGTCTTTATATTTAAGACGGAATAGTAAAATTTTTTAGCATTCAATGTTATAAATGTTGACGATTTGGACAGTAAGGAGTGCAATTATGTTGTAGTACGTCCATACTGCGGACAAAATCACATTAAAGAAGCACATAAGGCTGAAAGGTTCAGCCGCAATAATTGTAGATATGCACACGAAATATTGAAGATCCTAAATGTTTCATATGATCATAATATATTTGACAAAAACACCCAAGTTAATTAAATCAAATCGAAAAAGCCAAAGAAAGGTCATTTTATGGAAAATGCAGAAAAACCTCCTTTTGTTGAAGTATTAAGGGATTAAGCTATTTGATTTTTGTTATGCCCATGTTAATGTAATTATAGCTTAATAAACACTCATTCTATTCTAATAGATGAGAGCTAATAAGAATCACAATGCATAAAAATCTGATGTTTTATATAATATCAAATGCCACCTCAAAATACTTACTTATGTCTCAATACAGCATAATCTTCTTCGTTCCTAAAATCCCAGTCTTTTAGATGTTGATCTTGATAGTCATAATTGAAGTTAATTCGTTCAATATCTTCAACAACAATCTCAACATCACCTTCTTCTGACCAATCATATACCAACAGTTCTGAGTGTTTGCTGGAATAGAAGGAATTGTAGTTTAACCGAGAAAATGCAAACAAGTATTTAACAAGAGTTTGCATCATAGAAAATGATTCACCAATGTATTACATTGTTAGAGAAACTCCACTAGATACGTGTGAATTACTGAGTATGAAAAGACGTCTCATCTATGGAAGATGTATTTACTTGCTGTAATGAGAAATCTCCTCACCTCATTTCTTTTAGATAGCTTTGCATGTAGTGTTTCTCCATGACAGACAAATATTGTTGATTTATTACTGGAGAGCCTTTTTCGAAAGAAATGCCACGCTTTTTAACATTCTCGATAACTTTTGGAACAGGAACGTCCAAGTAAATGATCAGGTGCGGTCTCAGTAGCTCAATCATCGGGTTATCACGAAACTCGTAGTACTTCTTGTAAGCTAAAAATATTTAATGAGAATATTAGAACAAAAATAATTTACACAATAGATTTGTTTGACCACATAAAGGTTATTTTTAATTGATTAAAGTCCGTCTCGGATGTGCAACTTAAATTACCTTTTTTGGAAAGGTATCCTTGATTGTACATAGCTTCTGCAAATACAAAATCAGAATACACGCATCTGTCCAGAACAACTCCCTGACCTGTGCTGAATACATGAGCCAAAGCATCAACATATTGAGATAACCTGTAATTAAGAATTTAGCACATGTTAAGGAAACTATATGTTCTGATATATACAGGGTGTCCTAGGTAGAACTGCAGCGATCGATTACTCAAAAGAATGACGTCAATTACGAAAACTTGAATAATGTATTTTCTCATGAATTTTATTCAATTTAAGAAATATTGTGAAATTACTTCCCCCAACGTTTCTCTTTAAAAGTTCGTATAATCGGCACTTGCAATTCTACACGTCTACCTTATAACGCCATAAACACTCTTTTATTGTTTTGGTCAGTCGACACACTTATAGGTGTCCCACTGTCATGATGGTTTATGCAAGATGTTTTTCCGCACTAAAACACCAGCGTTTCACTGTATTATTACAAACCGCACATAATCCAGCATTTGCTATAATGTTTTGATGTATTTCAATAGGCCCCATACCCTTTTTTGCAGACATTTTATAACAGATCTTTGCTTGACTTACTTTCAACAACATCTGCCTCATCAATAGGTAAGCAGCATACTGTTAATACAATACATAAAAATTGGTGGTGACAAATGTTATTATAGTTTCTTACCTGGTAATAAGTTGTTGTATCTGGAACCTGGCAGTTAACTTATGCTTGGGATTTCTGAGGAAATCCGGCACATCAAAGCTCCTTGTCATTTCTGGCAGAATAGGATCTAGCTTACGTAAATCATATCCATAATTGTTTATATAATTCATTCCAAGGTTTGCTTCTGGCAGATAAAGCATATCAAGCTCAGCAGCTAACTGCTTTGCAACCTTAGTTTTACCAGCTGCTATGGGTCCCTCAACAACAAGAACCTGAAATAAATTTTCAAATAACTAGTTAGATTGCCAAAGGTTGTGTAGGTATAATGTATTACAAAAAAAATACAATGCCTAGCAATACTTGAAGACTCCTCAGCAAGAAATAGTTATTATAGCAACCAGGGTGATTCAAAAATCAGTGGCAATGTTTATATAGCAGAATGTGTTTCCAAAAATAAAAAATGCTCCCTTAAATATACGTCCTGGATTGTCTCATTGCCAAGGTACAAGGTGTTGAAAATGTGTGTTTGTTTTATTTTTTTATTAAAACTAGAGTGAATTAAGTAGAACCTTTGGAAACTCGACAAACAATTATAATAATAAGGCAATCAAATGATATGAGGGTTTTGACGTCACCTGGAAATGCGCCAAGATGCGTCGTTTAACCCAAAGTCGTTGACACCGCAGTTTTAAATTTCCAATTAAAAATAAATGAATAAAGTATGTGTTTTAAGGTATTATGCAGTGTGTTTTCAAAGTTGAGTAATTTATTTTAACTGCTGGTAGGACTCGTCAAAAGGAGTTGACATACCAAAGATCACCTATATAATAATAATAATAGACGTCTTTATTTATCCACAATTACATTGTAGTATAGCCAAATGTCAGACTTATATGGTGAAGTTTAGCATGCTGCTACTCTTACACTTAACCATATAGTCTCTAGCAGATGTTCAAAAGAATACACTATCCACTATATAAAACTTGCATAATAAAATAAATAGTAAAAGATATATATATATATATATATATATATATATATATATTTACATCCAGGTCAATCATTTGCTTCCATCAACATGCACGGCACATTACATCTTGACTCCATGACTATATTGATACCATATATCGGACTCAAAATAGTTAACTCGATTTCTGCCGCTCTAGAAGACCAGAGATGCTTCAATCTTTACAGATTCCTACGCGATTCGTCAGCAGAATCTGTGTTGAGTTTTTGTTCTATGATACCTGGCACCAGATGGCTGCAATTGAATAATGTGTGGATGCAAATTATTACTACTTTTGTAACCAAAAAATACGATTTTAGTTCACAGAAATTCCGCTACGCGCAGGCATAAATATGCTCACTGGAGCTTTGCCTTCATTCCGTAGATTATTTTGGTTCCTCTTCTAAAAATCATTGGCAACGCTGCATATCGCGTCTATACGTATAACAACATCATCTATCCAGTCGTATCTTGATTCCCGACGTTTTGAGTATGATTTTGCAGCCAGTGAGTTTCTGTTGCCTGTTCAACTTGTTAAATACGAGTAACTTTCTTTGAGACCGAAATGGCTAGCAGTCAAGAAGAGGTAAGTTGTGTTTTTACTACCCACGCCAACTGGTGAGGAATGATTGTTTTTCGATTGATTGATTCAAAATTTCAGGTAATAAAATTCGGGAATAACAGAAAAACAAATAGATGGCTTTGTAACAGATCATTATCTCCAAGTGAGGACAAGAGTGGAAATGATACTCGACAAGAAAAGGTTAGTTTCAACAATGACTAGATTCTTGTAAGTCTTAATAGTCCTTTGGCCCACGGGGAGAGAATATTTTGTGACAACCTAGCCTTCAAGATTTTATAAAACTTTTTCTTTACGTTGATTGGGACAAATATTCAATAGCGACAATTTCTTATACGAGGCGTTGTACTTCCCATGACAATTTTCAGAAAGGTTCGAAATCGAAATATCTTTTTTTTAATATTTCGTGACACACAATCCCAAAAATCCATGCTACTCATGTCTGTCAGTCTGCCTGCAAATCTTTGGCACCTCCATATGGATTTTTTTAGACACAAGATTGCTCCTAAGAGGAGTATGAAAAAGTTTTGAATTTTTTCCTTATATTTCACATTGAATGATCTTCAACGTCAAATCGCCACTAATGGGTAACTCTTCGGGAATGCATTTTAGGGTGAAATACTTCAAATAAAAGTTGTAAGATTAATCCTCAGCTATCAGAAGATGACCTTGGATTCTTCTTTGACCTTGAAGGTCATTTAAAGGTAGAGTTTTAAACGTAGATCCTCATTTTTGACTCCTGCAATGAAATGAGCGAAAAATATTACGTTTAGATATGTCCTGGGGTGACGCTCATATTTCACCTTGAATGACCTCCGGGCTACTAAGGCAAGAATGATAGTCCCGGCCAACTAAGGCAAGGTTAAGAGCCCTGGCCATATGGTATTAGTTTCACGTTGAGAGATCACTGTTTTCCAAACTACTATGTTCTTTAATTTTACACTTGATATGACTAGGACTAGATGATTCACCAATACATAATTTCAATTTTTTAATCATCGCTTGTTTCAGGAAACGGAGAATGAACCGCCATTGATTTGTGCTGCTGGTGAAGGCGAATCTGCAGAGCCCTCTACACTCGCAGCATCGAAAAAATATAGACGCCAGACCAATATGTGTTATTTCTGTTAAACGGACGTACAAAACTTTGTACGCCATCTACGCAGGAACCATTTATGCGAAACAAAAGTTCAGGAAATATTTTCACATCAAAATAATTCTGTAGAAAGGAGAAAATTACTTGCACTTTTGAAGAAAAAAGTCAAATTCATAAAAAATTCAGAAGAGTGCGTCAAACCTGTGAAGAAGGCTCGTTCACCAAGTGCATCTTTTCTTCCGTGCGGAAATTGTCTTGGATTCTACAGATCAAAGTTTTTATACAGACACAAAAAAAGTGCTTGGAAGGTCAGTCAGCAAAAATGCTCAAACTGAAACGCAGAATCTTCTCGTAAAAAATAAAAGAATTGACCAAAGATTGAAAGTCGAAGTCTTTCCCAGAATCAGAGCGGACAAAATATCTCGTGAGGCAAAAAATTATTATCTTATTTATGCCTATGGTGCTAGATATTTGAAAACCCATAGAGAAAAGCATTTTATCAATGTAATGAGTAGAAAAATGAGAGAGCTTTCCAGAATATTACTAGAATTGAAAAAACTAGAGCCAACAATACACAATCTATTTGATGGCTTGAAACCGAAGCACTATGACCAACTAGTTGAAGCTACAAAATCAGTAGCAAACTACGATACCGTTAATGACACATTTGATTCTCCCACATTTGCCATGAATATAAGTACCGCACTGAAACAGTGTTGAGACATTGCAATACACATGGTTATAAAAAATGAACCATCAGTTGAAACAGCTAGCCTCAAAACGATGATTAATTTACTGCAATCAAATTGGAGATTTGATGTCTCTGGCCGCGCTGGCAATGATTTGAACTTGATAAAATTCAATAAAGCGACTATTGTGCCATTAGCAACAGACCTTAGGCTTTTAAAAAACTACTTGTTGTTGAAAGCAGGAGAGGCAGTGAACAGGTTGGCTAGAAATGCTGCTGATGCGAACGCGTACAATACTCTGCTGGAGACAGTTTATTTCAGGGTAATACTACTGAATAGAAAAAGACCAGGTGAACTGCAAAGGATGTTTCTTCGCACTTATGAGAGTTCTGAAATTAAAAGTGGCGAATATGAAGAATTTGAAGAAGTCATAACCGAGGCGGAAAAACTACTGATAAAAAATCTGAAAAGAGTTGTGATACGAGGTAACGCCATGGCGTACCGGTATTGTTCAGCAACGATGTACGGCTTCATGTCAAAGAATTACTCAAAGTGGGGAATAATTTTGTCCCAAAAGAAAATCCTTACTTTTTTGGCAAACCACGGCTCACCGGGCCAATTCAGGGATATAAAGTAATGGCAAAATATGCTCATGCTTGTGGAGTAACAAATCCTCAAGCAATTACTTATACCAGGCTTAGAAAACACCTTGCAACATTGAGTCAACTATTTAGTTTAAACGAAAATGAAATCGAACAGTTGTCCAATTTCATGGGACATACACCTGGGGTACATAAAGATGCATATAGGCTACCCGACGATTTGTACCAGACCGCGAAAATTTCAAAATTGCTAATTCTGATGGAAAATGGAGAAGCTGGTGAAAATAAAGAAAAAGGATTAGAGGAAATAACAGTGGACTTAGAAGAAGATCTATTAGAGGAGAACGGGTGTGATGACGAGGATGGAGAAAATATGGTAAAGGAAGAAGAGGATCAGGAAAAAAGAAATAAGAGAAATGTTATCTAATAAAACAGTAGTGTCAGAGCAAAAAGGAAAGAAAACGGAATTACCTGTAGCTGTCAATAAGAAAAAGCGTATTCTTACACCATGGCCTAGTGAACAGAAGGAAGCAGTAACATTCTTCTTTAATAAGAACATAAAGATGAAAAAAGCCCCAAAAAGAAAGGACTGTGAAGAAATTAAAAGTTTATACCCCGAGTTGCTAGCCAATAAAGACTGGCTAAAGATTAAAGTTTTTATACAAAATGTGTATTCAAAAAAAAGCAAATAAGTTGTAAAATTTGAATGTGAATGAAAATAAAGAAATCAAGCTCACTTGAGTTTATTTATTTTGATCGCTAGTTGTGCCTAGACTGCTATCAGAGGGTATCATCAGTAAATGTGTGTATTTATTGTCATAGTTTATGGAAATATTTATTATAAACGTTCATACCACCTTGCGTTGCACTGCTATTTGATAAATTTTTCTTTTACTTCGTATTTCTCCTGATCCTCTTTTTCATCCTCCCTCTTTTCGACATGCTCATTATCAGATCTGTTCTGCCCCAAAAGAGCTTGTACTAAATCCACTGTTATTTCTTCTAATTATTTTCCTTTGTTTCCGTTAGCTTATCCCTTGTCCATCAGAATTAGCAATTCAGACATTGATGCATAGGGGCTGCGATTTACATCTCCATCTACCCCTAGTATATGCCCCATAAAATTGGACATCTCTCAGATTTCACTTCCGTTAAATTAAATAGTTGACTCAATTTTGATAATAATAATAAACGTCTTTATTATTCAGATTCTGTACAACTGGCGAATTCATGATACGAATTGTTTAATAAGCCTGGTATAAGTTTGCTTCACAATCGATAGGTGTTTTGCAATTACTTCCAAAATACCGGGAGACCCGTTAGAAATTCATTGGCAGCTCTCCCCCTTTTTTTGAGTTCAAAAGTATTCCACTACGAGATATTGTAAGCATTAACATTATAAGCATGTTTAGCCGATATGTTGAGGTGTGCGGCTAGTGGCACAATGGTTATCATATTATTTTCTTCCAAATCTATGTTACCATTACTGCGGTTATATCGTCAAATCTCCACATTGACTGTAATAAGGTATTCATTGTCTTGGGCCTAGGTTGATACAAAGTTGTACTGACTGTTGGCTCATTTCATATAACTTCATGTAACTGAGTGTCAAATGTGTCTCTACCGATTTTCTTATAAATTTCGGTTTCAAGTTACCAAACGGATTGATTTTACTTCTTTCAATATTCTTTATTCATTCTTCACGTTGGTAGCGCCTTTCTCTGTGAGATATAATCTAAATAATCTTTTTCTTCAAGAAATATTGTGTCTAAAAAGTCATAGTACAATTTGACATATAGTAATATCTATTTACCAATAACTTACATGTCATAGATACAATCCAAGTTAATAATTAAGCTGAACTGGAAGATGGTAAATTTCGCAACACTGTCGGAAGCAAAATAACCATTGCTACGTTAAATATACAACTTATGGAACCAAAATAGTTCTACTTACGTACAGATTTATACTGATGGTAGTAATTTAGATTGTCATATAGAGAGAATCAACATATTTAATTCGCGAAAAAAGTGTATACAGTGTATATTGGTGCCTTCATAATACGGACAAAAAAAAGTATATCGGTATAAGCAGAATTCAATGAGGAACCTATATACACATCAAAATGTATGCTAGCGCAATTCCTAACGGTGGACGCAGAATGCTTTGTCTTTGAAAGGAAGCAGTATGGTCTTAAGATGTAAATATATATATATATACGTATATATATATATATAGGTGAAAAATTAAAGCGACAATGACCACGTCTCAAGTTATATATATATATATATATATATTGTAGGATCCTATGTGGCAGCGTCGGAGTGTAACGGACAACGGGATAAAGTAGAAGAGTGATAAAAGAGAGAGATGGCAGAACGGGCGCTGGCGCCTACCGCTTAGACGGATGCGCTCAACAAATGCGATTTGTTTCTCCCATTCGCAGAGTTGCCGTTACCTATTGGTATATTTGTCATATTTCTAAGAAATCTAAGTCTACCCAAATTTCGGGAAAAATAGCTTCGGATTCCACATAAGAGTATTCCAAAAATGAAAAAAGTTCAAACGATTAAAATTGTATTAATGTTTCATGGTTCAAATCATATTTTTCATGTTTGTATATTGTTGTATAAATGATTTTGTAATCCCTATTCTTGTTGCCAGTAGAGATACAACAGTATTGAGAGAAATCATGGACCGCTAGATAGGGCTACAACTACCATATGACTATCAAATAGTAGTGATAAACAGGGTTTGTTTATAGCACAGTTGCCTGGTGTGGCGAATTTGCGCCATAGGGGCGATTTGACAACTTTGAAGGACAACTATAACGGTTACTATGGTGCCCGGTATTCGGGAATCTGGCAATACCTGATGATTCCTAACGTTTATTACGCCAGATTGTTTGCTGACTTGCGCAGTACAACATGACAATCAACGTGACTGAGCACCTGGTAACCCTGGTTTAAGGTGTTATATTTAAAGAGCTTGGGGCAGTTAGGTATCTAGGTCACATTTTTTAATGTATTTCGAGAAATCCGTAATGTTGCGTAAATACTAGATCACGTTTCTTGCTTAGTTTGCTGAAATTCTACAATAGACGTACATTTTGAGAAAAAGAGATTTGGTACGACAAAATCGTAAAAATATAACGCATTTTCGTAAAATAATTTCTTTGTTGAAAAGACTGTGGCTTGATGACCCATTGAACGAGTATAGTGTCCCGCTCCGCTTTGAATATTCGAAACATTATACTCCAGCAGCATTCAGCTTCAATGTTATCTTTACGAAGTTCTAACGTCTAGGCCATGCTGATTAAAAGCTTGAATGAATCAACACTTAACTCTAAATTCCCCACAATTCGGGAAGCTCTACTCAAATTGGCAACACAGCGTATCTGCCTATTATTCTCATTCGTGATACAGGTCTGCGGTTAACGGTAGGAAATTTGTACGAATAGCGATGAAAGTAGACGAGCCGATGCGCTGTTGCCAAGAAATGATTTCCCATGTATAACAATGGTTTTTCCTAAGGTATATATATATATATATATATATATATATATATATATATATATATATATATATATATCTATTATCTATAAGAATGTTATTACACAGATTTTTTGATATTCTCGATCACTGCAGTGTAAAATCTTAGCGTTTATTGTGTTATTGTCTGGTTTTCAGTATGAGTCTTTGGTTAGATCAGTTGTATCAGTCTTTTAATAGTGCGTATACTTTCATTTGTCTGATTATTTTGTGCGACAAATTGCTCATGTTTACGGAAACAATGAACTAGTGGACGTAATACTAACATACCGAGAGTGCCAACAAAATGCAGCCGCAGCATGCAGGTTGAATACGGAAAGGTGTTATTTAAGAAATCATCCTGCCCCATGGATGTTTGTAAATTTAGTTTTTAGACTTCATGACACATGATATTTAAAAGCACATCGAGGAGGTTACGCTGGAGACCTGCTCAACCTGAAATGTTACAAATTGAGACAGACATTTTAGAAATGGTCGAAGGCAACCCAACAATGAGTACTAGAGCCATAGCAGCTCAAGTTGAAGTTTCTCGTAGTAAAGTGTGGATGACAATATGATAAGAAAAGTATTATCCTTATCATTATCAATGGGTACAAGTGTTACAACCTGAAGGTCATTCTAGAAGAGCTGCATTTTGCGAGTGACTTTTAGAACAATTCGGCAAGTATGAAGATTTTACGAAATTAATTTTGTATAAAGACGATGCCAGATTTACATTAAATGGAGTGCACAATTTCCACAACAATCATGTTTGAGCAGTAGAAGATCCGCATGCTGGAAAAGAACTCATTTTCAACATAGATTTTCAATTAATGTTTGGCTGGCGTAGTAAATGTCTTGCTTATTGGTCCCTACTTTTTTCCTCGTCGATCGATCGGTGAAATGTATTCAGATTTTCTTCAACACAGTCTGACACAATTATTAGAAGATCTTCCTCTAAATGTGAGAAAGAATATGTGGCTCCACTACATTTTAGACGAGAAGTTCATGAACATCTAAATAATGAGTTTCCGAATAGAATGCAATGGACCCATTTCTTGGTCTGCTCACTCACCGCCTTGCGGTTTTTTCTGTGGGGCTATTTGAAAGATTTGGTGTATCATGATGGAACAGTAAACACTTTGGAAGAACTTTAACAGCGCACTAAAAATGCTTGTGATTTAATTTGTGAACACCAGGATTTTACTTTTGAAGCTTGTAATGAGTCATGGATTCGCCAAGCAAGATTTTGCGTTAATCGAACAAATGGGGACAATTTCAACAGTTTTTGTAAAAAAGGTATCCATTTAACTTGTTAATGATTTGGTTTAATTAATTTTTAATAATGTAAGCTAAGTCTCTTATTATGCAACTTTTATATAGGTGATTTTTGGTTTACCAGCTCCTTTTGACGAGTTCTACAAGCTGTTAAAATAAATGACTCAACTTTAAAAACAACCTCTATTAAGGTAAATGATAGTTGGAAAATAAACAACAAATCATGCACATTCCAACATATCTCATAATACTTAACCAAAACATCTACAAAAACACTGTATTTTGCTAATTTTGATGGTAGAATGAGACAAGGTATAATTTTTTGGATATCTAGCTCTGAGGAATAATGAAATTTGCAAATCACAGAAGCGCATTTTGAGGAAGATGAATAAAATGCCTTCCTTGCAGTCCTACCAGAAATTTTGAGAGCAAAGATGATATTAACCATGCTTATCTGGCCAAGTATTGGAGAAAGTCCCGATTGTGACATTAAAGAAAAATTTCAAATATAATGTAGTTTCATTGGTCAGACAAACCTGGATTATCAACAAGAAAACCACAGGATAAGTTTCAGATGTTCAGATTATTAACCATGACTCCTATTTACATCTATGAAACCATTAGTCATAATTATAATACCCGCACAAATAGTATGTTTAAAAAACACATGGTAACTATGTATGAGAAAGGAACCTGCTACATGGGAATGAGACTATAATAAAAATGGACAATGCTATTGGAACTAGTAAGAATGAAAAAGTTTCAATTGTTATTTAGTCAACATTTTTATTGGCATATATACCAGATATAATATGTTTCAACCATATTTATTATCAACATGTATTTAAAAAGGCTTGTGACAATACTGTAATATGCACCATTATTTTTCAGTTCTTATGCAGTAAAGATGTGTGTGAAAAGACATTTAACAAAATTTCATTAATTTCCCCCTACAAAGTTTTTGCTTTGGACCCCAGAGACCTTAAATCATTGATATAGGATCTCTAAAAGATATGTAATAGCATCTTTGGTCATGTGGTTATGTGAAAATTTGGCCTGAGTAAAGATAACACAGCCACGCAAGACAAATGTTGAAATATGCTCTACTAGGACTATAAATTGTTGCACAACACTTTAAAAAATGCAAATGAAAATTGATGCCATGACGTTCAACATGCATCTAGATTTTACACAACATAGCCAGCTTTGTCTATAATTGACACTTGTCCATACACTATTTTCATTGTTATTTTGTGTGTGCTGTTGCAAATAACACTTTTACATTTTGGTTTACTGAACTGAGGTTTTTCTGTTTTTGCATTGGAGTCTTCTATGATACGTCTACTTACCATAGAATTATCATCAAACCTAGCAGATGTCTTATCAAAAAGGTAGTTCAAAAGCGTATAGCTCTTTTCATGATAATTCCAAGGGGCTGGTTTGGGTGGCCTTTTTTCAGCTGCCCGAGTTGTCTTGCTGGTGATGCTTCTCACAAAGCCTACATTGCTGTTTACGGATAAAATCGTTCCTCCTCTCCCAGCGAGCCTACAAAAACTAATTCTAACGAAACTTGCCATTTTATCCGATATTCCCTTCCAAAGATTCTTGTAAATTTTTACATAACAGCCAGTCGGTCACAGCTCCAGACAGTCCAGACACAACAGCTGTTTGTGACAGCTGTCATAGGAGATGTACCTTCAGAAAGTGACCGACAGAGGTCGCTTCAATTTGGCCGTTTCTAGGAACCTGTAGAAATTCAAACATTGACATTACAGGCGTATTTTTCTATTCACCGGCTGAGCCACCGGTGCAACCAATTTTACTTCTTTTAATTTCAGTTTTCAGTCTGAGCGACCGGTTGTACAGCAAACTTGTCCGTATAGTTTATAGACAAGTTTGGTGTGGTGTACAAGCGGTCGCTCAGACGGAAATTAAAGGAAGTAAAATCGGCTAATTCGTTGCACCAGTGGCTCGGCTGGTGAATTAAAGAATACGCCTTACCATGCTTTGCAGTGAAAGTGAAAATGTTTTGTGCTTTGACCACTGACAGATTTCACTCTAACTATTGTACCATCTCTTAAGCGTTTTCAATACTATGTTCACAGTCATTGAAGAAACCTACAATTTCCAAAAATATTTTTTTCATGTAGAGCCACGTAGAGCTGTCAGCAGAATCCAGAATAAATGTAAATAAACTACATAATTAACGATCAGCTGACTGGCGTAGGCTTATGCACTTTAGCACGTCATAATAAAACTACCGAAAAAATAATTGCACATATTTTATATTTGAATGGAAAAAAATGTTAGTCGGTAGAGCAACAACACGTCTGGTTTACAAATTCCTTTTGTCCATGAATAATTCAAAAGGTACTTGAATACATATTTTTTTTTTTTTTTGATACAGTATTTTAAGGATATCAAACTAATGTTAAAGATGCTCTCCTAGAAGGCCTATGTTCTACATCAAATGGAAACAGATGTACGAAAACACTATATAAATACAATATATCACCACTGTTGGTGCACAGTAGTCAACATTTTTCAAATGAAGCAAAAGCTGCTAAGACAGAAGACACTGCAAGGCCTGCGTCAAAGGTAGTAATGGATGATCCAAAAACTGTCATTGAAGAACCTAATGACACAAAAAAACTTACAATGAAAGATAAGCTAAAAAAGGCTGTTAAAGAATATGGATCAACTGTGATAGTTTTTCATGTTAGCATTTCACTTGTCTCTCTCGGTACCTGCTATTTCCTAGTGTCAACGTAAGTATTTCAAATTGCTAAAATCTTTACAGTTTACTCTGGTTATAACGTACCCTCTAGGGAGAAAAAAATTAGTACTTTACAACTGGAGGTACGCTATAAAGGAAACACTAAAAAATAAAAATGTAAATTTTTATTTGGTTCAATTAAACTAACCAAAAATATATTCTAGGTATGTTATATAAAAAATATAGTAATATGAATATGTAACATATAACAATGAAATAGGACATAAACAAAATAAATTCATATGTACAATTAATTGCATATGTATGTAATATGCATGCAGTTATGATTTTTCGAAAAAGTAACTTGTTATTTTTGTTTGTTGATTTTTTTACACACTCTTATATTCTTGATGTGCTTCTCGACTTTTAATGAGGCTTGTAAAATTGTATCATCAGATCCATAATCAGTAAATTGGAAGAAATTTGTAACAGTTTTAATTGAACAAAGTGCTTCAGAATAACTTGGAATTGGTTTCTTCACTTGTCCATCATCATCACCACTTTTGTTATCAGAACTTAGATCATTCATTGAATAGTTTTGACTCTACAACTTCAGCAATAATGTCACAATTTGTTAAGGTCTCTGTTGCTACCAAATTATTGTCGATGGTCGTAAAATGATCTAGTTCAGGACAGTGGCGGCTCGTGATTTTACAAATAGGTGACGCAGGATTGACCGACCCCCCCCCATACCATGTAGAGCGCATACACAAAAAAAAAACATGAAATAACTTACCTAAATTCAGTAACTCGAAAACAAAGTCAGGATTATCAGGCACTTTTCATTGTTTATATATGAGAGCAATTCGTCGGTCCTTCAAATTAGCAAACTTATTTATAACGTCATCGTAAAACAGCTGTGACACTATCAGTTCATTTAATAATTCTTTTTCGATCGATATTTTTGCCAAGTTCGTCAACCGATCTTCCGACATGGTACTTCGTAGATAACTTTTGATTCGCTTAAGGCATGAAAAACTGCGTTCTGTCGAAACACTTGTTGATGGAATGGTCAGTATTAAACACAAAAGCTTATATGCCTCCTTGAAGATACTGCGATTCTCAAATAGCGATTCCTTTAATAAGCGGGGTTCCATATTTTGATATTGATCATCGCTATAGATCAGCTGCAATTCATTTTTCAGTCTCTGAAAATCTGTGAATGTATTTGAATAAAACTCCTTCAAATTACTTAGGGCTTCTGTTGGAAATTTTTCTGAATATGTTTTGAACTTCGAAGTGTCCATTAACGTCACAAAATGAAGCTTTTCCATATCTTGGAAACGGGTCGTGATTTGCAGAGAAATGGTATCCAAAATTTCAAAATACAGCACTCTATATCTTTCAATAATTTGATCCCGAGACAATGTTACTCTTGTCCTGCCGTCGCGGTGTTCCGTTTGTACACTTGTTTTTGATGCAGCCAATTCGAAAATATTCTTAAATGTTTCTTCATTTCTCTTCTTGTTTAATTGTGTTTGAACACTTTTAATTTGCTTAATGCAAAGGTTTATATCAAAAGATTTTTTTTTGCAGTGTGTCGAATAGTATATCTGTCATTCCAAAGATCTCGTTAAAAACAACAACCAAAAGCACGAATTCGAAGTCATGGAATTTATTTAGAAATCCGTCGCTCTGTCTAACCGAGGCTTGATCGGAGGTTGGATCATTAATAATTTCAGTAAACACTTGCTTTAAGGAATCCCACTCCTTATTTATAAAACTGATAACTTTAGAATTTGATGTCCATCGCGTAATAACGGAAACAGGTATTCGACGCCCTATTATTGAGTCTGCTACGTTAGTTCGTTTCGGAGAATGGTGAAAAAATGTCGGTAAACCACTTATAGTTGCAAAAAAAATGCGGCATTTTGTAATACTATTGCAACTTTGTTGTAACACTAGATTCATGCGGTGTGCGAGGCAATGAACAAAAACTGCTTGGGGTGCCTGTTCCTTTATTTTAGCCTGAAGACCATTTAACTGTCCGGACATGTCGCTTGCACCATCGAAACATTGTCCAACGAGTTTTGTTTTGTAATCAAAATTTTGTAGACACCTTGTCACGAGGTTAAATAATGCTTCAGATGTTCGGCTGCAGCTTACATCATGAAATCCTAAAAATCTCTCCACAAGTTTTCCTTCAAGATTGACATAACGGATTATTATGCTGCACTGCGATTTGTGGGCAATATCGGTGGAATCATCCACCTGAATGGAAAAAAACTGCATTCCTTTATTTCATTTTCCACATATTCATCAATGCATTTGACAATGCAGTCAATAATTTCGTTTTGAATGGTTTTAGAATTGCCCGCAAATATTGAGGCAATTTTTTTGTAGTGCTCCTGAATGTCTACAGGGCTTATAGATACAAATGCTTCTAGGAGCTCTTTGAAATTTCCACGGTTAATAGAAGTCGTCTCTTCGTTGTGGCCACGAAACGCCAGTTCTTGTTTGCCCAAAAAAAGGACAGCGCGTATTGGCAATTCCATGAAACGTCTATTAAGTTGCACGTTTTCGTTAAACTGTTTAATATACAGCCTGGAATTTTCGCGTAAAGCATCCTCAATAGTAGTGAGATTTTTCTTCAATTTTGAAAAACCTAGTGCGCAACGCATATGATCCGATGATCCTTCATGTTTACGAAGAGCACGAGTCACATTCCCGAAATCATTGAAACCGTACTTGCTCCACACGGTTGCTTTAACACTTACAATCAAACACGGCACACAAAAAAGTTTATTTAAATAATAGCTACCACATAACCATGCAAACTCACTATACCACGATTTTTTAAAATTTCGACTGTACACTTTGTCCTTAACTTTAGCGGTTTTATTTACATTTAATATCGGAGAAGGTTTTTCGGAGTTTAAAAAGTCTTTTTTATCATCATTACTCCATTGAGAAAACGATTTTTCCAACATAACACAAACCGTATCATAGACAGGAAACATTGTTCAAAACAATGAAAACTAACCTCGACACAATACGATATCGGTAGTAATGCAGAGCAGACTAGACGCAAATTCATAATTTGCTTCACTTGCCTCGGCCAAAACGGAAGCGCGCGTGCCGTTGTCATGGCAACCGTCGTATTTGCTCGTATCTGTACTGGACGCAGCAATGCGGTGCAAATAAAGCTGCTTCAGGTCTCTGTTTCAACACGCCAAATTAAGCGCAAACGTAGGCGCGTTGTTGGTTGCGGGGTTTCTCAGTATTCTGTTGATCGCAAATACAAATAAAGAATGTCCGAAAAATAATTTTTTAAGATATAAATGAATTTTTTTTATAAATTTCAAAATAAAAAAAATATATTTTTTTTGAAATTGCAGGTGAAGCAGCGCTTCACCTGCGTCATGGGGCGAGCCGCCACTGGTTCAGGAAGATATTTTTCCACAGTAGTTACATCTGGGTAGTGACTTCACAACCAATCGCTTAGGGGGACGTTTCAATCATCATTTTCTCATACCACTGATTTCAGAGGCAAGTCATCATCTGAATCAAAGTCGTCGATCGATTTCACTAGACCAGCAGTTTCCAATAGTGTCTTTGAAACTTAATTCCATGTTTGTGCAATTCATTTTATCGAGTCTAAAATTGTTATATTGAAAGTTTCCTCATTATCCAATGCTCGGATGAGGCGATATATAAAATATCTATGATACGTATTAAGGCATTTTATTCTGCCTTGATCCATCGGTTTTACGGCGTAGGTGCAATTGGGAGGCAAAAATTCAAATTTGATAATTTTCAGATCTACATTCTTAGGATGAGCTGCTCAATTGTCAACTAGAAGCAATATTTTTCATGCACCTCGGTCCTTCGTATTTACCAATAACAAGAAGTTTACATTTTTCACTACCTGTGATATTTGCGCAAACCAAAACGGTGTATCTCAGCTTTGATTATTTGCCTCCCACATACTTTTCTCCTCTAAATTTCAGTGTACGGTCTGGAGTCACCTTGTAAAATAGGCCGGTTTCGTCATTAAAAATCTCCTCACAGCTGTAATTTTGTGCAATGCCTGGCCGTTTGTCCGTTAACCAGTTCACCACAGCTTCCTTGTTAACATCTCCTGCTCCACCAGACACTTTGCTGACATTTATGTTGTGACGAACTTTGAAACGCTCGAGCCAATCCGTAGTGAACCTACAATCGCCACCGTGTAATCCCTTGGATAAATCATCCGCTTTTGCTTTCAAAATTGGAGCACTTATATGAATATTTTCGGTTCTTCGCACCTCAAACCATCGTATAAGAGCTTGATCCACATCTGGTCGTACTGATTTCTAATTTTCTTAATTCTCTGCGATTTATATTCACTTGCTTGCTTGATTTTTTCACAATTGTACCAAATTATTGTTTTTGCCATATTTTTCCTTCTCGCAATTTCCGATGCGACTCACGAATACTTTTAATGATGTCTATCTTTTCTTTCAAACTTATAGCTTTGCGCGGATCTGCCATTTTAACAAAGCAATAAATACTAAAAATTCGCACAGTTAAATGCAACGTCCAATCTAAAACTGCCTAACTTCTCATTCCGCGCTATACAAATTCCCAGAGTCGATTACTGGAAATTCCAGGTGCCGCGCCGGAGACATTCTTGCCAACGCGCGACAGCGGTGAAACTTCCCAGTATCGATTAAAGGGAATCCCCTCATATTTTTAGTCTGAGGGAATCCCCGACTGAGGCGGAGAATTACTGTGTTTATAACATACGTTTGTACGCTATAACCAGAATATGACTACTAAGTGAATTAAAATGTTGAACATTATAGCCGGAGTTAAAATTTTAATCAGTACGCTAGATCCAGTAAAATTAGAAAGACTATTTCGGCGGGTCCAATGAAATAAGTACGTAATAACCGGAAGTACGTTATATTCCATGTACGTTATAGACGGAGTACACTGTAGTACTCTCATGCACAGCCTGTATACATGTTTTATCTTAATACCCATTTGTTTCAGTGGTTTGGATGTAGTTCATGTTTTGCAAGCAATAGGACTCCAAGAGTGGGCTACAAAAAGTCAAGTAGCTGCAAATGCAGGAACTTTTGCTGTAGCATATGTAATACACAAGGCTTTTGCTCCAGTAAGAATCACAATCACTTTGGGTTCTGTACCTTTTATTGTACGATACCTGCGTAAAGTAGGTTTCCTCAAAAAAATATGAAGTGAGCATTCCTTTTAAATATAAAACTTTCATCTATTATTACATGCTACAAGGTTTTATATGGGTTATGGATATAAAGTATAAAGGGTGGCCCATCCATGTGTGGACGGAAGCTTACTTATAAACAAATACATTTTGGGAAAATCTATTTCTAAAATATATATAATATATAGGGTGTCCTAATTTTGACCTACATATCAAAGTTGTGATTTTTTAAATGAAATACCTCAAATTTTTGCTTTTTACTCATACAGGGTGGTCAAAAACGCGAATTGTACTTTTTCTCAAAAATTTCAAATGTATCACCCTGTATATTTGTGCAAGTTTGGATTCAATTTGATATAAGCTTTTTTTGGTATAAGGTTTGATTCAGATAAAATCACTAGATTTTGAGTTATTAAGCTTTTAATAGAACACCACGCCAAAATTAAGGAAAAAATCAGATCATCCATGGAAGCAAAAGACAAACAGTGGGCTAGTTCCATATTGCCACTAAGAGTACAGATTTGACATAAAAACTAATAACAATCAGAACAGTATACAAAATCAGCTTCAAGCGTAATAGAGAAAAACAACTATAACAACAACATAAACAAACAACTATCACTACTCAAGACCTAATCTACAAAAACTGCTCGAAATTATCTCCACCATTGCACATCCGTCAGCATGTGTTCCCTTATGTTCAGAAAAGCATCCTTAATCCTTCCCTTCGTATTTTCCGGGGCAGATGGTGGATATCTATTGCTTGCTTAATGTAGCCCAATAGAAGAACTCCATCGGTTCATATCTGGTGATATAGGAGGCCAAGATATAGGGCCATCACGACCGATCCAACGATTATTACTCCAGGTGTCCAAATAGTTACGTACACGATTATGATAATGCGCAGGTGCGTCGTCATGTTGGAAGTACATATGGACAAATGCTCCATCAAAAAATTCAAGTATTCTATACCTGTTAATCTGTTGTCGAAGAAGAAAGGCCCGATAACTTGTCTGCCAATAACTCCTCCCCAAACATTCAAGCTCCATTTATTTTGGAAATCTATTTGCCTAACCCAGTAAGAGTTTTCCGTCGCATAATAGTGCATGTTATGCCTGTTGACAACACCTATGCTGTTAAAAGTTGCCTCATCGCTAAAAAGAACCTTATCCGGGAAAGTAGTGTCTTCACTCACTTTATTTAGCATTATCCTGACAAACTCCATTCGAGCTGCGAAATCCTGAGGACGAAGGCCTTGATGCACAGGTGGATGGTACCCATACTTGTGAATAATCCTTTGGACAGAATTTCTGCTCCAATTTGCCGTGCACTTAAATGGGGATTTTCCTGCAACCTTAATAGAACCTCCAACTGATTCACCTCATTGGTGACACTTGGATTATTTATACATTTTTTACTATATTCCACTGCTCCACTCGATTCAAAACGTTCACGTAGTGTGTAAAATCTTTCCGGCCTTGGATGTCGCATATTAGGGTATCGTTGCTTATAAATGCGAGATGCTAGGAAACTATTTCTTTGGGCTTCGCCCAAAACGAACAAAATATTCACCTTCTTTAGAAAAATTCATTTTCAAATACGTTATTATTATAATGTTCACAAAGCTAATTTTTACAGTTTATAACTAATCAACAATTTATTTGTTTCCAAGGATGATGCAATATTTTAGGGAATTAAGCCATTCCATAAAAGACGTGCTTATAACAGAAAAAATAGCCGTAAAAACCCTTATGTGTCTAGTATCAAAAAAGGTTATAAAAAATTGAATCCAAACTTGCACTAATATACATGGGTGATGCACTTGAAATTTTTGAGAAAAACTACAATTGGCGTTTTTGACCACCGTGTATGCGCAAAAATGAAAATTCGAAAAAGTAACAAATAGGATAAAAGCTGAGGTGTGTAAGTTTTTTTTGACACAAAATTCAGCACTCCAAATTTCAAAATGGCGGACTGAGGGGTTGCCGAAGTGGACTGTTTTTCTGGACAAAACACCTTACATCTCAGTAGCTAATTATCAAAACCCCATAGTATGTTATATCAATCTTCTTCTTTTGAATTGGTTTCTACAAATATGCAATACAATTTGAGGCGTTCCATTAAAAAAATCACAACTTTGAAATGTAGGTCAAAATTGGGACACCCTGTATAATTGATAATATTTTAGAAATGTGCCCTCAAATGTTATGTATAACAAGCCATAAATAGATTTTCCCAAAATGTATTTGTTTATGAGTAATATTCCGTCCACGCCTGGATGGGCCACCCTGTATATTGGGCTGATTGGTGTGATACTATTTTTATGTAAAATAAAAGTTATATATAATTTTTTTATTTCATTTTAATAGACTGAATAACGCAACATGGTTAAGAGTAAAAGTAAATAAGTATAAAATCGAAAAGTTTAACAAAGAATAGATGAATAATTGTACCTATATACAGCCTAAAATATAGCCACTCTGTTATAGGACTCCATTGTCTGGCTAAATCAAACTATCATGGTGGCCAAAACATACAATAAACAGGAATTTAAAAATATATGTGGTTTGATTTGGCCAGACAATGAAGTCCTGTGAGCATGAAAAATCACAGGGTAAGTTTCAGAAGTTACATCAGCCACTGTATTGTTTAACACGTTCGCGGACAGTACGACTATAACTGTCATATTGTTTTCCCTAATATAGGACATGGCGGTTATAGCAGTAAGGTCTATTTCTTTTAATAAAGGCACGACGGCTTGAACCGTCCAAATTCCATGTACATTGATGGATTAGCCAACTAAATGTCCTGCTGGACTATACGCCAATCAGAAAAATGCCCCGTGAAAGGCGCATATTCAAACACACGTGTACAATTTTATGCGTGTCTGTTCTTGTATTGCTTTGACGGCTATAGCCGTTTAAAATTGCATACGTGCTCATTATATGAAGAACAATTGTCGTTCTGAGAGGTCGCCTTTAGGTTAGTTATTGTGTATGTGTGCGAAAAAGAATGTAAATCGGTATTTTATATTTCATTTTATTTGTTGTAGACGATTAGGCGTTTGTGTAAGACGTTTAGGGTTCAGGATATTTATGTTTATCAATTTTAGGCAATGTCCTGGTACGAAAAAAACCAGGCATATCTTCAAAAGCTTCATGATGAGATGCTTGCAGAAAGCTACGCCGACGGGGAAGATGGAGATATGCAACTATTTGAAGACTCAGCTTCGGGGCCGGAGGAATACCGAGACGATGGAACGTTTAATGGGGATTACGCTCCTAGTTCTGGAGAGCATAGCGACATCATCTTTACATGGATAACTACTACAATTCGGTAGAGTTATCCGAAGATTTATTGAGTCGCAAAACGCACACAACTGGGACACTTCGCAAAAAAAGAAAGGGCAATCCAAAAGCAGTAGTCGATTGTAAGCTAAAAAAGGGAGAGCATGTATGGAGAAGATCTGGGGACATACATGTCTCGAAATGGAAGGATAAGAGGGATGTGCTTTTTATATCAACTGCCAACAATCCTGAACTAATAGAAGTTCCTAACAAATTTGGCCAGCTGAAAATGAAACCCAAAGCAATTGCCGATTACAACGAGAACATGTCGGGCATAGATCGTTGTGACGAAATGGTTCAATACTATTCTTCGCCTCGCAAAACCATACGATGGTATAAGAAAATTTTATTCCATCTATGGAACTCTTATTATATTTACAAAAAAATGTACCCCAAGGAGACATTTCTGAAATTTAGAGATAATATAATTCAGAGTTTGCTTCAACTTCCAGCAAACGTTACTAATGGTGCTGATCTAATAAAAACTAGGACAGGCAGACCTAAGACTAGCGTTTTGCCTGAAACTGTTGAACCTGGTCCATCTTATCAACCGTCTGATCAGCACCGAGTAGTATTTCAACATTATCCGGAGAAAATACCTGCACCTGAAGGTTACAAAAGAAAAACTTATTTCCTACGTCGTAAGGAATGCTGGAAGAACAATGTTAGAAAAGAGACTTATGTTAGATGTAAGGGGTGCCCCGATAAACCTGCATTATGTCCTACGTGCTTTGAGAGCTACCATGAAAATAATGAATATTATAAATAAAACAATTGTTTTTTGTTAATCAGGTTATGTATTAAGTTTTTGTTGCTGTTTTTATGTGTATTCCTGATTTTATTCACTCATATTTTCACAGAAATGTGTGCTTTCGTTTGGTTTTCATATACGGCTATAACCGTCATTTGCAAAATGGATATACCTGAACTATCTTATGTATATGCAAATGACGGGTATAACCGTCATTAAAAAAAATTGCACAAATGTGTATTTTTATTTTAACCCTTAACTACGGACATGGAGTCTCGTAGACTCCGCCGCGCAAATATCGTACCGTACTCACAACAAAAAACACCCAAGGTCAACGCCGCTTCGAGTAGCTTCCGCTTTTTCACTTTGCTACAGCGTGTTGAGGTGATTACTTAGCATTTATTTTTGATTTTGGAGTTACGTACATTTCAGAGTCTGACAGACTCCTTGTCCGTGTTAACGTCAGTATAGTGATATTTTATTATGGCGACTTCTAGGCCAAGTTCTTCCAAACGAATTAATGTTTTGGATCCTAACTTTGAGGAAATTGCCATGAGATGGTTCAATGAGGTAGACAATGAAAACAGTGATATTGAACCTGATGAAAATGTGTTCATTGAGAGTGAACATGAGTCAACAAGCGAGCAAGAGGCGTCTGACGATGATCCTGATTACGAGATTGAACATGACGAAGACATGGATATTTCCAGTGGCGAAGATGATGCTACTATCGGAAGTGAACAGGTGTTAGAACCTAACAGATCAGGAAATGAACGTAAACGAGAAAATAAATACCTGTATGGAAAAAATAGATTCAAATGGAGCCGACGCGAGCCAGAACGAAGAGTACGAACACCAGCACATAACATTTTGCGACTTCCAGCAGTTCGACTAACTGGAAATTATGAAAAGAGCCCTATTAAATTGTTCAAAAAATTATTTTCTCCTGAAATGTATGACTTGGTTATAGTTTGGACAAATGCAAAATTAGCTTCTATGAGAAGAAAATACAAAAGAGAAAATAAACCGGAGCTAGCAGATATTGACAATGACGAATTAGATGCCTTTTTAGGATTGTTATTGTACACCGAAATTTTCAAAAGTAACGATGAAGATGTAAGAAGTATTTTTGCAACAGACGGTAGAGGCAGGGACGTATTCCGAGCTGTTATGTCTCAAGAGCGTTTCTCCATTTTGTTAGTGGCTTTGCGATTTGATAATCCAGAGGACAGAGAAGAAAGAAAGAAGGTAAATCCAGTAGCAGCTATTAGTGAGCTGTTTGATATGTTTTGCGAGAATGCTAGATGTTCATATACAATTGGCGCAACAGCTTGCATAGATGAAATGTTGGTGGGATTCAGGGGAAGGTGTAAATTTAAAATGTATATCCCATCCAAACCAGAGAAGTATGGGATAAAAATAATAGCAATGACTGATGCAAGAACACAGTATTTATATAATGCATACATTTATGGTGGTAAAGACAGCGATGGTCGTGGTCTAACAGAAGAAGAGAAAAAGCTCAGTAAACCATCTCAGGCAGTTATCCGGCTCGCTAAGACTATTTTTCACTCAAACAGGAACATAACGGCCGACAATTGGTTTGGATCTATGGAGCTTGCCCAATACCTATTAAAAAATGGCCTTACATTTGTGGGAACACTAAAAAAGAATAAAAGGGAGATTCCCACTGAGTTTTTACCTGCAAGAAAACGCAAATTGGGTGAAACACTTTATGGGTTTACGAAAGATGTTACAATAATCTCACATGTTCCCAAGAAAAATAGAGCAGTAGTTCTTTTATCTACCATGCATCACAGCGAAACAATCGATGAGACATCCAATAAACCTGAAATGATCGCCTTTTATAATTCCACTAAAGGAGGTGTGGATGGAATGGATGAAAAAACTGCAAAATATACATGTAGTCGCCGTACTAGAAGGTGGCCAATGGCTATCTTTTATAAACTGATAGATATTTGTAGCGCAAATTCTTTCATTATGTATTCCTCTTTCCCGGGAAATGATATAACACGTTTCAATTTTGTGAAAATATTGGCGGATCAGTTAATTGAAAAACATGTGCGTAACAGATTGGAGATGCCAATGTTACACAGAGAATTGAAACATTTAATCTGTCGCGTTTTACATCAAGAAGAGCCAACACCTGTGACTGAGGAACGCCTACATACACGTAAATATTGTTATATATGCCCCTCGAAGCTAAAAAGAAAGACTGCCTATACATGTGCGAACTGCAAAAAGCCAATATGTCTGCAGTGTTCGCGAAAATCTTGTATAAACTGTTGTCAAACTCTAGAAAATATATGAAACATTCACCTCGTGCAGGTTTTTTTATATTAAAGTTTACAGCCCTATTCTTACTATTTTACCGTTTGTGGGATCTTATAGTATAAGGTTTAAATTCAAATAACTGTTGATTTATATGTTTTGTTAATATTAGCGTTGCTTTTTATTTGTATGTTTAGCATTTGTAACAAAATGGAATGCGCCAATTATTTCGTGGTTTTTTTGCATAATTTTATAGTATTTTCAAAATATTGATAATAAACATGATGTATGAGATGTATTTTGTTTTACTTATGAAGAAAAAATCAGCATACTTTTTGTAAAAAGAAAAATGTATTGCATACATTAATAGGAGTCTGTCAGACTCCTTGTCCGTGTTAGAGGATAAAAAATGTATGTCCGTAGTTAAGGGTTAAAATTGCCCCAAAATAATATATCTACAGTCTAAAGCTCAAATATTCTATTTAAATCATTGAATTGAGAAAGTGACTTTGCTGGAACCACGCATATCCTAAAACTGTCCGCGAACGTGTTAAAAGTAAATATAATTAAAATACTGCCACACTGATTATTGTATCTTAAAAATGGCATAAAAGTCAAATTTACCTCTAATTTGTGATCTAAAAAGTACATGCTGCTTTCACAAAACAGTTTTACATGCTGTATGTCTGTAAAAAAGTAAACGATTCTCTCAATATATTTTAGAAAACCTGTATTTGTTATGTGCAGTTTTTTTTAAATTCATAATTGCACAGTCTTCATATACAATGACACTAAAAAAACCCGTGTCAATAATCTACGAATAGACTTTTGCGACCCTGTTTTTTTCTAGTAATGCAATCAGTTAACTGCTACTAATACTATCATATATCGAATAATTTAAAGTACAATCTAACTATCCAACTCGATATGTATTTAAAATGTTATAAATAAGGGGAATGGATGCATTTTACTGGACAGCAACGATATCCATATACAGGGTGTTTCAAATTCGACCCTCAGCATTGGGATCTCAAAAACTGTAAGAGATACGAAGTCGTTTAAATACTTCCAGGAAAAAATTTCCCAAAATCGTTCTAATTTTTTCCTGACTATTTTTAGTGGGATGTTAACATAAATTGCACATCAAGAACGTTCGGCGCGAAAAATGGTCGGCCCGACGCAGCTCTTGCGTCAATTGGATCTTGTAGGCGTGTACATTCAAATCCTTGTGGAGAATGCGGAGCAAACTGGTTCTCGAAATGCCCAATTCTTGGGATCGACGCGTTGTTGATTGTTTCGGATCGTCTCTCACACTCTCCTTCACAACAGCAATATTTTCTCCTCTACAAGATGGCATAATTAGAATTCCAATATGACGTTTCGACTTTTGTCATGCCACGGATGAATAGTTTTTAATTCTGATTCCAAAAATGTACAATACGTCATACATTGACATTGTCCAAAAAGCAGAATTTCTTAGGTAGGCCTAGAAATTATCAGTTATTTGTTTCGCATACCAGATTTATCCTAAATTCACTTTTATTTTTTTATATATATTTATAATTTTCAATTCGACATTTCTTCTTTCGACTTCCACCATCAACTTTGTTTTTCATATGGACACTATATCGGAATTTTGTACATTTAAATGGACTTTTCAATCCTAAATTCAGTGATTGTATTTCCTTAGTTGGCTATGAATTTATTGTTGGACGAAAATTGTAACGAAATAAAAAGGTATGGTGAAACCTAAACACAAAATGCAAATTTTATTCATGGTAATAATAATAATATATAAGCAGAGGTGAGTCATAGTAGATGTTCAAAATGTTTTCCGTTATTTTGTAGGCAGAGCCTCATTCTTACCTGTAGATTGTTCACTGCTCGATTTATTTCTCTTCTTCTAAGGCTTCCAAAAAATTGTTGCCACGTTTAATTCGGGGTATATGGTATATGAAACTAATGAAACATGATAGTTTCGAAGCCTACTTTCTGTCTTTGGTAATGTCAACGTGTGACACACATTTTTGGAATCAGAATTAAAACCACTATTCATCAGCGCAAAAACCCAACATGGCGTCCATAAGAAAACATGAAATTGATGCTGAAGGACAAGAGACGAAACGTCATATTGAAATTCTAATTAAGCCATCTTGAAGAGGAAAAAAAGTGGCCATGTTAATGTGCAATTTATTTTGAAATCCTACTACAAATAAAGTCAGAGAAAGATTAAGGATTTTGTAAAAACTCGATTTTTTCCGTCTCTCTCCGGAAGTACTGTGAATTTCGAAACCTTCTAAGCGGCATTTTGTTCATTACCTAAATACGCAACTTTGCCCACATTTAGGCGACTTCGAGATGCCAATGGCGACGGTCGAATTTGAAACACCCTGTATATATATATATATATATACAATTTGAGATTTCCGTAGTTACTGGAGTCTCTGAAAGATTCAAAACTTCCCTGCTATAGTAGCCAATAAATGATGAAACTCATTAGTATTAAAAAACTGCGGTCACGATTAATTCATACATTCCGCCCTTCTTTGGTATCAGTACTAAAACCTATATTACAAAACAAAGGTACTCACCATTTTAGTTCAAATTACAAACTCAAGTATAAAAAATCTATTTTGGGAGTATCTCTTATCTATCTATTGTTCTGCCAAGTTTTTAATGAACTATGTTCTATTTGTCAATATTCATTTTGAAAGTTATAGAGACGTATGAATATTTTGAAACTTGTCAACAGAAAAAGATCCTTGTACACAAATTCATCTTATCCAAACTGTTTCTGAAAGCAATGCGACTCAGCGCTTTGACAACTTTCGACAAACACAATGAACTACATTTTATATGACGACTATGTAAGGAGAAAACTAAGGCATTATTGTTTTCATGGTTTCTTGTTTACCCTTAGACATTTTTTCTATGAAAGATCAAAGGTACTATTTTTTGTACTTTGGCTTACACGTTCCAACTGGAAACTTCATAGTTTCACGTAAGTAGTAATACTTATCCTTGATTGTCTCAACATCTGTTCTGATCCCTGTTAATATGCTGGCATTAAAGAGCCTAGATCATACGAGGTTTGTAAATTAAGTAATGAGACTGGCAACGTATCGTTCGATCTGGCAACACTGGAGGAACCGGGCCTGGAGGGGAGACAGGGGAACATGTGATCCGCCAGTACAAGCTTGAACTCGTCACTTGGTTGTAAGTAGCGACTTTTTTTTAGTGGAACACTTTTTTCTGATGTGTCTCTAAACATGAGTGACTGTTGATGAACTTCAGCAGGCTCGCAGAGATAAGTGTTTTGTCAAGAGCCCAGGTTTTTCGGTGGTTTAAGCCATTTTGATAAAGGAAATAGTCGATTCAAGATGAACCAGGAAGCAGGTCTTCATCTTCAAAAACCGATGAAAATATCGACAGAATCAGCGATCTCGTGCGTTGAGATCGTCGCCGTCGGTTGCCAGTCACAATGATCGAGAAAGAGTTAAATATGACTAACAATTTCTGATGAAGAGTCTTTGGTGTTTGAGTACGACCCAGAAACCAAGCGCCAGATCATGAAGTGGCACACTTTAACCTCTCCAAGGCTCAAAAAAGCAAAACAGACGAAGTTTAAGATCAAATGCATGCTGATTTCTTCAATATCCACGTAATCATCCACAAATAGTTTCTACCCCAGGGCCAAACGGTCAATCGGGAGGTTCTTTAGAAACTTCAAAAAAGGGTCATTCATGATAGTGCTCCTTGTTCCAAAGCAATGTCAATATTCGGGTTTCGGCCAGTAAAAAAATTTCTGTGGCTCCTCAGCAGATATTCGCCCGATCCTTGTGACTTTTTTCTCTTGCCGAGGTTGAAGAATCACCTCAATATCATTTTGGAACAGTCGGAAACATTCAAACGGCTGTAACCGACCAGCTGAACGCTATTCCAGCACTACTATGAGGAGTGGAAGAACCGTCTCCAGCGCTGTATGGCTTCAAAAGGGAGTTATTTTGAGGGTAACAACATAAAATTATAATTATATTTGAAAAAAAAATCAGTCTCATTACTTAATTTACAGACCACAAATATCTCTCGCGGACATAATACTACATATCCTGCACGGTCACACTCGTCCTTCTATAGTCCTTTGACTTCACCACCCAATTTACGAACCCAATCACAATAAATATAACCGCGATACATACGTGAACACAACCATATACGAAATACTGATCTCTCGGAGCAAGAGCTAGACCTACGCCTTTCATAACCACTACAGCCGTGAGTATCGTCTGCATCAACAGAGCTGCAAAGGTATTTACGCCAAATACCAAACCATAACTTTCATCTTTGATACGCTTCGCAACCTCGGTGGACGTTACGGTTATCATGAAATAATACAGACTGCCGTAGACTATGTAACATGCGTAACTGGCGAAGATGTAATGAGTTCTGGATGTGTAGAGAATGAGGAAGCCTTGACTGAGTGAGCAGAGTGTCAATGTTAAGTCTCCTTTGACTTGCCAGTCTGCTTTCAGGATCCCCGCTAACAGGGCACCTGAAATATAAACCTCTTAATATACTCACAGGAAAAGACATGTGTTTTATACTCGTTTTACAGTCAGCAAGAGCAAGATAAATGTTGATACGCATGCGCACTTGTAAAACAGCCAATTCTTCGTGTCATTTTCTTTCAACTGCCGCGGTCTTGCATGAAAATCAACGAATTTGATTTTTTATGCAAGTTTGTCTGCCATTCCCGTGGAATAGTTGAAACTCACAAGTTACCAATCCACGCGCAAATGTCCGTAGGCCGGTCCGGTAGTTTGTGTGGTTATACAGGGTGTAAACGTTATTATTATTATTTAAATGAGATAGAGCGGATTACAAGAAGCAAACAGTTTCATATAACATGTGGGTCAAAACGGCATTTTTTTAGAGAAAAGCGACTTTAAAGTAAAATAAAATCTGACAATGCCGCAATGCCAGACGCAAATTGCGACGGAACGCAGTGTAAATAAAGATGGAGTTTGTTATTTTTGGCTCTTAGCTATTATTATTTCATTATTTGATAATGTACTCGTAAAATGCAAACAATTAAAAAAACGGACTTACCACTAACTGTCTCAGTGCTTCACCCGGTGTGTGAAAGTTTATTGAACGTATTAAAAAAATCCACACAATTTTGATACTTGTTTTTCTTTTTAAAACCCACAGTGCACTTTTTTGTATTTAAAGAAGGTGTTCAAAATGTCGTCCTCCACTTTCCATACAAGCTTCATTACTACGAATCCAGTTTCTTCTTACTCTAGGTCCTCGAAGTTATCCATTTATTATTGCAGGCGCATTAAAATTTTTTCGCGAAGTTGTGCTTCAGCTGTTATTGGGACAGCCCCATAAACCATCCCTTAAGTTCTCCCCAATACCAGAAATCCATCGGATTGAGGTCAGGAGATGTTGCTGGCCATTTTCGAGGATCAGGAGCATTTCGACCGATCCAGCGATGAATGACGCCTCTAAAAATGTGTGGTGGTGACCCGTCATGAAGAAACCACAAATTCTGCCTCCGTTGTAATGGCATGTTGTCTAACGTCTGTTTCAAAAGTTCTGGTAGATTATTGGCTAGAAGGCTAATGTATCCTTCTCCTCACAACTTTGGAGGTAAGTCGAAAGGGCCAATTACCTGATCGTCAAGAATAACCGCCCAAATATTTATTTTAAAACGTTGTTGGAAATGACCACGAAGGGTATGAGAATTTTCTTGGGCCCATGTGTGAGTATTGTGGAAATTTAATATCCCGTTTCGCGTAAAAGTACATTCGTCCGTTGCTAGAATGTTTTTAAAAACAGAATGTTAGTCTGCGAGGATAGTCTTCTGGTAACAAAGCCTGCACTCGTTGTACATGGTAGGGATAAAGAAAATTTTCCCGTAGGCTTCTATAGACTATGGTATACGATAGTCCTACGCGGCAGCCTAATTCCCGAGAGCTGATATCTGCATTGATTTCCACAATATTTAAAATTTGTTTCTCCTGCTGTACAGTAACCTGTCTTTCACGAGTGCGAATATTAGTGGGCTGAACACTTCCTGTATCTCGAAGTCTTTGATACACTTGCACAAATGTCCTTCTGTCTGGGTGTACCTGTTGGCGAAATCTGTCGCGATAAATTTGAGCTGCAAGATTTGAATTCTGACGAGCTTCACCGTAAACTAACAACATGTCGGCTAACTCTTGATTCGAGAACATTGTAAATATACCCGACGTCGTACGCGAACAAAAACAAAACAACACGCCCGATGCTCTGATCGACAAAACGAAAAAGTAATTTATCTATGCAAAACTTCAACTAACCACTGTTACCGTTTGTGATCGGTTGCCGGTTCGATAAGAGTGATGAAAGACCGACGCGCTGTTGTGATGTGTATTTTAAATATTTAAGTTAATGAAACTTACTGACTACAAATTTTGGCTTAACTTAGAAAAACTTAATGCCATTTATTTGTTAATTACCCAATTTAAAAACGTTTTAGATTAGATTATAAAAATTAGTAAGATTGTATTGATTGTGGTCGATATAAAGCACTTAAAGTTGTAAACTATAAAGCCATTTAGACATAAATCTATTGACTTTTGGACCATGGGTCATATAAACTTTTTGACTTGTTTTGACCCCCCGCCCTATTACCCATTTCAATATCACTACTATAACGTTTACACCCTGTATTTAATTTTTTACAGGTATACGTTTAATTATGTTTTGTTGGTCGGCGATTGAACCCAGTTTTTGGATATTAAAACCGTGTGTTCTGAAGGATAAAAACCAAAAACAAAATTATATGTCAGAAATGTGACAGGGATATTCATTCGTGTAGTTTGGCTAACCTTGCTCGTTGAATCGAGGAGACAGGGCCGTCTTGCAACTGCAATGGTTTTGTGGACTGTAATACGGTTTTAAGTAACACGTTTTATTTGGCCGTCTGGTGATATAGTCTACAATCGATAAAATACTGGCGGATATAAGAAATACTTTTATTTTTGAATCGTCAATTTCGAGCTTAAACTTAAAATGGTAGTATTTTCAAAGTAGCCAAAAATTTTTTGCTTGGAAATACCAGCAATGTCCTTGAACATTCTCGATTTTTTTTCGTGCTAACTTTAATATGCTAAAAATAAAATGCTCCAAATTTCAATAACTGTCTCAGAAATCTGACTGAATTTGAACGATAGCCTTGATTGTGATAAGTGACATGTCTGTTGATTTTAGACCGACGGCGTTATTGGTCTTTGCCGTTTTGGAAACAATGTTGGCTACCGTCAACGGTAAGCGTGGCAGATTAACGATAACCAATTTCGTTTGGCCCTATTTACAATGGTAACTATTTGGGATGCACCGAGTACTCGGTTTGAACCCTGTCTGAACCCAAGACACACAACTTATGTAAGTCAACAAATGCTGGGCTAATATGCTTTTCTTAAAACTTCTTAATATGTTTCCCAGGAAATGAATCCATTCTCAAAGAAATAGCGAAGGTTATCAGCATATTTTTGCCAGAATCGGTTGCCTTATTTGGATGATCTTTCAGTAAATGTCGGTCGTCTTCTCCAGAAAGCATTCACGATCTTTGCATGGCTTATTTTGTATATAAAGGTGTTATTACCACATGCTTTTTCATAAAAATGCGGTCTATGAAGCAGCTACCACATCAATTTAAATTGATACCTCATTATAGTATTGCCTTTTTGTATTTTTTATTCACTCTTTTATCTTTCATATATGTTCTTAGAAAATAAAAACTACAAATAAAGTAAAAAAACGCAGCAAGTCGAAAAGTAACGTGAATGAGGAGTATTCCACGTTTCTGCAAAGCAAACCTTTACTGATACGTAACTATAACTTAGATTAGGTCATATCAAAATTAGAATTAGTTCCGCCACAACAGCAGCTTTGAATTTCTTCTGTAACTTTCTCATAAAGGCAGCTCAAAAAACTATAGTATTTAAATTCACTGTTCCTGCTGGCCATGGTATGGCAGCAATTCAATTAGGTAATTTTCCTAAATTTGAACAGCTTGGCGCCTCGCACTGCCTACCTTCAGCAACAAATGTAGGTTATCAATATAGCAGCTGAATTCCACAGTAAAAAACATATACATACCTATATTCGGGTACCAAAATGGAAGAAAGCGGCATATCACATCGTACGGTAGTGCTATGGCTGCACGCCTTTAAATCGGCAAGTCGGTGCGGGCTGAACACGCCGTAAAGACACAAAACTCAGAAAAAACATAAATATAACGCTTCACTTACTGCATCTAAGTTGAACAACTATTTTTTGTGGTGCGTTAATTTCGGGGAAAAGTAAATCAACTTTGAGAATACACTGGCATTTTAAAAATGTAAACACAATCTTATATCACCCCACCGAGTACTCGGCGTTTTGAAAAAAGCAGTACTCGGTCCATCTCTTAGCTATCCACACAATGTTCATATCAACATGTGAATCCTCTAAGGGTAGAGGTCTTCCTCGCAGGGATGTAATTTAATCACACAGACCGTGTATTTTGATCCCATTAGACATTTTCTCGTGGAGTTTTCTGGAGTCACAGCTCTTAAGCCAGTAAGTTATAATCAACTGATGCTCTGAAAAGTCAACATCAGGCATTCGCACAGTGGCCCATTTGTGCGAAAACTTGGCAAAAATGATTAATTTCTTAAATAATAAGTTACCCATGGAAACAAATCTTCAATTACGATAATTTTACCATGGCATATTATCAAACTTGGAGTTTGCGATGAATCATTCAACACTACTGACCCCCAAATGATCTTCAAATGCCTTCACAATGCACAATAACCTCGGATATTGTATCAACAAACCAAAAAATATAGCCGTAGCGAATACCTTATAAGGGCCGTCGAAATTGTTTAATATAAGTACTTTTGTTAGTTTTTTGGTATTCTGGACCGCTTTGCAACGCTCAAATTCAGCCGAATCTATGCGACAGAGTCATTAAAAAATGGAGCAGTTGAATTTGTGTTACTATGCGAAATCATGGCAAGCAGCTGATCCATGTCATATTCCATACATGGTACTTTCAAATAAAATAATATCGTTAATACATCAAATGCAACCATTCATATCTTTACTTTATTTTTAGTTATGTTTTAGCAAACTTTTTAGAGGAATACAAAAGCGTTGATTGACTTTCACGTATGTCTATTAGTCAACTGATTTATATAGCAGCAATCCTACCCAAGTCTTACAATGAAACACCATATGAAAATACGATAATCTGAACTTACCCAGAAACCCCAAAACAGTAAGTATAGCCTGTGTAGCCCCATTATACAAATCACTCTTATGATCAGGATGATTTTCAACAATAACAGACCACAACGGTTGCATGTAAGTCTGCACTTGAATGAAACCGCAAGTGGAAAGGGCGTACCACAGGGACCACTTCAAAACGTATGTGTTCCTGAATGAGTTGCTGAAATGGGCGCTCATTAACGCGAAGGCGCTTTGGAACTTGTTGAGTAGTGGTTGTTTCTCGCTGCCTTCTTGGTGGAAGTAGATCGAGGTGTCCACGCAAGGGAGGAGGAAGGCCCACAAGGTAGCGGCGATCATAGCTGAGGAAGAAACTACGTTACTAGAGAAAGAAACTCTTCACGACTCACAGCGGGAAATGAACGGGATCAATTCAAGTTATCGAAGACTTTTGAGAACTTAAAAAATATACTCTGCAGGTTTCTTTACTGTGCTTCTCAGAAAGATCCCTATTTACTTTACATTTTTTGAACTGCTTAAGTTAGGAAGCATGGATACTATATTCCAGCGTAAAAATCACAGCTGAAGCTTCCAAAATCGCATCTGGGCGCCACTTTGGAAGACTTTTTCAAATGGGATGGAGGTTCGTGTGGTGAAATATGAAAATATTTTTTTTAATAACTTTGGTTTGACAAAGTCAATGTATGACATATAGATTTTTCCAGTAAGACGTCCATGCGAAAAAATAAAGTTGATGATTGAGGGCCAGAGACGAAACGCTGCCATCTTGTAGAGGAGAAAAAGTGGCAATGTTAATGTGCTCTTTATTTTGAAATCCATCTATAAAGCCAGGAGAAAATAAAAACGATTATGCGAAAATTCAGTTTTTTCCGACTCTCGAGGAATTGCGAAACTTTGTAAGTGCTATTTTCCTAGTTAGATACATGAATGAGCATACTTTGCCCTCATTTAAGCGTCTTCGTATCTCTTCCCGTTTCCGAGACTCCAATGGTGAGAGTCGAATTTGAAACACCCAGTACATACAGATGATGCTTACTTGACAACATAGTTGATATTATTGCTTTCGAGTGCCACTATCGCAAATAATCCCATTCATTGAAGTATGTATATTTTTAATTCGTATATATCAACAATCAATTGGAGCACATCTGCGATAATCCCGATCAATGTTAATTAAGCACATACATCATACCTGAAGTCATAACATAATATGTGCGTGCGTCGTTGACACGATGCAGTAAGCAGTCTAACCTATTTTTTGTTGATACAATACATAAAAGCGCTTCCTTGATGCTGATAGCATGAATATGTATGGGTTTCTGTGAAAGAGATTCGCACGCGTACTTTTATTAATACTTTATGTTCACACATGCTACCCAGGTGGTATTGGAATGATTGACGCGGTTCTTTTTTTGAATCAGATTGCTGGAAATGCGTATTAGGAGTAGTGTTATAGTCTGGAAAAATGGCGTCAAGTAGGTTCACCCCGCACTGCCTATGCAACTCTCACCTATTGATAAGGGATTATATTCAGCCCAAGTTGTTTCTTATAAAACATTGGCTACATACATGAATAACGAAAGAATTAAATGGATCCATAGTCCATAGTCCAACAATACACGGGGTTATGTTATACATGAAAACAATGCAAGGGGAAATCTTTGATTTATGAAATATGTCTAATAGGTCCGTAGAATTATCTGGGTGGGAAGCGTATAAATTGTTAGCATCTAAAATTGACATATACTCAAACGTTTTAAAGACTGCATTGTTCGCGCGCCTCACAGAGACGTCATCGTCCCCGAAGTGACATTTGAATGTTTTTTTTTCTTGGATTAGGTTACTGTCAACTGTTTGACGCATACCCTATTTCACGAGTATCCATCACGCTTTGACATCTACTGAGGTGAACAACTGATCAGCAAGTCACATTTTTGTGTTAGCATGCAACGTTGGCAAAAGTGAATCGGGTGTAAATCTAGTAAAACCTGTTTATAGCGTTTTGATTTTGTATGCAAATGAACTTTTCTAAATAAAAGAGCTGTTAGCAAGTCCTAAATTAGTAGGTAATGCTACTTCATTGTTGAAAATTGGTTCAATGGTGACAGAGTTACAAGATAGTTTAAGGTCGTTCTCAAGTCTCGTATTCTTATGTTTTACAATCAGTTGTCTGAATATTTTGGGTGTGACCGTTTGGAAAACCTGTAAAGCGCGATTTCATCGTTTTCGGGTTTCTGCTCATTATAATTCGTAGTTATATTTCTAGGTAGATAGAAATTTTGACATTTGTTAAAGCTCATTATCATACCTAATACCATTTTTCCAATTAAATTATTCAGAACTTACCAGCAAATGTAATGTAGTTGAGCTGCCTGTAATCCATCCAATGAAAATGTACAAGGAGCTGCGCCAATACACCAGATATGGTACTACCGGCTAAAATAGCTGCTCTAGTATGAGAAGTGACTAATTGAAAATATTCCGTGTCAACTTTGGCATATATATAGGTATAATATGCTACTTCGGATGCACAAAATGTGCCGTAAAATATCTGGAAATGATAGAAAATAGGATGTGGTCATTACAAGATACTGTTATATCCCATTTATATTAAATATCTGTATTTTGTTAATGAATGTAAACTCTCAAGGTTCAACAGGCAACTTTGGATAATATACAAATAAAGTCTCAACATTGGGCTCAAAGTTCTGAAAATGGACTGGCGGAACTGACTATAAATTTCTCCGAGCGATTAATACTCGTACATTCAGAAGAATCGAATTACATCTAGCAATCATCCCCAGTCTACTACCACAAGCTAACAACTTCTAATGTGCAAGGAAAACTAAACAATTCGGACCAACGTGTAGGCGCACCTAGTACATTATTCAAATAAGCGAAGGTCGTGTAAAACCCTACAAAAGTAACATTTTCTAAATAAAATAGATTACCAATTACATTTATCAACAAAAATTATGTCATACGTTACTCAGGTCACATTGAACGTGATTTATTTATGTACATATAATTATTACCTTCCTTGAACTTCAACAAACAACGGTAATAGATACAATAAAATTTGTAAATATTGTATTTGCTTTCATTTCATCACTCTGAGTTGAGTGTATTTTAAGCGATGAATATATGTTTCAGTTAGTAAATTTCTCTAGCAAACTCCCAATTAACCAACAAATGGTTATTCTGCAATCCAAAGAAGTCGGACTAGGCAGATGGAGAAGACATATGATTTGTTTTGAACCAATATTATGTAGTCAGTAGTCAGGATGCAAGTTTACTACAAGTCGGTCAAGCTCAAACCGCCAGTTTGACAGTTGCTGGTATTTCGTATTTTTCCGCGAAAACATAAAAATGCGTTGTTCTTATATAGTCCTAGTGTTCTAGCCAATTGCCGAAAATGGTGAATGTTTGTATGGATGGCAAAAATTAGTTTAAACTGAATAAAAGCAAATATTTTTATCGATAAGTATTAATATATCATAGCCATCCGCATTGCTAAAGCGCATGTCTCAACAATGGGTTTTTACCTGGATAGTTTTTGTTTCTTTAAGTCAGGGCGTAACCAAATCAGCCGTATTAATGATACGGGGCCCCCAGCTTACATGAGCCCCCACGTACGAAAAAAAATGCGTAGTGATTTTCACAATTTCAAGTTTTTAGGCCATGCCGATAGCTCCAGGTTTAGCAGTTTCCGAGATACAGCGGCGTGGTTTATTAATATATCATATCTCCAATATTAGAGATATGTGGAGCATATACAATATGCGCTCGAGTATGTCTATGTAACATTCTTTTTAACATTTTTGACAACCTGTAGAAACTTCCCGCCACTAAAACCTTTATAACCTTTCTTACTTTCGGCAATGTAAACTTCAAAACCCAATAGTTCCTTACAATGCTGGAGGAACTCCCTCATCTTGGGCATGATACTTCCGACATTACTACTCTATTTTACTGTTTAGAGCTTCGGCCAAAGCTTCCAGTCATTCCAAAAACTGGCTCAGCATTTCGAGAACTGTGTTTTTCGGTTTTGCCTACAACGTATATTATACTATATCCAAGATAGAAATATCCCTGCAATTCCTATGCAATTATTTAGAGTAAAAGCTGTCCCAGAGTCAGATTGATGGAATCAGGCGTGGAATTTAAATGGAAATTTCCAGACATCTCTGGCTATATCTATTTTCCTACTACATATTTCCATAACGTTTACAAACTATGTGTTATCTCGCTATTGACTGATTCTCTAAACAGTACGTTACTAGGGCTACCCTGTATGTTGTGAATGTGCCTACCATATCTGTATAGACACCGACTACGTGTTATTATAGGTAAATATGCCATAAAGCCTGTTTTTATCTAATAATTTAGTGTAAACATAATAAGGAACTTCGAGTCATTTCACGAGCAAATTAGTCATGCCCAACATATTTTCAAACATTTACTTTAGAAAATTGTTTTTATTCCTCTCTACGCATTAGAAATCTACAAATTTGGAGCTGTTGACCACAAAAAAACGTATCTTCATTTAGGCCACCATACTGAAATTTTCTTATGGTATTGCCTAAAATAACAGTACTTCGAAATTAACTAAGCCCAAAATACTTTGCAGGTCAAAAAAATATATAATTTACAACAGAGCGTTTAAGCACTGAAAATGCTCTTTTTATGGCTTTTCGCTTCGGCTTCAGTCGCATATAACTCAAAAACAAACACGGTCAAATTTAGAGACCAGCTACTGACGACTTTTTTGTCCAGAACAAGGGCGTACCCAGCTCAAACAAAATTTCGGTGGAAGTTGCACATATCCACTTAACTATGCTTGATATTTTTCATTCTACTTGGACTTCATTGTTTCATCCATTTATCTGGAATCTAGAGTATTCCACTATGATTTGACAATTCATATGGACATGGAAAACTACTAGGATTACTTTTTTGAAACATTAAAGGAAATACTGGATAATGATTTGAAAAAAACTGCATATTAACATAGCCACCTTTTTATCTCTGCAAGGAGACATAAATAATAATAATATGAATATAATTTTTCGTCAGTCATCCGCCGTCTCAACTTGGATTTTTCTCATTTATGCCATTTTTGCTTTTGATTCTGATTTCAAATATTATAGAATGTCATATATTATTATAAAAAAAATTCTCCTGAGCAAGCCTTGAAATCATCATATACCTAGTCATTTATTTAAAAGATGATAACATGTTATGCATCGATATAAAATTTCAAGTGCTTAACTTCCTATAGTTGGTTGGTTTAAACTGATCAAACTAGGAACAACATAAAGTAACTCATTTATATTATTTAAGGGTAATAATGAACACATCGAAAACGTCGGATCAGAATTTTAATTATGCCGCGGTGTAAAAGAGAAAAAGTGGTAATATTATTGTGCAATAAATTTGAAATTTGTAGATAATGTGGATGTTTGAAAAGTTTTGTTTCGGCCTAAAGCCAAGAAAAAATAAAAATACTTTCAATTTCCAAACTGTCCAAGTTCCATTTTGTTTTACCTGCGCAACTTTTACCCCATAAAGTACTCCGTGTCGTTTAGGCGAATGGGACAAGATCAATATTTACTATCCGTCAAGATATTTATCATGACATATATAGTGATTTTAGCAAAGTTAAGTTTATATCTAGCATAGATTTCAACCAATCATAGGAATTTCTCATCTAATAGATATTGATTCAGCTTGAGCTAATTTAATTTTACCGAGCTAGGGAAAAGAAGGCAGCTGCCGTGGGGCCCTTGGGTACGCCCTTCGTCCAGAATGATCCGATAATCCTAAAAAAATTGTCCGGAATGAAAAAAAAACCTTTGAAATTTATTGAACAGGCAGCAGCGGCCGCGTAGTGGTAGACGCTACGGTCTCCTAATCAGTCGCCGTGCGCTGCGCGGGTTCGAATCCCGTCGCAAGAGAATGTTTCTCTTTGCCTTGGATGTTGTGATTGTCCGTAGGTGGTAGACGGTCTCTCTACACTCACCCCTGTATACCCATATAGCCTCACGGCACCCCATGGGTGTTTAGTCCTTCGTGGTAGCTGGAGTATAAAAAAAATTAAAGAGATTGCTTAAACAAATTTTACCGGATAACCACCAGACAACCTCTTAATCGAAAACGTGATGATGGAAAAAATTAAGTCGAAAAATTTCTCCCACAAATGCAAAGTTATTACATCGTCTAACTTATGCTGTACCAAAAAATTCGACAAAAACTGAAAGTTGATTAGGTGTACTGAGGGTTTTCGGGTCCCTGATTAAGAATTTATTATCGATATTACTTTAAAAACAGTAGAACCAAGATAGTCTATCTAGTACCAACATTGATAAAATTGTTCTGAAACAAATCAATTTTTCTTAAAAATCACTGAGTTCATTGATTTATACTAGAGCAGGGTTGTTATGTTTTAATCAAAATGTTTAAAACAAGTGTTTTAAACACTGTTTAAAACAATGAAGGTGTTTTAAACCAATTTGTTTTAAACGGTTTAAAACATGTTTTAAACACTGTTTTTTTGTCGTTTTTGAATTATTGAAGTTTTTTTTATATTTCTATAAGTATGATAAAAATTGATTTTATTTTGCAAAACGAAACTAAAAGGACCATAGGTTAAAACGCATAGGTACTAAAAATAAACTTCATTTTCTATCAATTAATAAAACATGAAACTAGGGAACTAATACTGGTTGAAAAAAAAAATGTTTCTTAACGAACGAGTGAACCTAATAAACTGCATTGAACTCTAATACTAGTACACTATAAGCAGCAGAATAATCATATAATATGACTATGTATTTACTTGTATAATAACATTAAATAAGTTACTTAACAAATATTTCTATAAAAGTGTACAACCCATCTTATTTAACCAAAAAATCGTTAAATCTATATTTTTACAGAACTTCAAGTAAAAAAAATGTAGTTTTTTCACAATTCTCCAAGCTACTTAACTTTGAGGAAATAGGTTCGGTAGAAACATCATCATTGTCGGTATCAGAACTATCTGATATATGAATATTTTGTTTTTCTTACAAACTTCCTTATTTAAAGTTGTTTACAATTCTTAATATGCTTGCGCATTCTAGCCACCAGTGGCACTATATCTATATTGCAGATTAAACATTTTGCTCTTTTATTTATTTTCGAGCCAGCTTTGGCATCAGTCTCCTTAAAAGATTTCCACACGGGATCCTTTCTCCTCCCTGTCATTGCTTTCTTTTTTTGCGGATCTTTAATGCACAAAAAACAAAACACACCACTACGCTACGACTTCGCACATTTGACTGCTGGAAATCGCAACTTCGCAACGCGAAAATTTACCCAAAGGCAAACGGTACTTCCCCGATGTCCGCACGGTAGTTTCCCGACGTCCGCTTTTAAATTAGAGATGTGCTCTGATAGAGCTGGATCAAAAAAAGTAATAGCACTTTCAAGCAACTTCATTAACGTTGCTAGATTACATAGGCAATAGTTTTAATTTTTTTACTGTTAAACATGTATTAACAGTGTTTTAAACATTTTTTTTTCAGCTAAATTTGAATGTTTTAACAAAAAAAAACATGTTTTTTTTCAACCCTGTACGAGAGCACAATGTTTTCAATTTAAAGATCAGGCTTTCCGTCGCATTTATAAAATTTCGACATACTGATAACATTATAGGGAACGTGTGAAAAGTGCAGATTTGTATACCCAGAATTTACACGCTGATATTCTAGAGCTTCTGTTTATCAGGGAAGGACATCATAGTTGGCCTTGAATTTAATTTTAATTGATATCAATCTATTAGATACAGATATATAACATTTATGTATGCTTATGTCAGCAGTTTGATGCACAATTGCAACTAATACCTATAAATATAACAAACATTTTAGAACGTACATTAAGGAGGTCAATTTGAATGAACCACAATCTCATAACAGTAATTGCTTGAACAACGGTTCTTAACAATTTTATAATTTTCTCTAAATGGAAACATAAAGGACCACTTAAATCAAATTGTTTAAAAATCAGTTTCAGTTAACAAGTCTGTTGTTGAAAAAATAAGTATGTTACTCATGCTAGACCAAGACCAGCTGATCTAAACATCCTTAAAAATGTGTATACTTCACACGTCAATTGGTGTAGAAACTCCGCATAGTATTATTGTCTTTGTGAAGAATTTTGAAAATGAGATATGTTTTTTAATGTTACATCACAAGCACATAAAAAAAGTCACATATTTAAATCAGTCTGTCTGTATGTCAGTTAGCCACTCAATCCACTCGGCATTTGAATACATGGTTACTACTATGCCAAGGATGAAAACTTTGTAGGTGTTCAAAATTGACCAGCGGCGGCAGGGCTATGGGCAAAAAACAAAAAAAAAGACTACAAATTCCTTCAACTTTGCTCCCACTCCTGATTCTGGCATAGACATAACAATCACACATATTTCTCATATATTGTGATTGAATCGTGTACGCATAAAATGGGTACACTGTGTTTTGTGGGAAAACTGTTATTTGACAACAAAGAATGAAAACACATGTTTTTTTGTGATTCAAGTTTTGGCAGGAACGAAAAAACTCTTCAAATAAGATTCTTAGGCATTTATGAGACGTACCGAATGAGACAACACGTAAAAAAAAATCCGACTAATAGTAAAAAAGTTATAGCCGAAAACCGAGGCAAAATGCAGGTTTTGGCACTTGTCGCCAATGCGACGATAATTTCAGGCAGCTACTTCAAATTATTCAAATCTGTAGGCTTCATACTTCTAAATAACCACAACAAAATTGGAGTCGATTGGTTAAGTAGTTTTGGAGTATTTCTAATTGTTTATCAGAAAACACCTGTCTTCCAGTCATCAGTACAAGTTTACTGAGCAATATACAAGGTTTGTTCAAATGGCATTTTATAGCATAGTTTATCTTGCCGACATGAAACATAAACCATTCTGAAAGATAAATGTTGTTTTTATGCGTTAACTGAAGGGTTACGTTTTTTCCTTCTAAACAAATTCAAACATTTCGTATATGTGATCAATTGAACAAATTCGCCACGATATTCGAAAAAAAAACGTTATTATACACATTTTAAAACAAAGCGGATGTGTCTATCACCTTTTGTTGCGAAAAAAAAAATTTTTTTTTCAAGATTTCTTCATACTTGTGTGTATACTCGTATATATTTAGAGCTGAAATTTTTACATGATCACAGATGAGCCCCAAGTTTATAAAAAAAAAATATTTCATAGTGAAATGAGCTGAACTGTTTATTTTTTTTTACATTCCAGCTACCACGAAGGCCTAAGGCCTAAACGGGGTACGTCGGGCTATAGGGGATACAGGGAAAAGGGAGGATGCCACATGGACTCTAGCGAGGGAAAACAATATTACAAAATTTATTGATAATAAAATCATAAAAATTGTCTAGCATCATTTTCTGGTGTCCTAGGTCAGAATTGTTATCAAAGGTATTGTAATTTTTGGTGACAACAGCTGTCAAATTTTGCCGCGGGTAAACTCGAAAAAACTGCTGACAGGTGCTGTGATACAATTTATCCATCTAGAAACCATTTGTAATTCAAAATTGCGTGTTTGTGATGGTAGAAAGTAAGATGAGGGAAGTAGTCATAAGTAATATTATAAGAGCATCTAATTTTTCTGAAAAAAATCAATAAAAACATATTGCTAAGTAATATTTTAACAAGAAGCATAAGTGCTGTTGATTATCATGAAACATTTACTCGCAAGACAAAAGATTTTGACAAGCAATTATATACTTCTCTGCAATTATACAGACACAGCTTTCAGCTGAGGTGCCTTAGCAAGTGATGATCTCAAGATTTTGATGAAATGATTAGCTTTGTCAGCTTGACAGTGGTTTTCTCTTGACTGGGTAATTGTTGATTAAATGTTGCAAACTGTCAAAGTTATTATGTGACTGCTACTATTGAGCATAAAAGTGCTGCACCACTGTACTTTTTTACTTTGGCTGAATGTGCTCATGAAATAGTTATGCCAATTTGATTAAAATGAGTGGAAACAGAAAATACAGGTGTATCTACAATACAAGTGACTCGGGCAAATGTCACACAATCAGTGTTTACTGTGATCTATCAATTTTCATCATGGAATGTAACTAATGATATAACCAGGACGACTATTAGAATGAAAACTATAGCAACAGAATTCTTTTTTCAATAATACTACCAACTTACCTCAACTATGATAAGACCGACTAAGCTCTTGGTCCATAAAAGCAAAGACCAAACAACACATCCTGCTATACCCAAAAGAATGATCAGAGGCTTGTATCTACATAAATCTGTGATCAAAAAGACCACTACCAATTGCACCAAGTAGCTGAAGGTACCAGCAGGATACACAATCTGCGTGACTTCGTCATCTGTGACATTTCTCCAACTATCATCTACCAGAAACTCGTAAATAAACGGCTCAGATGGCCTTATTTCTTTCAGAAATCCAAAAATACTGAGCAAAAGCGATAATTTGAGCCACTCTTGCATAATTAGTTGTTTCGTTTACCCCATCACAGATCTGTAAAATATGTTGAATACTCTAAAAATATATAACGGCTAAGAGATCATATTTCCGTATTATTAAAAACACAACCGGTGCAAAACGAGACTGCACCTACAAGTACAAATCCGCCGTAGTATAGGAAATAGGAATGAAAACATTTTTGAAGGATAATCAAAGGGCACGTGTGAACCACTTATGCAACTGCACCAATAATACGTTAAATTTTTGATCACATGACTGAAAAAGAAGTGCGCATGCGGCAGGTTTATCAAAAAGGATTTTTTCGCGAGTCAACGGTATAGCACAGTGGACAACCGGGAACCGTTACTCAATTTTCGCGAAGAACTTGAATAGGGGAAGACGGATGTGACGTCGTCCGAATGCAAAAAAATGAAAAAATCAACTGGTACGGGTACCCGCCTAACGTCTGTGAGGTACTAGCGGATGACAGGTCTTATGTCAATTTAATTTAAAAAACAGGCATCTCAATTGAAAATTTGTTTTCGCAGTGCCGAAAATTGAGTTAAATTACTAAATCATAAATGGAGGAACACATCCACCTGATTTTAAATGGCGAGGGAGAAGGTCATCGAAGATATATGAACCGTACTTGTCATATCAAATGATTGATTTTATTGATATATATGTACATTGTACCAAAAGCAATCGGTCTTTTTATTTCAGATTCAAACAAGGCAGCTAAGTTTATCAAGGAGCTTAAAGTAAACATTTTGCGCAACATGCGCCATCTAACCACTCCCGGTGTAACTTGAAACTGTCAAAACTTCGAGAAGAAGGGGAAATTCCATCTGTTCCCGCTCCGGTTCACTACGGGATCTCGCGAAAAAATCTCTATTGACATAAGACCTCTCACCCGCTAGTACGTCACGGTACCCGTACCACGTGATTTTTTGACATTCGGACGACGTCACATCCGTCTTCCCCTATTCCCGTTCTTAGCGAAAATTTGAGTATCGGATCGGTTCCCGGTAGTGCACTGTGCTACACCGTGGACTCGCGAAAAAATCCTTTTTGAAGCTGCAGGCAGATGTGACAGGACTGACGGAAACCATGAGTTAAACGTCACAAACGTGTAATCAAATCCAAGCGAATAACCAAAATTTCTGTGTTATGTACTGCGGTTATAATATGGTTCAAAATGACACACGGATTGATGACGTCAGTTGCTCGGATCGCTTGAACGCGTTGGTTTTAACCGCGGTTTTGTTGCAAGTTGTTTATTTTAGAAAAGCCCGTATATAATTTGTGATTATTTTTATTATCACTTAATAATCGGTGCTATTTCGTGTACAACGGTATATGGAAAGTTTAAAAAGAAACCTTTCATATAACTCATGGGAGAAATGTTTTTCTTTTCAGATTTTTTTTTAATGATGGAACCGTTGTAGCTATGACAACTTTCAATTATCTAAAGTTTTCAGCATGTCAAAGAAAACATTTATTGATCCAGCAGAAATGATGAAAAAGCGATGAAAAAAGATATTAGCAAAACTGTATACAGGAGGACATCATCTAGTGAGTTTATATGGCCATATTTTAGTATTCTTGTGGTACATATATGGCTACACAGGATACTTTGTTACGCATAGGAACTACATTTGAAGTGTCCCCAACAGTAATGAGTATAACTAATAAAGTGCCTTTATGGTCAAAACTGAAGTCAGCCTGTATCAAGTTTCCCAAAAATGAAGTTGAAGTACAATAACAATATCCAATACCCGGCAAAATTCTAACTTGTGACATTTCAAATAATAACCAGAAATATAAAACTACTCCTGAGTTGGGTAAATACCACAATTTTGCGGTGATAATTATGACATATAACAGCTGATTCATGACGTCAGGGATCTTATAACCAAACTGATTACCAACCCAAAATGATAAATACCATTTTCATTTGGTTAACCGCTTGAATTTGATTTTTGTCTTGACAAAAGTGGACTTAAGACGATTATGAGGTTAAAAAAGAGCCCCAAGAAAGATTATTTTCACCCCATAGTGACTGATACTTGGCTAAGGCATAAACATATTTTCAAGTTCTGTCCTAGCAAGCATTGCTTATTTAATATTTCTTTCTGTCATTTCTGCTCAACTATAAAAGGTCTAATGGCACCTAAAAAAGGAGCAGCCAAACCAGCAAAGGCACAGGCAGGAAAAAGTGAAGATGCAGGTGATAAAGATGAGCTTTCAAACGATATATTCCAAAATTATTTTGAAAATAAGTCTTCACTATATCACCTCTTTAATATATCAATGTCTTTCAGGAGGAAAGGAGAAAAAAGGAGGGACTGCAGTAAAGGTTCGGCACATCCTCTGCGAAAAACAGAGCAAATGTTTGGAAGCTCTGGAAAAACTAAAAGCTGGTCAGAAGTTCCCTGAAGTTGCTATGGCTTATAGTGAAGACAAAGCTAGACAAGGTGGTGATTTAGGGTGGATGACCAGAGGTTCAATGGTAGGACCTTTCCAAGATGCTGCATTTGCCTTACCAATATCTTCTGTGAATAATCCTGTTTATACAGATCCTCCAATCAAAACTAAGTTTGGTTATCACATTATAATGGTAGAAGGTAAAAAGTAAAGGTTTTAAGTATGTATAAATCATTTTATCTTATATTTTCAATTTCAAGCAAACTTATTAGATGGATAAGTTGGGAGTTGACTCTCAGTTGTCTGTAACTTCATTTTTCAAGCTGTTAATAACTAACCTATAGGGTCAACTGTGATAATTGTAAACACTTTTGACAGGTTTGTTTACATTTACCCAAATGTCTTATTTTCTCAGTACCAAAAACTAAGGGATAAAATTTAATAGGAAAGCATAATTCTCTCATATTTTCATTGTTTTTTCCAAAGAAATAAGATTTCTTGAAAATTTTTTAAATGTTTATTTTGAGTATCAAAAAGACACGTTTTGTTTACTTTTGCCTGGTGTTTTAGGTTTAAATGTAAACACTTTATTTTTAAACTATATGTATACTTTCACTAGGGAAAATGTAAACACAATGAGTACTGGATGTCTGATAATAATCTCAAGTGGTTTTAAGGAATGTTTACATTTACCCCAAGTTCCATTGTATTTATAAATAAAAACTGATTAATTGCTCGGGAGGAACTTTATTTTACAAACATTATAAATATAAACTGGAGTATTACCAATGCGTAATAAATTTGATTAGAGGTAACGATTCTAAAAGAGACACAACCAAAACTAGGAACTTCATTTTCCTTAAACTTATGTTAACAATCAAATTGTTAAATAGAAAAAAACATAAATAAACGGGTAATATTGCCCTAACTACAAATTTACGAAAAGTAAAACCAAATTATGTTTAAACTTAAAAGGAAATAATGATATTGATTCACTGTTCAATAACAGGCACTCTCTTAATAAAATGGTAAAAAATTCGTTCTCCTTTAATTTGTATTGTTGGGAAAGGAAGAAGTCCTATTACTTGTTCAAAGCTAATGTAACTTTTATCTTTTTCTACCAAAGCAAAATCTTGCCGGGAGGTGTCAATTGATTTTAGATCCATCACTTCCAAGTCAGTGCCTTCAACATTTTCTATTACACAGACATACTTAAATGTCGTGGAGCCTCGTTTACCTCCTTTAAAGCTAACTAAAATGAAATTGCCATTAGTCAGCTCTGAAAATTGGCATGCTTTAATGTCAATTTCATCTTCATCATTTTCATCCAAGGAACTATCACTGGCATTTTCAAGATGTTCTGTTTCACTTTCACTTGAGGAAAAGTCCTCTTTTGTTTTTTTTAATTTTTTCGCCTTTATCGTTTTTATTTCTGTATTTTGTAATTTTGGACGTTTCTTTTTCAACTGCTTCTTTTCTTCGGCCTCCTTAAGTCTTTTCAAGACATCTTCTGTTGTAAGTACTTCACCATAAGTCTTTTGTTTTAATCGAACGTTTGTTGTTTTTTGTTGTACGACATCTTCCAATTCAGTTCTTTTAAAAAAGAGATTCTCAATTTCTGATCCATTTGTAGCTGCGACTTGTAAATAAGAAGGTTTCTTTGAAACATTGGTATCTTGAGTTGCGTTTTGGGAATCATCGGGTGTGTGTTGACTTGGGAAGTGGTCGGTTCATCAGACATATCAATTTGATGCAGGCTGGTTTTGCGACAGCAAAGGTTGATTTGAAATATCAGTTGCGCTAGATTGGGATGTGGAAGATATGATCGCTTGAAAAGAGGAATGTAGATATGAGACGTTAGGTGGCTGCATCTTTTCTCGTTCTTGAAGAGTACTATCAACACTATTTCCAGTAAATTCGCTTATGGGAAATTTGGTGCTGTCTACAGGAAATATTCCTGTTGTTTTAAATCCAGAAATAATATTTTCATATGTCATAGATTTTTTCCAAACAGTCCCAAGAATCTCGGAAAATTCTACCTTAGTTAACCGGCCAGAGCCAGAACCCATTTTCTTTTTGCCTAGAGAAATAAGTTCTTTTTCCCAACATGTCTTCACAGGTCCAAATACACACTTATCTAAAGGCTGTAATCTATCTGTCAAATGGCTTGGTAGTTTGATCAAAATTATGTTGTTGTTAATGGCTTCTTCTAAGATCCTCACACTCATATGGCTGGCATGGCCATCAAAAGTAAGTAAAGCATACTGACTCAGCGATAGTTTCTCCTCCCGTACTTTTCCATTACTTGAGGTGGTATAACGGGTACCAGGGTATCCTTTTTCTGAAACCCATCTTGGCTGAACTGCGGCTCACTTGAATACGACTAGCGGAGGTAAAACAGATCCATCGGCTCCAATGCAAGCGAGCACCGTGGTATTTTCCCTACCACTACCTCCTGATACTCTACAAAGTGGCCTACCTTTTTGGCCTATTGCACGAATGCGACTAGGGTCACTAGGAAAACCACTTTCATCTGCGTTATAAATAAAACAGGCCTTATCCGGGCTAATCAGATCTTTGCTAATTAATGTTTGTCTCAGAATTTCGTAAAAATTATAAACTACTTCGGGTTTTCGTGCGTCTTTACGTAATTTTTGTAACAGTTCAGGCTTTTTAACTGAAAGGGCGGGATGCCTTTTCAGAAAATCATAATACCAATCATCTCCGGGTCTATTGTTTTTAAAAGAAGTTTGTAATTCTTTGCTCTCGACATAAGTTTTGACTAGGTCCTGCAGCTCATTTTTATCGCAGGGATAACCGTATTGCGCTCGATACATTTCTCTAGTATTCTCAACGTCTGCTGATAGGGCAGGTTTTCGACCTCTCGCTACGGAATCAATGGGGGTTCTTCTTTTTCCAGTAAGTCTTTGACAGATAACAGATATGGGAACACCATAGAACTCTTGAGCTGCACTATAGGTTTTATTTTTGTTTGCGACATCCTCGACAGCTCTTCTAATATCTTCAGATGTATATGAAGGTCCAGCAGATTTTTTTACAGTTTCTAGGCATCTGAAAACGAAATTAGGTACTTTAAACATTGTTGTAAGTTCTTTGTGTAACTTTAGCATAAAATAAACATGTTTACATTTTCCCCAGTAAATTCGAATCAGGGGTAAATGTAAATATCTTTTTTTTGTTAAAAACTAGGCGTTAATGACGGAAAAAAAGAGTATACTTAATTATAAAAATATATGTTTAAGAAGCCATAATAATCCAAATGCAAAACTACTTACCTTTTAGAAAGCAAATTAAAGCATAATATCTCTAGATATTTCACTTTGTAAACACAACAAAATGCACGTGCTTCTACGACCGCTTGTTTGTAACTGAAATTTCAATCGCGGAATTGCTTGGCGGCAATGCCTTCTGGTGAAATTTGGCATCATAGTAGAAGAGGAATATAGCGTCGGGCGCGAAGTTTAGACATGAATATAAAAGCGTTTACTTTTACCCCCATTTACCTTAATTGTTAATGCAGCAGCACTGCATCTAAACTCTCATGTTTTGTATATTTATGTCCCCTGTCATTTATGAAAACTTATGTTACTGTTAAGCAATACATGTTAGACATTACTGTTCAACACCAACTGTGTAATCAAGCTTTGAATGTTCATCTACCTAAAGCCACTATTTTAGGGCAAACCTGATATTGAAAAAAAATTAATCAAATTCAAGCGAATAACCAAATGGAAATGGTATTGTTTACCATTTTGGATTGGTATTTACCGATCCGTGTGGTTATCAGTTTGGTTATAAGAGAGATTTTTTCGCGAGATCCCGTAGTGAACCGGAGCGGGAACAGATGGAATTTCCCCTTCCGCTCGAAGCTTTGACAGTTTCAAGTTACACCGGGTTTATGCCGAGCGGTTATGCCGCCGGCAATACAAGCCGCGCAAAGCCGTCAAGCATCATTCCGGTTGTGACAGTCACATAGAAAGCTAGTGAAGTGCTGCATTTCTGGGATTCCATAATATATCATTTTCATGAAATTTTTCAATTAAGAGCAGCACAGCTTTGTCGTCCCAATTAAACGACATTTTAATTTGTTTAAACACACAAACCACACAACACTACCGCTCGAATACCAGGAACGAAGTGACGCCGGCAAGCCGCGTAACCCGCCGGCACACCACGGCGGCTCATTTGCGCGGCAAGGCCGGCGGCTTTGTATGCCGTTGGGTGTACGGCGGCTTGCCCGGTGGCCCTGCCGCCGGCACTGTGTGTAGCAGCCTTAAGATCTGTGACGTCATGAATCAGCTGTTATATGTCATGAGTTATCACCGCAGAATTGTGGTATTTACCCAACTCAGGAGTAGTTTTATATTACTGGTTATTATTTGAAGTGTGACAAGTTAGAATTTTGGCGGGTATTGGATATTTTTGTTGTACTTCAGCATCATTTTTGGGAAACTTGTTACAGGCTGACTTCAGTTGTAGCATAAAGTAGAGCACCTTATTTGTTATACTCATTACTGTTGTTGGGGCCCCTTAAATCTAGTTCCTATGCTTAACAAAGTAGCCATATACCACAAGAATATTGAAATATGGCCATATAAACTTACTGGATAATGTCCACCTGTATACAGTTTTGCTAATATCTTTTTTTATCGCTTTTTCCTATCATTTCTGCTAAATCAATAAATGTTTTCTTTGACACGCGGAAAAGCTTAGTGAATTGAAAGTTATCATAGCTAGAAAGCCATGGTTCCTTCCTTAAAAATTATTTTCTGAAAAAAAAATAACATTTCTCCCTTTAATATAATGAAAGGTTTCTTTTTTAAACATTCCATTCACTGTTGTAGATGAAAAAGCACCGATTATTAAGTGATAATAAAAATAATCAGAAATTATATACGCGCTTTTCTAAAATAAACAACCTGCAACAAAACCGAGGTTGAAACCAACGCGTTCAAGCGATTCGAGTAACTGACGTCATCAACCCGTGTGTCATCTTAAGCCATATTATAACCGCGGTACGTAACACACAAATTTTGGTTATTCGCTTGGATTTGATTTTTCTGAACTCTCATATTTTGTACATTTGTGTCATTACTCATGCTACTATTAAGTAAATCAGGTTAGACATTGCTGTTCAACTCCAACTTTCTAATCAAGCTATGGATGATCCTCTAGCTAAGGTTAACGAGAATTTTAAGGCAAAACTTTTTTAGTACTATGTTCTGGTCAGCAGATCAGCAGTGAAATTATAGTGCTGTGATTGAAAAACTAACCTTATAAATACTTTAGGAAAATCTAGTAAATGGTAATGATAAAAGACAAAAAGTTAATTTAGGTTCTGCTTAGGTTATTCTTAGATTAAAGTTAATGTTTAATGAAGTTTTCTAATTTCTCATTGTGCCTAATTGCTTGTTTAATTTGTTCTTTGTAACAGAGGGTCTACCTGCAAAAGTTGCATTTTAACCATTTTTACAGACTTTCTGCCCCAAAAACGCTACCTCAAAGGTCCTGTAAAATTATTGTAAGATTACCATTGAGTGGTATACATAATTTGTTCAAAAAAACGAAAAAAGATTCTTTACACCAAAAACTGAAAAAACATTATATTATACCAGAATTATTGCTTGTAAATGTGTGTTGTCTAGGTACTCCAAAATTAGAGGTGAAAAATATTAAATTAGCATATAAGGCCTATAAGAATGGGAATGTAACATGGAACAATTCAGAAATGCAGATGTTACAGGAAAATTGTATCAATTTATCTGTCTTGGCTGTGAGCATTATCTGTTGATTATCACTAGAAAATTATCTCTGTACAATACCAAGTTTTATGCATATTCCCCAAATCAATATTCTAAAACTCTTCCACTAATATGAGTACATCACCAGGCTGGAGATGCAAATCCTGGATTTGAGCAGTACTAAAACAAAAAGGAGTCAACTAGGTTTGACTCTGTACTTCCCACACAACACCATCATCAGTACATAAAGTATATATCTATTATGTTCAGCACAAGTTACCCAGCAAACAAAATCACTTGCTATGCATGTTCGACGAATGTCCTCTAATAGCAATATCCCATTCTAAACATGTGCGTAAATAATTTACTGCACATTAATAGTATGTGCTAAGAATTTAATACAAAGCCCAATTGGTAGCAGATATCACACAGCTGCAGCATGTTCTAAGAAAATTTCCAGTAGGTGATATTCACATTAGGTGAGATGGTAAAGTCCTATAGTGTATCCGATGAAAATATGTTTTAAGAGTGGGCACTTCAAGATCTTCACACGCTCTAACAATATTCTCATCAGGTGATTTGACAGTCTTCCCAGAGGGCACACATACATGCAGTCGTTGTCTATTAGATATCCACGGTGGATATCCAGAATATTCATTGCAAGGACAGATACATCTAATGAATATCCAGGTGTCCGCCTAAATCCACAATGCTGAAGTTATTTAAAATTACCCAACAGATATCCACTAAATGTTCATGATGTATCCACTCCAGTTTCAAAATGAAGGATAATTAAAAACCTAAGAAACTAAATTATTGTTCTGTTCATATACTTTCTGCCTTCTACGTCTCTCCATCATGTGGAGCTGCAAATGCATAATTCTTCCCTTTACAAATTAAACTCCCTATTATCAACAATGTTTATTAGTCAGATGAATTGAGGTGAATAATTATCACGAAGCTGGAATTTATCCAGAAAAAACACCATCAAATAATGTACCACTTTGAGACATACACCCTAGTTCACGAGCATCCATCACGGTACGACAGCTGTTTATCTAGTAATATCTCAAAGTTCCCCATATCGGCACAGGACATTAATTCTGATGGATCCGTGCCAGGTAATCAGAGCCGTATTTTGTTTTTTGTAAGCTATGGATTCATTTTGTACTTGCTAACAGCACTTTTATTTAGAAAAGTTCATTTGCATACAAAAAACAAAACGCTTCAAACAAATTTTACTAGATTTACATCCGATTCATTTTTGCCACTAACACTAAAATGTTACTTGCTGATTAGCTGTTCACCTAGGTAGACGTCAAAGCGTGATGGATACTCGTGAAATAGGGTATACACGATGCACGCTGTGTTAGATACGCACAGACATGGAATAAAACAAAATGTAAGCGGTTCGGCTTGCCATTGGTTGCACAACATAGATTTCACAGTATATTTCCTTTAAAACTTGTAATGATTGAGAAATGTTTTCGACCCGAGTACCCCTGCTTAAGCACACCGCCCGGGGAATCGAAAATATACATATAGACGAACCACGTACGAAATCAACCACTCGCTGCAGTGATGCCGCGCAGATCTGAAAAGGGACAACGTTGCCAAATGGATAGTAACTACCGGTAAGGCAGGAAAAGAATGTATACGGACTAACTGTATGGCGCCTGTTTGATTGACTTAATTCGTTTAATTTCTCTGTTATACATGTTCTTAACTGCCATTTTGCTCAGTATATTTAAATTGCCCTGAACTGCATTTTCGAACCAATGTCGGAGTTACGTAGGAAGTGCAGAATCAACCTACTTGATTACCTTTTGGAATGTTACTGCCACGTGATAGGAAGATTTTGTATCGTCGTATCCTAAAAAAATATTCCTAGCATGTGAATATATATATATATATATATATATATATATATGAATATTCAATTTTTTAAAGTGATGTGAACAGTGTGCTGAGAACATGCATTCTTAGGATATCTTTTTTTAGGATCTCAAACGTACATTCTAAGGATGTTAATATAACTTTTCATGTTTACTGCGTTGACCCCTACAATACCGTGGTATTACTTGTTTGGGTGATTAACAACACATATTTATATTTAATCTCTTTATTATAAATTAAGTCACTAAGCTGAAATAAATAAAACCTTATAATGACAAATATTGGTATATGCACAGAAATTGGGACATTTCTTTGAGTGTACAGTCTCGTTTGTACTTATTGAAAATAAATCTCCAGAATCTCCATTAGTTCAGTGATTTTTCAACTATTTCATTTATATCTTATTTATCTAAATTTGTAAGTTTGAGTTTGTGTAGCGAACATATTTCAGCAAGTCTTCGTTTTCTTCACATACCCAAGGTTTCACGTGATGACAGGCCACATCATGCCAGTTGACACCTGAAAATTGCAGAAATGCAATATAGTGCCAAAAATAGTAGAATTGAAGGTATGGATAGGATAATCATAAAAATAAAATATGTCATTCCTATAGTCCTTTTTGAGTAAGCAAAATGACCTTTTTTGAAAATCTGGAATGACGCATCGAAACAGGGTGCGCATCTCGGATCATTCATTGCTCCCCACTCTTCCTTCAAACTATGGTCTTTATGACTAGTTCTTGCCTTCGCAGAGGTATCAGATACTTCATTATCGCTTCTAATGCATTTGCACTGGTAGGTGCTAGTAGGGGGTTGAGAGTCAATTGTAACACTGTATTCAGAGTTCTACCTCCTTACACTCTTGTCTGGGCACTTATGTTACTGACCACAGCAAGGTTATCATGATCTAGGCTTTTGCCTTTGTCTACCTTCAAACTTCAAAAAAGACGCATTAGCTACCACAGTGCCGTTTGGAATACAGGTGTATATTTCTCAAAAGACAATGTAGGCCTTGTTCGATACTTGAGATTTAATTTGGTCATGGTTCGTAGCTGCAGAAGAAAAGATGGTTTCGGTCCCGGTGTTTTTGGACTTAGCAGGCCTTGTCTCTTCCTCTCGATGGTCATAATACTTATTTCAGACAAAGATTGCTATGATGTTATCATGTCCGTCACTTATTCATAATCTGGTATTTACCAAGGATACGAATAAATAACTGCTCGTATAGTTTGGCAAGAATTAATGAGATAAGTAATTTTAAGATAGCGTAAGAATTTATCCTGGACTGGAGCAAATCTTTTATATGATTCGTCATCTCATTGGCGTGTGTGCCTAGATATTCGGGTATACATAAACTGCCGTTCAAAACTTTTCTGACGCTAAATGTAATATAATCATTATTTTTTCTTTACAGTGATACGTTAGTTTAGTACTATTTTTGGATCAAGTGGAAGACCAGAAATTGTTCTAATAATGAAAACTGAACTTCGCCATTTCTGGTATCAAATTTATATTGTCTTGTCTTTTTTTTCAATTGTCAGTCAGTTATCAGTAGATGGCACGTGGAGTAGTACAGTGTTGATAAAACGGTGTCAAAGCCGCAGTTGTTTCCAGGCTTTGACTCCCCCCCACTTCTACTATATCCGGAAGACTACATTACGCAATACCCAGCCTTACCGTCATTGTAGAATTGGTTCAGAACCGCAACACAGTTTTCTGGCGCTCCACCTTGGATTTCCTCCCTGTTGTCGGGTTGTGGTCTGCCAATGCCTCCTGATTCACTCCAGTCGTTTTGGTCCCTCCTGGTAGTGGGCGCCAGTTTCTGAAGCACCGCCGTCCAGAACCACCCGTTCACCCTGGGAGGCTGTAGATCGGCCCTTTCGCAGCCTGCAAAGTCGCACAGCCGGCCTGACGTCCAGATGTATTTTACCTGGAAAAGTTTAGTTGTAGTGTGAACATCGATTACGTAAGCAGGTTGTATTTGTGAACCAGAACTATAAATATGAAAAAGGTTATAGTGAGTGCCAGAAACTTCCTACATAGTCCATAAGGTACCAAAGTAAAGCAATTAGTAGGTGACATTACAGTACAACGGGCGTGGTTTCTGGAGACAGGAGTAGAACAAAAGTTTGTTCTGGAACAGTTAAGCAACATAGCTCCAACACTTCCACGCAAAGTTTATTTCAACTGAAAGCGACATTTAATAAATATCAGACTAACTAGCCACTAAAAAAAATGTATAGAAGCATTTAGAACTATGAAGTTCTGGTCTAAGTGGCATACAGAAGAGTTACAGAGGCTATAAAAGATCTTTAAAATGATACCTCGTATGACCTCAAAAATGTAACGGCAATTATAAATTTTAGAAAATGTTGGCATTTTTATCGACTTTTTTGGATTTTTTAAACCCATAGCAAATTAATCAAATAAGGCCTCACTCTGAAAATATTCCCATTGTCTACAACTTTCGTCTGGAGTAGTTTTACCAATACTTCATAGTTATTTGAACACATGGGAAAAGTTCTGGATAAAACTTGACACGGTTAGGATGGGAGGGCGATGTCAGGCTAGTCTTTCTGGCAGGCATATCGCGCCTCAGCATCATGAAGGACAGCTCTGGGGAGCAAAGTCCGTTGAGATAGCGGTAGAAAAGAGTTTGATCGCCGGCGGCCAGTCGGTGCGGAAGGTTCCCGAGACTATCCGTTAGAGAAGAGAGATCAACCACTCAGACAGCCCTCCTCTGAACAGCATCCAGTATGGATAATGTAGTCGAAACGGAAGCACCCCAAACAATACTTGAAGCTACGTCTTATCTGGGCCTTGTATAGAGTGAGGAGGTCATGTGGAGAAATGTACTTCTTAGCCCTAGACAAATAGCCTAGATTTTTCCCAGCAAATGCCGCTATTGATGAGATGTGTTCGTGCTAGACCAATTCCTCGGAATGAAGAAGACTTGCAATACAAAAAGATAGCCACGTGGTTGTTTGGTCACTTCTAGGAATAGCTGAGCCTCATATGGTTTAGTGTAAAGTGACAAATGGTAGGTACTCTTTTTATTGCTTTTTTTCAGTCTGATTTTTTAATTCTCTCTTGTTTATCCTCTAACCAAGTATGGAAAAAATATCATATAGGAAAAATATTTTATTTCGATAACGCTAGTGCCTCTTGAGTAACCTCAGGCCTTATTTCACAATATCGGAATGCTCTTGATATATAGCGAGGCACCTGATGCCAGTTATTTGGGTACTGGGACATTATGGTGGAGGCACTTGAGAAAGCAAGGTCAGGGTGCAGACTTCATCGTCGCTTGATTCTGAGCCATACAGCTTTAGGTGACTGCGCAAAGGGTTAGGAGGTTAATCGAATAGTGTCTCTTAACATCTCCGTCTGATGAAAGAACTTTTAGGTCTTTGTGCCAGTGTGCACGTTTTTGCAACTTTAGACAAAAACAAACAAGGGTGGCTAGAGTGGATTTTGCCTGTCCACTTCTGAGGTGGATAGCTTATGGCACTGGTATCATTCGACGAGTTAGCAACAATAGTCAATTTTTGCTTTGATTCTGCTTGATTATATCCATCTGAGAATGGACTACTTTTTATTCTCTTCCAAGTAATGAATCGATCTTTTTATATCGAGTCAATTTTCTTAGTTGAGTAATTTAACAGAGTAGGTATCATGGATTGTTTGGGAGGATCCCAAAACAACCCAAGAATCTAAGATTTTAGATAAGTACGCCGTTTTTTCACTACTTCCTAAAAATATTTAAACAGTTATTTCTAGATCCAGAATATGTAGAGGTGGTTGACGACAAAAACCAGGAGCGTACCGACGTTAGTGCAGTCCAGATATTCGGAAGCTGATCTGTTGGTATTTTTTATTTTGACTTGAATAATAAGCGCTCCATCCCTGTTCTTCATGATACTGAATAATCAAGTAATGATAAAATAATGATAATTTTATTGATGTTGAGCAACACGGACTGAAGTGCAAGGACTAGGCGCACATGAAAACTAATGGTACTCTTTGATCACGCACCATTATCAAACATTATAATATGCATGATAGTTCACACTGTAACCTAGAGCACCTTTTATTATAATTCCGATGTGATATTGGGTCAATGTTTCTGTTATTGTCGTCGTTTTCCATTGGCTGATTGGTTGATGTCGATTCCAATTGATACGCCTTGACTGTTGATCACGTGACCATGCATATTTATTTAAGCCGCTGAATATCAAGTAGGCGCACCCGATGGCATTTTGTTTTGAAAAAATACTGAATCTTCATTCGCGCTCCCTGAAACGATGGAAAGTGACGACCACTGCGGATGCCGTAATGTTATTTTCGTTTACGATTATTGGTCGGATGCATAGCCGTCGTCGAGGGATATTTACCCCATCATAAATAAAACTTATATTCAATTTTACTACCCGTACAAGAGACGCTTATTTTAAGAGTCCAATTGGATATTTGGAACAATGTCCAAAACACTTTCGTTTCGGATATTTGTCCTTTTTAGTCAATTATAGGAGTCATTACATACCCTAAGTAATGATTAGGTACTATAAAAATTAGTCTCTTCATGTTTCTTCTTCTCTTAGGCGATTCTTTATTTGTGTAACAATGAGTTTTAAAGCTTCGTCTGTCATCTGTAGATATCGTTTTTTAGGCCATTAAATAATCTCGTTTTATTTATTGGACAGACGTAATATTCGTCATTGTTTTACTTCAAATTTTCTCTTAAAGGAAAAAAATGATTTTTTTTTCATGAATGACAGTGTGTTCCACAATAAGACGGCAATCTCTTGGTAAAACAGAAATAAATAGCGCACCCCTCAACGGTATTATATAATTCAAGGGCGTCATGTAGCCCGGTAAGGGATCGAAAATGTTCCGGAAACCTTGCAAAAAACCTATAATGGATGAACAGTTGGATTTAGGTAACTGAAATAGTCTTACTTAGCATAACGGAAAGTTCTGGATCCTGTGGTAGGCAGGTACCGAAAAATGTTTGGATAACTTTTTGATTTTTTGTGCAGTCCTGTAAATACAATCTACAGAAAAAGTTGTTGAGACAACTCTGTAGCTTGATGAATAAGTTACATTTTTTTTTACTCGAACCACCACGAACGCCTGAGGCCTAAACAGCCATGGGCGTCGTGGGGCTATACCCTGATACAGGGGAAGGGGGGGACGCCGCACATACTAGCGAGGGAACACGTGTACATGCAACATGCACACATTCTGGCCCCGCATTAGAGGACCGCCGGGTGGTACCTCCGCAACAATCAAAGACCGTCTAGTAGACGGCGTCTACTACCTACGAAAAGTAGACCCCGGCGAGACGTTTCTATGATATTTCCATATCTACATTCGCTTATAAAATAGAGTCAATTTTCTAAGAGCTGTGGCAAATGATATAAAAAAAAACATTTTAAAATTTCATTTTTTTTCAAATAAAAGCGTGTTAGGTTCTGAAAACCTAACCAGCTTTTACTTGAATAATTGAGATGAAGAAGCTTCTTTATTCATTTTATGAAATGCCACATAAATGATAAAAGCTTGTTTTCAAAAAAATATTTACTTTTTTGGATTTATGATGCTAAATAATTAGTTTGGTAATGAATCTATGAATTTCAATTCTTACTTTATTTGCACTATAGATAGATTTATAGATCGATAGATATATCAAATCGATATTTTGGGGCGATCGCCATATGGATTTAAAATGAAGTTAGGTATCTGCTTGTTGTGATTCTCCCATTAAGCCCTTTCATTAAATTTGATATCCATAGTGTAGGGGTGACTATAGAAATTATAAATCGTCATTTTGGGCGCCATATTGGATTTACAATGATAGCGCGTTGCTTGTTATGTTTTCTCATAAAGCCCTCTAATTTGATACTTATATCATAGAGGTGACTATGATAATTATAAACGCCTTTTTAAGGCGGTCACCCTATTGGACTTCTAATGGCATCACTTTGCTTATTGCATTTCTCTCATCAAGTTCTTTTATTTGATACCCATATAATTGGAGTGACTGTGAAAAATGTAAATCGCCATGTTGAGGTGGCCGCCATATTAGACTTAGAATGGCGTCGCTCGGCTTATTGTGTTTCTCTCATTAAGCCCTTTCATTTGATATCTACTCATATCATAGGGGTTGCTAACAATGATGAATTGGATTCAAAATGGCGGTAGCTAATTTATTTTGTATTGTCGCGCAAACCAAACGTTTAACTGACTCAAAATTCATTTCCAAGATTTGTCCCACACATACCTATACACTAAAACTAACTAACAAATTAGACGTAGAAAAAAGCTTTCGTGTTCGGAATCTTACGCGGTGCCATTAATCTTTCTAGAAGTCAGATATTTTCCAGAGATGGATAGTCTCGGCAAATTGATCGCTCCGACATTATCGCAGTTAGCAAATCATGTATACCGTATAATTAAAGCTGGATTGATAAAACTGCTTAGTATTTCTGTGTTATCCAATCTGTACACGCAGCTAATCTTCTTGTTATTAGCTCTACAAGCGATTTTTCTCTGATGTACGTGACCATTATCGACACACATATTCTATGAATGAGACTAAAGTATCAGGATGCAATTATACTTAGCACTGAAATGATCTATTATATGGAAATAATTTGCGCCAGACTTCTTATGCCAGCACATATATTGAGCACCTACTGGCCTTTAAAACGCGTAAACAAATAACGACTGTAAGTTAATTGCTGTCACATTATATCTTCCTCGTTTCCAAAGCCATTATAAATTAAGATCGGAGATGTCTATCAAGGCATTTCATCACCCATATAGGAATGCAGCACGATTCGTCCGTGAAAATACGCATATTTTTCCTTGATATTTTCCTTCAAAATGTGAACACAAAGAAGCCATAGTAAAAGCGAACATTTTCTGGTCAGAGATGTTAAACAATGTTCAATGTTTCAGAATATGCAACCGATCTTATTATTGATTCTTATTGAAAAGTAATAAGGCTAATTTCTATCTATAAAGAATGTCCTACATGACATGGCACCTCAACAGAAACAGGTCCCTTCGGCAAACCTCGGAATATCGATTTCCATTGAACCTTTTATACATAATCTGAAAAATGTTTGACATCAGAGTAACAAATTAGGTCCTAATATATTGTGTTATTTATATTCGTAATACTTATTTATGTTTCTATGGCTTGCCGCGCGAAATGCCCTGAAGCCCAAAGGTATATGAACACTAATCACGTCTAAGATACAAAAACTTTTACTTGGAGCAGCTTTTAATAAAAAATATATAATTTGAACGACCTGTTGTATCGCCGTTAGTTGTGTTACTGTATAGCAACAAATAAAAAAAGTCAGTCAGAGGTCGTCACAATGCGTTCAACATGTGTTCATTCAGGCTTAGCGGGCGCTAAAGCTACGTTACCACACTAGGGTACATAGAAGTCGACGGACTGAAAAGTAAAACAACGTCCGGAAAATCTGTTCATATATGTATAGGTACTTTATAAATTACACTTTTCCGCTTACTTTTCAATAAAATCATTAACTCGTTCAGATTGTAGGGGATGCGCTCAATCTAAACGAAACTTTCTACCCTTTACGTATAATAAAAGTTTAAGATATTATTGGAAGGTTAGATTCTTCAGCCGAAAAAAGTATTCCTGCGTGAACAATTTTTGATTTTTTTGGCAATACATTCATTCACTTCATGCCTATGCCCGCCCATAGAAAGTTTAATTCCAAAACGAGAGATATTGAAGTCTAAGTTCACGTGACTTCATCGGAGTAGCTTTATATTTTTTCCTTTTCAGTCATCCTAATTTTCTATTATTCTTTTTTATCTACATGAAAGCTACGCACATTCAGTGATAAACCTCACTCTAATAAACGACCTCTACCTTGCCTTCTTAGAAATAATCTTGTTTAGAATAATTTTGCAATAAAATTCAAAGTTAAATATCAAACGAATGTTATCACAATGTCCGTAAATATTCATCAGTGTCATTTGAATGTACAAATTTGTACTGCGCAACGTATAATAAACAATAACACTCTCATAGAAATAGAAGACCGAATATTTTTGTAGGAGAGTTTGGTTACGTCAATAGCTCTTAGTATACCCTATTTCACGAGTATCCATCACGGTTAAATGACAGCTGATTATCTAGTAATATCTAAAAATTGCCCATATCGACACAGGACACATAATTCTGACGGATCCGTCAACGCCAGGCAGTCAGAGCCCGTATTATGTTTTATTTTTTCGTACGCTACAGATTAATTTTGTACTTGCTAACAGCTCTTTTATTTAGAAAAGTCCATTTGCATACAAAAAGCAAAGCGCCACAAACAAGTTTTACTATATTTTTACCCGATTCATTATTGCCAACTTTGCAGACTAACACAAAGATGTCACTTCCTGATCAGCTGTTCACCTCAGTAGACGACAAAGCGAATTTAGCTGCTGAGTGCTATACATGTGTATAGTGAACGCAACCAATAAAAATATTTCGAAAAATATCTCTCTCGCGGCATCCATATCTCTATGTTAACAGTGCTGAATCTGCTCTTAAATTTTCCTGACAAAGTTACTCCCATTTATTTTTCTCCCTACTTACCGTAATATCGGATAACGAAAGAAGTGCAATAAACTGACGAGTATACGATACTATACTTGTATAACAAATTATTGTTAGATGATTAAATGCGCGGAAAGATGTCGGTAATCTGTGCAAGATGGTACGTAATTATATAATAATGTCCTTTTTTGCAAACGCTTATGTGAAAAGAGCGGCATAAGCGGTTATACAAAACGCGGAAAACATCCTATATAGCAAATAAAGCAATCGTCGTAAACTAAGATAGCATAAGCATACTAAGTGACTTTCTGTAGGAGCAAAATTGTAGTTAGCTGAAGAATCTATATAGTTGAATGAAAAGTCCTTTCTTTGCACTCCACATTCCGCCCCAAAGTAAATGAAAAGTTTTTTCTTTGCACTCCACCCCAAAGTAAAAAAATGCTATTGAAATTTGTATGATTTATTAAATCACCATACTTGTCGACCCAGCGAATATATTCCATTATTCGTTTGTCATTATACAGGTACCTAAATGATGAAAATATGACTTACTTTATCATCGACGATATGTTTCTTAATCCACTCATTTTCAGCACTGGTTTCTAAAGAAACTAGATCCATACATCGTTTTCGGCAAAAGTTTCTGCCATCTAACCAGTCCAACTCTGTATTCTTTGTTGCTGGATCTCTCCAACTGAAAAAGTAACCTTTGCCTGAAATAATAGTATAAAATTAATAGTGGCCACTTTGCGAAAAAAGAAAATAGAATTTCATTCATTGCTATCTCTTGTTATTTTTCAATGTTTAAGGATCACTTGTGTTCTAATACTAACATCTCACAGGTATTTTTTTTTCTATTGTTCCAACAATACTCTGAGAAGGCAAACATCTTGAATGACATGAAAGAACATTACTATTTGCTGCAGTAGATATCCTTAAATTTTATGTTTATGTTTTTCAGTCTGTTGGTTATAGCTTTTTATGTAGCTTAAGCATTGTGCAAAGGTTCAAATTTTAAGGTAATCTAATCCCTATCTTACTTATATAGTATCTTTCCTTACCGTCAGGTGTTCTTTCGTGTATGACTCTCTGAGCGCACAAAGCTGGTACAGGAGGCTCTAAAATCCTTCCATTTGGAAATTGTGCTTTAGACACAGCACACAGTGCTGCGATAACCATCAATGTCTTCATTATTGCGGTTCTCTGAAGCAAAAACATTCATTCTGCATTAAGTACAATTACATTTGATTGCTGTAATAAAAATTTAATTGAGATATGGGGAAGAAATTATATGTTTAGTTCTTTAGTTGGATGCTGAACTTCAATTAGCTAAATGGTGTGTAAATGTATATACGTTGTAATTAAAGTAATATATCTTTCACTTCAAATTATTATCATCAGTTTTGTTATCGAAAAAATGTTGAAAGATGAAAGTTTCATCCGTCGATTCATCGAATTCGACGCTGAAGGGTTTTGTCTTAGAGATTAGAAATCTAAAGCTAAAACTATATTGTACTAGAGGACATGGGTTATGCCATTACCGATTTCGGGCATACAGAGGAGACGGCTGATCTGGGAAGAATAGTTCTCAACGTTACATTGGAATAAATTTTAACGGGCTGTGGTTTCAATAAGATGCCACATACCGTATGGCACAATTGATCATTGAAGGAATATTTATAGCCGCAATGATTCTGTGGGAATGTTAAATCACTAGTCCGCGTCGATAAACCATAGAAATATGTATATCTGTGCCTAAAATTGCGCAAGCAAGCAGTTGCTTGAAATCCACAAGGAATTACCCCAGAACCGTTTTGACTCCGCGCATCTGGACAACTAGTAGTTCAAGACGGTTTTGAGATTGTTCCCTATAAAACCCGGTTGATGCTTATTGTTTTATCTTATTTAAAGTTCAAATTCTATGGAAAAAACACACAAGACTTATCTGAATTTTCAATAACCATTCAAGCATAAAATAACGACTGAAATATCGATCAATCCAATTTATATACGATACTACAAAATTTCTTAGAAGTAGTCAATCTTACTTTGTTGTAATAACATTCCTTGCAAGCAATTTGAAGCCATAATTTAGTTACATAACAAATGTTTGTCACTAATCTTTTATTTTTGCTCTCAACAATTCCTGTGCAGATTAATTAGATTCATTATCATTTGAATTGTGAAAATATGACGTCAAGTTGACCATGTACTTCCCACGTAGCGCTTTCATCAGATCATAATGGATTATAAATTATGACATTCCTCCCTCCTTAGAAAAATTCATACGGGCGCACATGATCGTTGCTATCACTAATTCTGCGTGGATGAGGATATTGACTTTTGCAGCATACAGACCGCAGCTGCACGGACGCGACTGCCGACTGCAACGCACGACCATCAGCCGGATCACGTCGGACGTGTTGGAGTTTTAAAGGTAAATGGATGGGAACATATATGACGAGTGAAATGTTTAATAGATACGTAGAATTACTGGGGTTGGAGATGAATGAAAATAGCAACGACAAAAATTGACCAACCCCTAATTCCCAATTTATGGCCCGTACAAAAGTTTATCCGAAAATGCTGCCTCTGAAACGTCAAAAAACGAAGTTAGAGCAACTTTTATTTTGCTCGTTGTTGACCTTTTTCTCCGTCTCCACTGGATGGATTTTCGAAAAACAGCTTTTTCGTCCTCGGAACAGTAGTAACCTTGTGTGAAAATGTCATCCAAATTGAGCGGTACTTTCCAAGTTATAGGCGAGGCAAGGATTAGCGGACAGACAGATCGATACACTGTCAAACAGACAGACCAATGGAAATGAGTGAGATGGTTTTTCGTCATGTACATAGTAATAGTAATAGTAATATTTATTTGTCACCAAAATACACAACCATTACACAGAATTTTATAGAGGACAAATAAATGAAGAGCCCGCAGAAGGGTGGCCCTTGTGCGCGGGTAAAGGAAAACAGAAAATACTTATATACTAACGATGACGTAACACAATAAAATCCTTTTTTTTTATTCTAATTAACAAATGAGTGATGCATATGGATTTAATTGAGATTCCATATATGTAAGTGAAGTATGGATTGTGCTCATAGAATATGGTATATCAGAGGAAGTACTAACCACTAAAGGATAACCTGTGCGTGGCCATTACATCCAACTGGACCAAAACTAAACTCAAGGATTTTGAAATACAACACTACAGATAATTTAAAATGGGCCGCTAAGGCTTAATGACTTAACTAAACTAGCGGCTACATGTCTTATAACATCTTATAACATCCAAAAAACGTAATATCTCATTTTTGAATTTCTTTGCGATTGTAATACTTTCTCCCCAGTGGGCGTATGATGTAAAAAGATATTGAGCACTTTCCAATCGTGTCATTATCTATATGGGCCTCATAATCAGTCTCAATTTTGTGGAAAGTAATTAAGTTCAACTAAATTTTCAATTGTTGAACTATCCAACTTAATTATTATGATTTAAGTGACTAGATTTATTAAATATAGACATAGTAAATTCATTGTGATGTCTTAATCATGAAAATATGTCACTCATTTTGCTCGGAATGTCTATACCAGTCAGTCTATTGAATGAAACGAAATGAAAATTTAATATTGAAGCTATATTTTGGAAAACCCGTCCGGATTTTTCGATCAAGTCATTCAAATATTGTTCTTTCAAGAAACCAGAGTTCTTATCAAATGAAAAATTTGTCCTAATAGGCACTTTTCTCAAGTTTTATAATAACAATGTGTAATTCGCAGTGTATGGTAGATTAGGAAAGTTTCAATTTATTCAGTTTGAGATTCAAATAAGCTGCGATCCTGCCCCGTTAGGGCACTAACTGTGCTGTGGTTGTATTAATAATCCTCTGATCCATGCTTTATTTGCCGTCGTCAAATCAACTCACAGATGTATAATCAAAATATTTACTCACGTTTCGATCATCTCGATGGCATTTTTCAAAGTACAAAACGATTGTCATTCAAAACATGCGGATATTGAACTATGTGTGAAGAAACCTAATCTACTTAATTCCATTTTATATCCTTGACTAGAATTCGAAATAAAGGAATTCTTTTTATATTTATTCTTATCTTATAGTGCCATAGAGTTAAGAATTTGTGAATGTGTTTCCTCATTATGGATATTTTTAGTAATATATGCGCGGCTTAATGCTATGAAATTTTCCAGCTACGATCAATAGTAAATGTATTTTTTCCAAAACTAGCTTACACATTAATATTCCTATGCATCTCCTCAGTTATAATCTAACAGAAATTTCAAATATTCTAATATAATGCATAATGTATTTGCTTCCAAAAACGGCCCTCTGCTTTTATAGTGGGATTTTATTACATCCTAGACATTGTTGCATAATTTGCGCGGAACCTGCCCACAGAAATAAACAGAACTAACTCAATGCGATTGCTATGCCATCAATCAAGTTTCTATATTCCGATGCAACATGTGCTAGTAAATTTCAATGTCATTGCTAAGGTTTATTTGCTCATTAATTCTGTATTTATTGTTTCTCGCTAAACAGTATTCAATCGTTTTGGTTGTAAGAAATTGGGTTCATGTTAACTGCCACACTAGGTCCACGTCTATATAATATTTTAGGCTCTCGAAATATTCAACTGCCATAGGTGACAAGTAAAAACAAAAGGTGGAGTATTTTAATTTTACCTTCTATGTTTCAATTTGACTATTTATGCTCAAATAATATTATTAAAAGATTTCACTTTTTTATTCATAACAGAACACGATTCAACATTTAACTCTACGAAAATTTAATCGAATGCTGTTCTGTCCACTGCAAACCGGAACGCTATAATTACAAACATTTAAATAAACTCATTGTTATTCCAAAGAACAAGTGTTAGCCCGCACCTGAAGGTACCCCGAAAAGAAAATTACTTTCACTACTGAACGCAAATATTCGTGACCATTTTACAAATCATTTACACCAAGCCGAGCAAGCCCAAGCTTAGCAGGCGACTATGTGTGCTTGATGGTGACATTAGTAACCCATGGAATAGAGTGTTGGGCAAATATAACACTTGCGTATTTACATTGACTAACGTATTCTACGTATGGTATTTGTCAATCGTATTCATCTAACTCCAAGTCATTGTAAGGAGCATTGGCTGTACTCGATGTTCAATTTTATTTTTATAATTACGTTAACAAGTTTTGTTTTAAAAGTATACCGCCCAGAATCGTCAAGCAAAATATGACATAAATGGACTTAAGCCCAAAACCTTGACTCATCTAATACGCCATCCAAATTGTGGTCTGTCTACATGTATTTTTAAAACCCTAAGAAAGAAGAAGAAAAGTTGTAATAAAAGTAAATAAAACTTGCTTTATTCCTTGAATTGAGTTTTAGACTCCTGTACAAAGATTGTAAACTCAAAAGAGCTGGCATCCCGAAAAACGAAAACTAATTTCAGGTACAAAAGCGCGGTGTGAGTTAAAACAGCTTTAGTATATGTATTACCATTTGTTTTTTCGCTCGCTGTCAATACGTCGATTTTAAATCTCGAACATCATTTTTTCAGACATGATATATGAACTTCCCAAAAATTCAACATTTATTAAAAATCCTTTTCGTGGATTCTGGAAATAAAGAGTGTTTGAAAATTCCAGACAGATCTACATAAATTAATGACCTTTGCGTTCGAATTTTATTACTTCTGCAATAAACATTATTTAAAGCAATAAATGAAAAATCCATAAATTCCAGGTTGATACCCTTCGGAGAAACCAACCGGTTGATATTCGTGACGGAACACATAATTATTACATAAAATCATTAAAAAAGATTGGCTCAAGCAAAAACGAGATTCCAAATTCAGAGTAGTATTCTCAAAAAGACATGCTATCTGTCAAGTGTAATGTTGCACAATTTTCCTGAGTAACTTGAAGCGAGGTTTAATTTTTACGTCACCCTTATGGGTTCGCAATACTCCTATCTATTTTTTTTAGGAAATTGAATATTTTTCACTTCTTTAAAGTTCGATCAAGAGTCTTCCGTATTAATCCATTTTTTCTCGGTATTTTCAAATTTCTATATATCTCAAAACATGTCATATCTTTAACACCAAAGAATGTTTGGAAAAATTCCAAACCATTAATCTACATTAGTTTTTATATCTCAAAAAATAAACTGAGTTATGATGGAGCTATGGATGTATAAAACACCTAGGCATGGATGAGTTGAGTTCCAACTTACCGTCTTGAGGTATCCACTGATCACAGCTGGGCCGCAAGAATCACAGCGCGATTTCTTAAAGGTAAACTGGCGCTGCACGTGAAAAACATCAGGTATATATAGCGAGGTGGGGACTATCCTCAAGACCACTGACGGAAGCCACAAGCCGGGTACCCGGGTACCCATATCTTCTTCGCCTTGACCTCGTGAGACTAAGCTGGGAAGGCCTTTTGTAACGAGACTTGTTTTTTCACTTTTCGAAAAGTGATACCGGTTAAACGGGGATCAATTTTTGCTTTTTATGGGTGCCACTGGTTAATGAGAAGTGGGCGAGTGTTAAGGATGGAAAATAAGTTTTTGAAGCTTGAAAATATTTTTACAAGATATATCACGATTAATCGAAAATAAAAAAAATACTTATCTAAATTTGTTTTTAGAGGGTATCTATTATTGAAAAGTAGGAAGATCTATGGATATGATGGAATAGCTTCAACGTTCTGAAGATTTAAATCATCTGGCTTACGATTTGCTGTGACATGATAGTATGCCAAATGGGTAGTTTCTCGAGTAACTAGGACATATTGGGTTTTAAAGATTAGATCGCAGAAAGAAAAAAGTTATGAGTATAAAAATGTAAAAACATAGAAATAATCGAGCGCGTCAGATATTGCTATTGTATACGCCCCACGTGTCACTGATATTGGAGGTACTATTCGTCATTATTCGTCAGAGCGGTCCGGTGGACCTTTGCTCTTAGTTAAGGATATTGGAGGTATGATAATTTGCCGGTTTGTACCGGCTGGGCCGTTAATAAAAGACGCCGGCTGTATCTCGGCAACCAGTGAACCGAGAGCTATCGGTTTGAAATTTTTATAACAAAAGTGGCCAAGAGGAATTGATGGAGATTATTTTTAGCTTCCTAAAGTTGCTGCAAGGGTTTGTAACATCTAAGCTCAAAATTAGAAATGCCTTTGTTTTCGAAAACTTCAAACGCAATGGTATTATCTTTAATTATTTATAAAGTGTATGAAAAATCCCACAAGCTCGAAAAAACTTCATGTTGTTATCTTCATTCGTTATAAATCTTTTTTGAAAGTTTGTGAGCCTCCCACTCCTTTATATCACACTCAAATCGTCAGATCGATTTGTTTATACTTTTCTGATCGACTGCCATAGGAGTACAACCTGTATAAAGAGCTCATAATATGTGATGGAGGATGCAACGTATCCGTCCTTACCTTAATCTGCCGCGCTCGAGTAAGTCCCAAAATCCCTATTGGGTTCCATACTACGAGCCCCTTCCCACTTCAGTTGGCCCACTTCAAGATTTATACCAAAATATGCCTTTATAAACTAAACATGACGAAACTATTTATTTCTAAAACAATTTATTTTCTCAAAAACATTTTAGATACACTCTAGTCGTAAAAAATACATATTTGAAATCACTTAGACCTATAACTAATAGAACATCTGAACAAATAAACAATGTGCGAATAAATGCGCGAAGTTAACAAAGCAACAATTGAAAGATTACCATTGGGTAACATCACCTTTATTTTTTATTACGGCTGAAATTCTTTGGGGCATAGTGTTAACGAAGTTTTGGAAAAAATTTGGTGTCAAACAATCCCATATTTCTTGAAGCTTTTGTCTCAGTTCGGTGATTGTACGAGCAGGATGTTGTCGTAGAACCTTTTTCATCTCGTGCCACAAAGTTTCAATAGGACTGCTAGAAACCCATTTCAAAAGTGGTACATTATTTTGCTGCCATTCATTTTATAGCCTTTTTTGAAGTATGGCACGCTGCACCATCTTGCTGAAACACAAAATCTTAGCCGGATGTCAAACATTCTTCCATCACTGGTAAAAGCGATTCTTCTAAAATTGCCAAATATTTGTTTGTATCCACATTTCCATCAATAAAATGAAGTTTTCCTATTCCTTTTGATGACATACTGCCCCAGACCGTAATGGATGCTGGAAATTTCACTTTTCTCTTCAGACAGTCAACATGGAATGTTTCATTTTTTTTGCGAATAACTCTACTGCGACTGTCACCAACACAAACTTCGAATCGGGCCTTATCACTCCATTGTATTCCTCACCATTGCTGAGGTGTCCATTGTCTATGACCTTTAGCCCAAGCCAATTTTTCCTTTGCAGTGGAGTTAATAGTGGCTTTTCTTTGGCCTATAAACAAGTTGTGCAACTTTAGGGTTTTTACTTCATTTTTTTTATAAGAAAACTTACCTTGCAAATGCTAAATCCCAGTTTGTGGGCCTCTCTATGAGTTGTGGGCCTCGAAATTCTCCTTCCACAGAGCACTTAATTGTAAATAATTGGCAAGCCTGTTTTTCACGATTATTCTTCTTAATGCTTTTCGGTCGGCATTTGTGATATTACTTGTTTTCACATATCGTGCCTTAATATTAACTGAACCAGTTACGTTATATCTTCTAATAATATTTCTCAGACTGTACCGCGATAAGTCTAACAAAGTTGCAATTTCTGAGTTTGATTTCCCAGAGTTAAAAAATTTAATTATCAGTAACCGAATTTTTTCTCTAATAACCTTTCCTCTACCGATTTTGAAAACCTTAACTACCCAAAACTATTTTAAACGTATTCTGACAGCTGTGATTAATAAAAACAATTGTCATGGCTTTTATTTTTCACAGCCACCTATGCGTTATAGACTTATTTTGCATTGAAATGAAAATAGGTTGATATGCTGTAATTGCAACATGTGTTATTTTTATGCTGCAAATTTGATTAGGGAGTGATAAAGTTGGTGTTTTCTACTATATATTATCAAAATATTCATTGTTAATATTTTAAACATATAACACCCTGCTACGTTTTTATTATTTGTGTTTGATAAGAAAAAAACTAAGATTTCAATACTTGGGCCAACTGAAGTGGGAACTGGCTCGTATGACTGTTTGTTCTTATTTTTTCTTAAAAGTTCATGGTTACAGGAATTGGACACCTCTTTTGAATATGGTGCCTGTTTCTATTGAAGAAAGCAGAGGGGCATTAGGAGTCTGAATAATTATTTAATCCGAGATTGAATCTGTCCAAATCCTCACTCCGTACACCGTGACTAAATATTTTGCCAAACGTGTAAGAGCGAGTAATACACCTTGGAAGCTCCCAGAAACAATTTCTGACTACTCGTATCACTAACTAATCTCCTTCCAGAAAAATGATATGTACAGTTATTCGCTGAGTACGAAATATTCGTGTTTGACCTGCTTGACTCTTGCAATATAAAGATAAACGGCACCCGTATTGTGTATAATAATCGCTATGTTTGCGATCTGATATCTATAATTTGCACTAGGCTCTAGTTAGTTGGATAAACCACTCCACGCTAGCTCGTGACAAACGCCATCTATGGAGGAATAGCAAAACGGCCGTCATTCCGACTAGAGTATAGAGCTAATAGCTTCGGTCATAGAAGCTATGACTGGCCTCCGCTAGTGCCATCTTTGAGTCAGATGTCACATTAGGTCAAACACACTTACAGCACCTTCTTGACGGCAGCACACACATACGCTACAAGTAAATGCTGCAATTGGCTACCAAACTAGAAGAGGGAAGTCCTGTTGAACCTTAAATTTTGCATATTTACCATGGTCTTGAGTACAGCTTTAAGGACTTTTTGGGTTTTGGGATTCATACCTCGAAAAGTAAAGTCAGGAGAAATGTCCAAAAAAGTAGGGGCCAATTTCTCAAGCACAGCGATTACCAACATAAAAAAGACAACATCTCAGAAAACATACATCATACCTCTCTTCCACGTCTTGGTTTTTAAGCTCGAGTTCATTATTTTTTATTAATTATTAAGGGTGCTCATGTGACACATTGGTAATTTTAGCTCTCTTCATGAAATATACTATATTTCCTTATCTTAGATTTGACGGGCGTGTTTAATGGTATTGCCATAACAGAAAGTTTCACTAAATTGCAAATTACAAAATGTTGATCGTCAAACCCAACGGGAACCTGATTAATTGTATGTAAATAAAAAAGGCATTTATATTTCTGTCATTACTGGCGACCACAGAGGATGTGTGTACAACGGAGAAAGTGAAGAAAGTAAGTGCTGGTTACTGTACAATAACAACTGTACGACTGTGTATGGTCCACCTACAATGGAATTAAAGAAACTCATACGTATACCCTCAGATTAATGAATGAACTTTGTGCACAAGTTGTCTTGATAAATAGACTTATTTAGGTTTGTCAAAACGTAGCTGCCGAGGAGTTGCGGTCCAAGTCGCAAACAAATCAAACCCACAATATGGAGATTGATGGCCAAAAACAGCAGCTTCACTGAAGGAAAAAATCCTATTATATTTTTGTCCCTAAGTACTGAGGACCTGATTTTAATGCAGTATAATTGACAGACAAATTGGCCGAAACGAAAAAACTAATTTTTAATAATTGTTCCAAACACTCGATATCTTAGAAACAGGACAGGGGTTGTACCGGTGGGTTTTTGATATACGTGCTTGACACTGGCGCTCCCACGGGGGGTAAAGGGGGTGATTACCTGTAACTTTAAGAAAGGATAGCGGAAACACTGCCAACCAATTACCAATTACGAAGTGTTTGGTCCATACTCCAGCTATCATTATCATCTATGTTTATTTTGTCTCGGAAGTCCCTGTATATAAGCACTTCAGTGCATTTCGTTCGTCCGAGATAGGCAAATTATATATTTAGTTTTTGAAAATTGCGTGAACTTAAGAAATCTTGTTTTCCAAACAGAAAAGGTTCTTTGTTATGAGATACGTGAATGCGTGGAAACCAATAATGCCGTTTATTTGACAATATTTGTGTATCTTTTAGTGATGGTTGACGGCTGCTGTTGTCAGGATGAGTAAGAGGAAACAGAATACCATCGATTTCTAAACAAAACAAACTGTCTGATCCACCGGCACAAGAACTACTTAAAAAACTGATGATAATCCTAAGCCTTCCACTTCAAAATTTCTTGATGTTGCACCGTATGCTGAAACAAGTGTTGAACAATCGGGTGCGAAACCTAAAGAATCCAATTTTGTTGATGTTGCGCCGTATGTAAATTTCAGCGGCATCTTGTCTTCCCATGAAAAATATACCTTATTGAGGTGTGCAATGATCCCTAATGACTCTTTCAAATATCCCTATTCCAC